GCTGATGCAGCTTCTTCGTTTTCCTTCAACTCGTTTTTTTGTTTTTGTTTTTTTTTTTGGTAGGGGGTATGCCATGTCGCACATGTGCGGACCCCGACTTTGCCACCGATTTCTGGGGCTTCTGGGGGCGCAGCAACAACAATGCGATGCAGGAGGTCAACGTGGAACACGCGTGTGCATTGAACTGAGCGTCATTTTACAGTAGCCTCAACAACGATTTGCCACTTTTCTAATTTCTAAACAAAATCTCCATCTTTTCCGCCTCTTTGCAGTGAAATCTTTTGTACCTGTTGTGTCGGCAAACTGCTGAAGGCAAAGCTCCCCGAAGGTGAGTCCTTGTTGTTTTCTTCTCTCTGTTGGTTTGTTTCACCTTCTCATGAAGCACGTGCCACGTATTACGAAGCTGGCTAACACACACACACGCACACGCACAAGGCAAATATTTACACTCAATGGAACATAATAAAGACATTAGGGAAATATTGTGTTATGTGGGGGCATAACTTAGGTTCTGTGGGTGGAAATTGTATAAAACTTATCAGCCCAGCAGTCACCCCCCTCCGTTTTTCCATTTTCCTCTTTTCCTCTCCCGCTGTGTGTGTGTGTGCTTGCGTGTGTGTGTATGTGTACGGGACACTTTTCTTTATTGCTCTGCGAGTTGTCAATTTCCGTGTGTCTGCCTGTCTGCTTTTCCCAACAGTTTTTCCCCCGTTCCCTTCCAGGATGCTTGGCATTGTTTTCCACGAGTTTGGTCTTTGTTATAGGAAGAAAAAAAAATGAAGAAGGTAGTTTAATTGCCTAGTGTTTACATTAGACTGCACATTAAACAACAGACGCTGGATTTTCATTCGTTGCTGGATAGCACAGGGGCAACAAGTTTCCTTTTTTATAATCTCAGTATCATAATAAACAGTGTTTCGTAATAATTCTTTAAGAAATTGTTTAGTTTAAATAAAGTTGTGTACTGGAAGGCAGGAAATCCTTAAACTTACTGATTAGCCAAATCAATATCTGAGCTATTTAAGTTTAAATCCGAGATTCCAATTATATTCCACATTATTTATAGACTTAGTAGCATCTAAAAAGGTTCACAACAAGCTAAAATGTAACCTAACCCATTTTCCATTGTCAAGTATTAAAGCAGTCGAGGCCAAAGTTTCAGCCTTAGTTTTCCGCAGCACATGAATGTTTTAGTGTGTTGCCTGCCGGTTTTGCTCCACTGTCAGCTGGGATATGCATAAATAACATTGATTGATATGCCACCCACACAGAATGTTTGCCATCCCTGTTCCAAATGATTTCAAAATGATTACCCAACTCACTGTCGCTGGCGCTGAATGATATGCCACTTAATAGATACGAAAGCATATACTTTATGATTCCCATCAATGGACCAACTTATGAATGAAAAGCGACCACTTCGAAGGGGTTGGGGGGTGGGGAACTCAATTAGCTCACCTTGAATGTTTGCCATCCGTTTCAATTATAAACCTTTTTTGGCTTTATCATTCGGCCTTGCCCCCAAAAAAAGAGTTTTTCGCATTAAATATGTGCCATTTTCCACCTTTTTCCCCATTTCCAGTTCGAAAGGAAAAGTGAGAAACTGTTTTGGTAACAAGGGAAAATGGTTGAGAGTGACAGTTTTGCGGATGCTAGGCCAGCGCAGGAGATGCCAGGATGTGTAGAGCAGTTGAAAAGTTTTTTATTTGTTGGGCAATGCTAATTGCAAGTCCGGATGACAGTCAAAGCCAATTAGAGACAGTTTTCGCATTCTAAGCAAGCTAAAAAGGAAGGTTAGATATTGGTAGTGGCTCTGCCCAGGGAAGACTTATCAGTCATGCAAACAGTGAAATGCTTTCACCATCACCATCGCCGAATCCCTCGATCCTTGGCCCCGCAAATTGGCACACGTGCTAAGGTGGAATTATTCAGACTGACAGCCTGAAACTGAGGAAGCTGCTCTGCGTGGGCGTTTAGCATTGGAGGGGGTGGGGAAAAATTGATTAGATTAGACGAAGGAGAGTAGTTTGGGGCCAAGAGGGGGCTTTTCTTTTCGGAGTGTCCTTAAGCTCGCATTTAATCACATTTAAATTGCACTCAATGCCCGGGGAAATTGATTGAGATTTTTATGAATTACTCAGCAAGCCAGGAGCTTTAAGCCTGTTTAAGTCAAGCAATTGAAATGTAATTAGGCAATGCTAATGGCGACACCTACCCCTCTCTCTCTCCTTTTTGGCAGGAAGACAACCAACCATTTCCCCAGAGTTTCTCCACAGTCGAAATTACTTGAGCTTAACTTCCTTTACTTTTTTTTTTTTGTGTTTTGGGGGACCAGCATTTGCATAATTGATACCGCCGCAGACATTTTTCAATTTCCAAATCTCGACGAGCAATTAAAAAGATGTTTTCCCTGTAATTCCGTATGCTTACAACCCTCTGGATACGCATTGGTACTCTGGTTGGGTACTCACCGTATCTCTGCAAGATGCGCAGGAAGGGCAATTTGAATGAGATTTATGAAATTACCTACGCAGCGTTTACAAAAACATCACTTGGAGTGGAGTTTCACGTGGTCTGTTGGATTGTTGGTCTCTTGGCATCTTGGCTTGGGGTACGGGTACTCTTGAAGAGATCCCCCTGAAGAAACCCCTGCCAAGCAGTTAAGTCGGACTCAACACATTGAGACACCGCTGCTGCTGCTGCTGCTGCTCTGGAGATGCCGCATGTTGCACATGTGTTGAGTGCATGCAACATGCAGCATAAACCGTATAGCAGCCAGAAGGGTACATGGTCATGCGCAAATCGCCGGGCGGCGTTTATTGAATTAAGACTGTCGACGAGTGTTTGCAGTTGGCAGTTGTCGCACCCAGTGGAAGCGTTAAAACTCACAAGGACACTGCAAATCGGGAATGGGAAATGGTATTGCAACCGATATATACACATAGACATATGGATCGTTTGCTGCATGGGTTCTCAAACTGCAACATTGTGGCGCCGCCGAGAGGCGAGGGCCCATAAAACGGGTAACGTGGTCGCGCTGCACTTGGGATCGGTTATGCGTGATTTTTACAGAATCCACTCACTCACTCAGTCTGCTGGGGGGCGGGGGAAATATCTGTGGCATCTGGCATTTGCATATTACTCGGGAAGTCACGTTAAAGTTGCGCCCATTTAACTGCAACTGCAATATGGGTATTCGTAAAGTAAAAGCCTTCGCCAAAATCCTTTGTTTGAAAGCTAACTAGCAGTTTGCAGAATATTATTGATAGAGTATTGAGTATTGAGAAAACTAATCTCTAGAAGTTGCTCTCTTAGTATTATCATACAAGTGTATAATTAGAAGCATAATCTTATATATGATTCAAAGTTCTCCATAGCTTATATGGCTTAGAAGTAGAAGTGATGGAGTGTATCAAACCATTTTAGTTACTTTTGAAAGTAAATGACCCAAATATCCTGCCATACCAACCAAACACCTTGGACCTAAACCAGTTCCTGTTTCTCTTTCCTTGTAAAAAATCGAATTTTTGTTCTCTATTTAACTTTATTGAGATCAAGTGGGGAAACCCGTTTTCTATCAGCTATCCTGCATAACCTGCATAATGGAGCGTGTTTAACGTAAATAATATACCGCTTAACGGAACAATGGGCAGGGTCTGGGTCAGGGGGCTGTGGATACCACTTGGCCGGGAGTCGCATTTACAAATTAAGCCCCCAACTTCTGTCATGTAACTACTTTACCTCTGTCTGAATAGGCAATCATCAATCGAGCGGAAACAATGAATGGCTGGTTGCCACACTCAACCTAGGATTCCAGGATCCCCTTGCTGGCTTTCGTTACCATTCATACTAGCTCAAAGTGTTTGTGTTTTGTGTATTTAGAATACCTGTAAGTTGTTGAGTTTAAAGGTATGTGGTAGCTGTTAGGAGTTAGGTAACTGGGATAAGAAATCGATTTGAAAAGTTAAGAGAAACTAGAAATGAGATGTAAGGAACTACAAGGAAGTTATCATATGGATAAAATTCCTATTAAATTTCTTGCTTAAGTTCCTCCACAGCCTTTAACTATGCAACGGATATTAAAACAGGGTAGCAAATATCTCTGGGCATTCTTTTTTATTCCTTTTTTCCCGCTGCCAAACGCAGGTCAACAAAGTTTTTATTAAGCTGCGTTGTGGGGGAAAAACTAATGGTAGGTGGGTGGGGGTGTTTATAGAGAGGATCCAGTGGCAAGGACAAATAAATAAAATACACACACACACACACACGCAGAGAAAAAAAAAGAAATCGAAATGGGGAGAAGGACCTTCTGGGGAGGCAAAGAGATACGAATACAAAGGAAAAAGGAAACCAAAGCGATGTTTTAGCTGGGGTAGTTAGTTAAGGGGGGGTGATGAAGTGGAGGATAATTAACATTTATGAGGGGGTGCTGCTAGAGCGGGATAGCAAGCTTTGCGAGCGAAATAACTGTAACTGTTGCTGATTGATCAAGTGTGAGGGTGTGTGTGTGTGTGTGTGTCTGGCTGGGGCACAAACAAAAACCATATGTTTCTCGTTTGACTCCCGCACGCACTCACTCACACACTCAATTACTCACTCACCTCCCCCCCTCTCACGCCCTCCCTCTCTCTTACTCTTGCTTTCATTGTGAGTTAAAACTCAAAGTTAACGCCTGCGCACTCTCCCTCTCTGCCACTCTTCTGCCGCTCTCTCTCTCTCTCTGTTGCTCTATGTTTGCCCTGGCAAAGTATGTGTGTGATATTCTGTTACACAAAAAGGCAAAAACAAAAGGCACCGTTAGAAGGTGTGCGTGTGTGAGTGAGTTCACCACGAAACGAAAATCCTCTTGTGCTGGATGGTCTTAGTATAAGTGTGTGTGTGTGTGCTACTGATTGTGTGTGAAGGCACGACAAGAGAGAGCCTGTATCGCCTGTATCGTCTGCATCGGTGTGCGGGCGTAAATGTGTGTGCGTACTTGGCGTTACGACGTCAACGACGGCATATCCGTCAGTACGTTTGTACGCGTCCGCAGCGCCGCTTCTTCAGTTTTTCGGTTTTCGGAATTTCGAGATTTTCGAAACAGATCAGATCCGTTTGCGAGTTGTTCGATATTTGAAAATTCCGAGCCAAGAACGATCCAACGATCCAACAACGTACCGTTTCCGTTAGCGATTCACAACAGATAGAGATCCTAAATCGAAACGACGCGAGAATAGAAATTATGCTGGCCCACTGCTCGCCGCTCGGTCTACGCGCAATAATTTATTTTTACTCCATATAAACAAATTCAACGTCTATTTCCAAAAATAAATGGCAACAATAATAAAAATAACAACAGCCGTCGGACAATTATAAGTTTTTATTTTTAACTTTTATTTGCGCCAAACCTCGTCTCCCGCCTACTGCCCGCCCGCCGCCGCCGCCGCCCCCTTGGACTTTGTTTATATTTACAAAGAACCAAAAAAAAAACAAAAAAAAAATACGACAAACATAACAGCAAACATATCACTGACTGCATTTCGTCTCGATGTTTATCAAACAAGCGGCGTAAACAAAGCCAGAATTTCAAACAATAATTCAACATTATTTGCATCTCAATTGCAACGATTTTCGTGTGTGTGGATTCGTTCGAAAACATTTGTGCAAACAACTTTCGAGCGACCTGACAGCCGACCCCCCTTTGCAAAGTTCAAAACTCATCGGTTTCTATTGAACGGCGTAGTTTTTGAGAGAGATTTTCTGAGGAAACGGAAGTGTTTGGCTGAAAAGCAAGTCATGTAAGTCTATATTACAGAAAGTTGTTTAATTTTAAAATCATTTAAAATGAAAACAATTTGGAAGTTTACTTTAAGTTTACTTGCTTTTTTGATTAAAATGAAAGTTATCTTTAAGAGCTTTGAAAAAGAAATTTGAATGTTTCATCATTTTATGATGGGTTTTTTTTTGTGATTCATGTTTATATTTTATGCTCTTAAAAGAATATTTTGTTCTTAAATCAATCAAGAAGAAATAATCTTCTTAGTCACCAAAACAATTAAAGTTTCCAATTAACTAAGTTTAAACGTAAACTTACATAAACAGAAGTAATCAAATAATAATTTCCAATAAATTTAACTTAATTTTAATCATAATTTGCACCCACTCCATACAATATGCGATGAGGTGTTCGCTTACCCATAGGCTTAATAATTATTTACAGATCATGGCTGGGCCGTAGACCGCTCCTTTGATAGGACCGATAGGGCAATTTGATTATCTATAATTTACAATTACCAATACTTTGGCAGCCGGCATGTCGGTAACCAAATAATAACCAATGCCAAACTGACGTCATCGCCGGGCCAAACGATTGGATTCCGGAGAAAAAGAGAGGAGATATCGGTGGGGCTTTCAATTGATATCGTTCGATGTTTGAATTTCTTTTCCCCGCGATTTAATGCTGAAAGTAGCTGCCATATATATATATAATATATATATACTATATATGCTATAAACGTATATATGTTCCAAGCTGATAAGCGATTTTCGTATCAATATTGAGGGCCCGCGAGTACCGTACTCCGCCAGCGAAGTTCAAATCCATTTTCCCTGCTATCAAGTTCTTTTGCATGTAGTTTTTATGGCCGGACTAAGTGACTGACTGACTGACTGGCTGGCTGACTGGCTGGTTGATTGGCGAATTTGCTGATAATTGTCTGCACTTTGTTTCAGCCAGCAGCAAATGCAAAAAAAAATTATAAATTCTGTTATCTCGCTCGCACTTCAGCCACAGCTGGACATGCGTGCAATGCACTTTGACACCTACGCAGGTTCTTAAGGGGCCAAGGGGCGGCGATTCGGCAAACAGCAAACAGCAAACAAAGCAATTCAAAGGCGATAATCACTACAGATTTGCCTTGGACTTAGCCACGGCGATTGCCGATAAAAGATAACCGCTCATTCGGCAGAGCAGTGGCGAGATAATGGGACCCCACCTCCGATCACGTTCACAATCATTATAATCAAACTTGAGATCTTGAGAACTATTTGCCCGAGTCACGTTTAAGCCACGTTTTATGATGAGAAACTGTTATAGAAATGATCTTAAATATTTTTAGCATTTTTTAAAGAAGATCGCTTATTTTTAGACCTCTCTCATTACTTTTACTTGGGAAATTCCTTCTTGATATATAACTGCAATATGTGAAATGTTCGATTCATGTCATTACTCAAGTTCCAGTACTAAAAAAAAAACGAAAAGAAACTGCAAGTCAAACAAAGAATTCAATCCATAAAGGAAAACCCAGCCAACACGCATCTTATCAGGCCAAAATAATTTGTTGGCAAATTTTTTCAAACGAAAAATAGTTGACTTTCATTTTTGTTGTTGCTTTCATGTGTTTTTTGGTGTTGTTGCTTGATAAAGAAAAATTCGCAATCAAAATTTGTTTTTTTTTTTTTTTTTTCCTACGGGCACTATCTGCCATCGAGAGCGAGAGTCTTTCCTTATCACACGTGCGAATGTGAAGGTGCCACCGACAGGCAACATAAAACACGAAAGCTTCAATGTATTGGTGTAGTTATTAAAAAATAAATGTACCTTTTTGCCATTTGCCGTGTTTGCGGCTCACGGAGTGTCTCTGTGATAATTATGGTTATTGCCACAGCCTAGCTCTCTCTCTCCCCCCGACAAAACTTATAATCATTATTATTATTATTATTATGATTATTATAATGATTTCTTTGGGTTTGTAGTTGTGTGTTTTTGTTTGTCGCTCTCTCCCACACTCCTCACTATGTGTGTGTGTGTGTGTGTATTTGTGAGTGTACTGGCGATAAGATAGAGGTACCACATAGATGATGTACTTGTAGGTGGTGACTCGGGGCCCGAGAACTCAAATTTGTTCGACTACCTTAACATGAGACGCGTGTTTCTTTCGGGCCAAAGAAATAAAACAAAAACCTTGGATTTCGGTGTACTTCTTTTATTTTGGTTGGCACTTTTTTTTTTTTGTTTTTGCAATCAAAAATTGTTGATAAACAGGCTGCAGGAAAAAATGCCAGATATCGCGGTGCCAATGCGATTGTTTGCAGAATTATTGGAATTCGAAGTTTGCTGATATTTTACTTAGTTTATAAAGAGAAACTTGTTTATCACAAGAATATTATTTTTACTTGCCACGAGTTTGGAGAAATGGCCAGAAAATGTTAAGAAAAATTAAGGGAATTATTGGGAATTACGATAAAATATTATCAGGGAAAAGAAAACTAAGAAACTAAGCATGTTTCTAAGAAAGTTATAAATTTGTGTAGGAATTATTGTTAGGGTTTATCTGATAAAACGGAATTAGGGAATTGGGAAGCAAAGATTATTATTTAATTAGCACTAAGTGCTATTTATAGATGGAACAAATTTAAGAAGAACTGTAAATTTGGAAAATTAAAGAAATCAAAAATTATTCCAAGATGACATCTATCGAAGTTCCGAACCCTTTTCAAGCATCCTGGTTCCACTACTTATTAGTCCCATTAGTCACTGATGACTTTCCACCAACTTCTTTGTTCAGTAATTTACAGTTCTAAACTCAACTCCGACCGCTTTCCAGCTCTAAAAAAAAGTTCCGCCTCAGTGGCAGTTTCAAATGACGCGTTTCTCCCGCGTTTTCAGCGCGTCTTAAAGCGCGCGCGTGTCTTTAATTAAGTCAAGATTTATAACCAGAGTCCCAAGAATGCGTTAACTGCGGCACATTAACAACAATAACAAAAGTCGGGGGACATTGACAGATCTCGGGCTAATGAAAAGTGAAAGTGATATGCGACCAAGGAAGTGGTTAACTTCCTCCAAAAAAGCTCAAATCTAGTTAAATAAGAAAAATAAACAAAAATATCTAAAACATGATATAAGTTAGGCAAAAACATTATAAAAACGATGAAATACTATATTATTTTAAATGTTGGTGATAAATTTGGAGTTTTTTAAACTTGAAATTTGGCCGGGCAGCTGCCATAAAATCGGAATTTATGAAAGGTCTCCCGCCTGCGTTCTCTGTCGCTCTAATTGAGGCTGTGAGAGATTGCATTCAGATCGGTTTCGGGCTCATCTCATTTTTGCGGCCACAACTGGTTTTGTGCAAATCGGTTCGGAGTTCATTCCACCAAAATACGGAAAAGTTTAAAATTTGCATAAATTTGGTTGGCCGCAACAAATGCTAATTGAGCGCAATCAAGGCGAGCAACAAGTTTTCGCCTGTTAATTTTTTTTTCTTTACATTTTAATGCCTTCTCATCGGAGAAAAAGCCGCAGAGAGTGATTCACTAAATCAAATCGATAATGATGTCCCCGCCTTTGTTGGGGCAAACAATTAAGGGAAAACACAGAGCACAGAACACAGAACACAAAAACACAAAAAAGTTGCTAAGCAAAAAGGGATTCGAGTCCGAAAATCGAGAAACACCCCCACATTCTTGAGCTTTGTTCTTGGCCATTTGCCTAATGATGTCGCCGCAACAGCAGCAGTGCCAGCGCACCAGTCTTTGGGCCAATTAAATGGAGAAGCTGGCAAACGTGTGGCGGCAGTTTGCTTCGTTTTAATTGCCCGGCCACAAGACAAATGTCTTGACACACATCCTTCAATGGTACAGACTCGGAACATATCCACATCAACATCCACATCCACATCCTTCCTTCCATTCGTTCTGCTCAAGTGCCGCCTTTGCCGTTGACCCAGTGAAAAAATGTTGCAACCGCAAACGGTTGATTGTTGCAATGAAAACCGTGTTAAGTTCTTTTTGCCCCCGGGCTGCAGATTCCACACATCCTTTTGTTTTCTTTGCCACTTTCCGTTGCGGTGATTAGCCAACTCAACTTTTTTTACCCAGCAATTAGTCAAATATTTCTACTGCCATTCTTGATTGTTGTCGCTGAATCTCACACCTGCACCACTTCAACTGCCGCTTGACTGAACAACAACAAACACAGACCCATTAATATAGTATGTATCTACGGCGAATGACGTGACCATTTGATTTATAAAGACTTTTTGGCAACTTGAAATTCTTGCTAGATTAGATACTGGTGGAGCGAATGCCTCTTTTGGCCACTGAATGCAGATTCTCGATTAACTTCGTAGTGGAACTTGTGGGTAAACTCAAAAGGGGGAAAGAAAATAACTAAATATGGAACAAATAATAGTGGTTATTAAGTAGAAAAGAAGGTATCACAATAGATATCAAAACTTAAAATTATAACGTGCTCATTACGGTCTCAAATCATCTAATAAATCTATTTATATCTCTAAGTTTTTATAATACTCTACTTCTATTTTGGTTCTTCTTTGGTTTGCTGACTTTTTTTTAAGTTTACACTTTTTCCACCCTTTTTTGCTGGCTCTTTAATCATATTTTTTGTTAGACAGATTGCAGATAGTATGAAAAAGCTAATGAGTGTTGATCTTTGTTAACTTTTTTCTCATAAAAAAGTTACAAAAATAAATAGAAAATAGCATTTTATTACCCATAACTTTTTTGTATTGAAGTTTAATTAAAGTCAACCTTTATGAACATTTTCAACTCTTAAATAAGCTACTGTAAACTCCTTGTGGCATTTAAAGCACCCTTTCTTACCCTCACTTCAATTCAAAGCAGCGTGAGAGTAATTCAATTGCAGACGCTGATAAGTATGCTACAAAACAGGACAAATTCGTAATTCGAGCACTTGATGTCCTGCTGCTGTCTGCCACATGGCCTTGTGTTTGCCACCCTTTTAGCCTGCTCCTCTCACTTTTTGCAATTGTTGCAACGACACTCAGAGTCACTAAGATACACACATGGAATGTGCCCACTAATTGACTCACTTGCGGTGTGATAATTTCCCCAGCTTTTGTTCGCGCCTTCAATTATTCATCTCTCGCATTGACGCACTTGTCGTAAGAGTTGGATCCCTGCAACTTATCGGGACACCAAGCATCCGCATTGGGTTTTGCTCTGCAGATGCAGTGGAACACATAAAGCCACTCAAGATGTGACTAAAACATGAGTTACAGCGTTACAACAGCAGAGGGGAGTCAATAGCATGCCTATTTCCGAGATAATCCCCTGAATGGCAATCACAAAATTGGCAGTGGCACATCCTAAGCGGATTAGGTGTCCTTTAATTATGGCCAAACTGCTTAGCCCAAACACAAACACAAGCAAACAAAGCCAGCAATTTGTCTCGTCTCGTTTGGATAGAATTTTCCAAAATCTAATATTGATTACTAAACGGATAATTATTGATTGGAAGGTCACCACTGCGTATACTTAATACCCTATTCTTTTTTTTTTCTCCCCTTCCCATATATTTTGTGCACCATTTGGAGCAACACTTGTCCGTGGTCATGCCATTAAATCCGTGAAAGAAAGTCATCGGGCGGCTTTATTCCCTCCACGATGTCTCCGAGTCCGGTTGCTACCGAATCAAATGGGTAGCGTCATCAATATCATTATCGATTCATTTCTTATGCCCGGCTCTTGCTTCCATTTCGTTTCTTTTCCATATCAATAATGAATGTTCAAGTCACCGAATACAAAACTCACGCATAATCATGGCGGGTCGCCCGAATAAAATGGAAGGCAAATGGAGGGAAAGCAGGAAAGAAAATGTATCGAATTTGTTGAGTGTGTCCTCGGAGTTAGTGTGTGCGTGTGTGTGTGTGTTTGCTGGCTGTCACACATATTCGTCAAGGCTAAGACCCCACATCCACCAATACCAAATCCCTCCTGGTCCTGTCACAACCCATTTCAGACTGCCGCCCACCCACAATAACACCAACCTCATTCCGCTGGCACAGCTGAAAGCTGAAGCATATTGCGTAGGTCGCTGCGTGAGTCGAGGCAAAACTGAGCGGGGGGAAAATGGATTGAAAGAGGGATAGAGAGTGTGGGGATAAGGGAGGGCGAAAGTGAAAGCGTTGCCAAGGCACTTGTTGTTGTTGTTGTTGTTTCTGTCCTGAGTCCTGGCCAGAGGACAAATAACAGGCGAAGACGAAAAGGAAGACCAAGACTAAGGCAACTGAAATTCATCCGACTCGGTTTCCTTTTTGTCAAGACACAGAGGAAAAATGTGTCTTAGATCTTAAACGAAATAAGTAAAATTAAGAAATTTTAAACTTTAAATTATATCAGATTTTACTTCGATAGAGAATGAAAAAGTTGTTAAGATGGTTTATCAGTCGAATAAAAACAGTTCTGAAAAAAGAAACTCAGCTTAAGCCTGTCTTAAATTTTATTCCCAGAAATAAAAGTTACCAATGTTCCAAAATTAAAACAATTTATAAATAGCTTTAAAAGCTTTAAATTTTATTTAAATTTTTTTTGATTACATAAACTTTATATGTAGTTTATAGCCCAATTTTAGCTCAGTGATGGAATTGCCTGGCTCGAAGGAGCATTGAGGGGTACTGAGAATATTTTTGCTGGCTCGCGTTTGCCAGCCACGTGCCGCTGCCGCAGAGGAGAAATGATGAAAAGCGGTTGGTAAGGCGACAACGAGACCCAGCTTCCGCCGGTGCTCTTGAGTGTTGCCGTTGCCCTGGGCAAGAGGAAACTGAGGAAACTGGGGAACTGGAGTGCCGCTTCCGTTTCCGCTTTAAAAAACAGTTTGCAAGTGAACTTGTTAGCACATCCTTATTGATTTAGTGCGTATGTGTGCGTATGTATGGTAAACGTTGGCAGGACATCAAAGGCAGTGGTCCTGTAGGTTCTCGAGGGTCACCAGAGCGGAGGGACAGCGCGAATCTAATCATGCGTGGGGTCAGTCGACATCAATTAACTGAAGCCCAGCTCATGAAATAGGTCATCGTGGGCGATATATATATTGTAGAATAGACATGGATAGGCGATACAAGTTGCTCTTCATTAGCGGTGCATTGAACTTTCAGCGCCAGTGGAGCGACAATGGAGCAAGTTGACCGCAAATCCTGTCCCGTCCAGCTGGAAAACCCTTTTGAAGTTGCTAGCAGCTAAAGTGGGTTAAACTGTTAGCCATGGGTTAATTATTACTCCCACACTCTCACTCACTCCGTTTAAGCCAAGTCAATCACTTATTGTTTCTCTCCACTTTCCATCTCTCGTTTCAGTTACCTGAGGACAATTTATACGGAAAAACAATTATATAAAAATTATATATACACACACACACACACCTATATACAAGCTGAATTTGCCGTTTTGACAAGCCGTCCACTTATACAACAAAAAAGAAAGGGATAATATATAGATAATATATATATTTATATATAAATATGCCCCACATCTGTCACAGCAACAGGAAGAGCCATAGCAATCCGCAGGGCAGCCACTAACCGAGTTTTTCCCAAGAGCTGCCTGGATAATCTGAAAATCCAGCAAATCCAGCTACTAAAGCCAGCCGAGCGCAAGGACATCGTCATCTCTGTTTCCATTGCAGGTGGATAGGAAAACTGTTGCCATGGGTCGCAAAAAAATTCAAATATCACGCATCACCGACGAACGCAATCGGCAGGTAAGTGTCAATATGTGTTCTTTGCAAATCCCTACCAATCACAATCACAATAATAATAATAACAATAATTCAGTGAGCAACAATTGCTTGCCATTCTCGAAGTGTGGAAGCTTCGATTTTGCCATGGCAATGTAACTTAATTAAGACAGTGATAAAGCACGAGAGGTGAATCGATTTACGGCTATTAAATTGAAATCAAACCCATGTCGAGATAACATTTTCTCATTAAATTCAGACATTGGGTGTTTGTTTGTTGAATTAGACAAGCTAATTTGATGTCTGATTAAGTGTTATGATAGAGATAGTGATAGATTTTGAATATCGTGTGGGAAATCTTTTCAGTCTTTGCATAATTATATAGGGATGAGGTATACCATTTTAAACTTAAATTTCAAATTTCTGAATTATATTTTCAAAGTTTTATTAGAGTTTCTACACATCCTAAAATACAGCAGTAATTTTAAACAGCTTTCCTTCTCTTTGCTCACTCTCATAGTATATTTTCTTTTTGCCTTTCCCATTTTTTTTAACTTTCGAGTGTGTGTCGTGTCATCGCAAGGTTTTCCCACTGACTTTCTGTTCTGGCTAAGGCGGTGTCTTGGCCAAGCCATAAACGCGTCATCGCACAACAGTAAAAACAACAACAACAAGGAACAGTAACAACTTGTTTATTGTTCTGCCCCTTTGGCCTTGACTTGGCCATAATCGATTCATTACCAACTAGCCAGCTAGGAAACGAGCAAGGGCTCGGGCCACTTTCCATACATTGGCCAAAGTACTTGGGCTAAGGCCATGCCTCTAATTACACTTTTTCGAACAGCATAAATATTTGAACACGAGCCGAGTAATTGAACGCACTTCCATTTCCGTTTCCGCTTCCAGGTGACCTTCAACAAGCGCAAGTTTGGCGTCATGAAGAAGGCCTATGAACTGTCCGTGCTCTGCGACTGTGAGATCGCTCTGATCATCTTCTCGTCGAGCAACAAGCTGTATCAGTATGCCAGCACTGACATGGATCGCGTCCTGCTCAAGTACACCGAGTACAATGAGCCTCACGAGTCCCTCACCAACAAGAACATCATTGAGGTAAGTTGTGGAAGGGTGGCAAATAGGGCGGGAAAGCGTCTCGAATGAGAGAGAGAGAGAGAGCACCCTTATGCAAATACAAGTGAGCCGTGAAAAGCACAGCAGCAAAGGTAGAATCAAAAGGGCGGAATGTAAGGGGAACTTTGACAGATTAGACTTTGGAATACCTTTAGAGATCTTAGAAAAATATATTTATTTTTGTTTCGTATCCACTTTAAGCATAAATTTCTGAAGTTAAGTCCTTAATTTATATGATATAGGTTTAGATAAGAAAAGGAATTTTTCAAACAATTAAAGTAAAGTCACATAATCCTCAGTCTTGAAGTACAAATTTCTCTCTCTGTAAGCTTAAACAAGTATCTTTCCCAAAAATTTTTTACTTCCGGAAGTGCTGCAGACCTTTAAGTAAACCTGTATTGTCTTTTGGCAAGGATTAAAGCAATAGCAATAAAAACGACACTGCAGCATTTGACGGAGGGTGGCAAGTCATGGGGGTGTGGAGAGGGAAAATGTCGCCAAAGTATTTTGCATTTCTAATGCGACGCCGCTGTCTCGGTTTCGCTGTCGTTGTCGCTGCCGCTGTCCGGGCGTAAATGGTTTTGTAATGTTAATGCTGCTGCGGGGAACAGAGCAGGACAAGATTTGCATTTACATAATTTAGCACAACAAAACGTCAAGTGGCCCGAAAGAAAAGCCTGGGGCAATTATCACGTCACTCCTCGGATTTCTACCTTACTCTCTTATTTCTCTTACAAAATTTTGTGTTAATTTTCGCTTTGCAGAAAGAGAACAAGAACGGCGTTATGTCGCCGGACTCACCTGAAGCTGAAACGGACTATACACTGACACCGCGAACGGAGGCCAAGTACAACAAGATCGATGAAGAGTTCCAGAATATGATGCAGCGTAATCAGATGGCCATTGGTGGAGCGGGTGCGCCACGACAGCTGCCCAATAGTAGCTATACGCTGCCCGTTTCCGTACCGGTGCCAGGACCCTATGGCGACAACCTGCTGCAGGCCAGCCCACAGATGTCCCACACCAATATTAGCCCACGTCCATCGAGTTCGGAGACGGATTCAGGTGGGATGTCCCTGATAAGTTAGTACAGTGTCTCGCGCCGGCTGCACACACATTTCTATCTATCTATCAATCGTTGGTTTTGTTCTCGTTTTTCGTTACTTTCTGATCTGATCTGATCTGATCTGCATGCTTGCTCGAAATTCTAATCTCTAATCTGCTAATCTCTTAACCATGGTTATGTTGTTTCTGATTTTTAATCTATGATTTCCCTAACCCACTCACCGCCATCTAACCAATTTGCGTGCGAAGTTCTGTATATCATATAAGTATATATCTAGTGTTAGTGATCTCCGGTCTAAACGTGTGTTTTTGCATATTCTTATCTTCTATTTGGCTCATCAGTCTATCCATCGGGTTCCATGCTGGAGATGTCGAACGGCTATCCACATTCACACTCGCCGCTTGTGGGATCACCGAGTCCGGGTCCCAGTCCTGGCATAGGTGGGCATAAACATTACTCCTCCTCCTCCTGCTCCTTTCCCCCATCATATAACCCACTCCAAATCTAACATCATTTCATCATTGGTTCAGTCTGTGGTTGTGGCTTCTAACTAATCCAACAAGATCTTCTTGCAGCTCACCATTTGTCCATCAAGCAACAGTCGCCGGGCAGCCAGAACGGACGAGCTTCCAATCTAAGGGTTGTCATACCGCCCACTATTGCCCCCTTACCGCCCAACATGTCCGCGCCCGATGACGGGGCCTATGCAGATGTGAGTTTAGTATATAGTTTCATGAAATGGGTTAGTCTTAAACTTGGTTTTATTTCGATCCTTTAGCAACGACAGAGTCAGACATCGCTGAACACGCCAGTGGTCACGCTGCAGACGCCGATTCCCGCCCTTACGAGCTACTCCTTCGGGGCACAGGATTTCTCCTCTTCCGGCGTGATGAACAGCGCAGATATCATGAGCATCAACACCTGGCATCAGGGCCTGGTGCCGCACTCTAGGTGAGAATCATGACAATTATTAAAAGGGATTAGCCTAAGAACCCGCTACATAATTTAAGTCTTTGGCTAATCAATATTTATTTCAACCCTTTCCAGTCTCTCGCACCTGGCTGTCTCGAATAGCACGCCGCCGCCCGCCACCTCACCCGTCTCCATCAAGGTCAAGGCCGAGCCGCAGTCGCCGCCGCGAGATCTCTCCGCCAGTGGCCATCAGCAGAACAGCAATGGGTCAACGGGCAGCGGCGGATCTAGTAGCAGTACAAGCAGCAATGCTAGCGGAGGAGGAGGTGGTGGAGGAGGAGCCGTTAGTGCAGCCAATGTCATTACGCACTTGAACAATGTCAGTGTCTTGGCGGGTGGTCCGTCGGGGCCAGGAGGAGGCGGCAGCAACGGAAACGTTGAGCAAGCCACCAATTTGAGCGTACTAAGCCACTCGCAGCAGCATCACCTGGTCATGCCCAACTCGAGGCCCTCGTCCACGGGCCACATCACACCCACTCCAGGTAGGCTTGTACTTTTTTGCTGCACTATTTCGATCTCCTTTCCTTTTGACTTTTCCCTCGTGTTCGAAGGATTTCCGCTTGCAAAAATTGCTGCCGTTTGTCTACTAATTTGTCTAGAGTTAAAAACTTGATAAAATATTAAAAAAACAAAAACAAAAATTAATCTTTATTGCGGCATGTTTTTAGTGCTAAAACGCTCTCTCTTTATCTCTCTGTTAATGTTTAATTTCTCATGTCCAACGGGCGTATACTTAATTTCTGATTACGTATACGCAGCGTGTGCCGTCGAGGCACCTGTTACTTGCAACCTGCCGTTCTAATATTGTTACTATATAATACGATTGTCTTTTTTTGCATTAACCCACAACGACAACGACAACAACAACAATGTGTGATAATATTTAGGGCATGATAAGTATGAAGGATATCCGTACCGCGCGCTAATGGGACATAATACTAGATGGAATTTTGCCGGTAAATTGGCCAAAAAAACGAAATACATCAAATACATTCAGACACACACACACACATACAAACATATAAACATGCATACAAACACACACCTATATATACGCATACATACAAAACTATAGCAAAATTCTTGTAAATTGCAAAAAGAAATTCCTTGATTTTTGTTAGGAAAGAGCGGGGGTTGAGTTTTAATTTTCCTTTCAGTTTCTGGGGCCTTTAAGATTATGAAATTCCAAAGAAATTACTTTTGCCTGCCTTTTGTTTTGATTTTCCTACTAACTAACCACACAACCAAGCGATTTCCTGCTAACCCAAAACACTTCTTGTAGTTTAGGAAGTCACTGAAGGAATTTTAAAATAAGTAAGGAAAAATAAATAACGCAACTAGCCATCAGTGACTTCTTAGAGCTGCAGGACTCATAATCACAAGACACAAGCTCACAAAATGGTCAGATGCTGAATGTCCGAGTCTCTGGCCAAGACCCCGCCTGCCCTAATTTGCCTGTCCGCCTGCCTTTGTCATACACACGCGACCTATGATCAAATCAAACTAATAGCTTAACAGACTTCATTATCCTTAATGCAGGTGCGCCGAGCAGCGATCAGGATGTGCGTCTGGCAGCCGTGACCGCGCAGCAGCAACAACAGCAGCAGCAACAGCAACATCAACAGCAGCAACTAGGCGATTATGATGCCCCCAACCACAAACGGCCGAGAATATCGGGCGGATGGGGTACATAGCCGGCACGAGCTGCCGGTAGCAGCCACTATAAGCCACATCACAACAACCACACCGGCTGCAGCAGCATCAACAGTAGCAACACCATCAGCAGTAGCAGTAGCAGCAACAGCAACAGCAGCAGCAACAAGAAGCTGACGGAGTGCGATGACCTGGCAATGATGCCGCCACCGCCTCGTAAGGACATTGGCCGAAACTCCTACAGCATACTGCAGTCCGGCTACGACTGCTATGGCCAGCAGCTGGCGGTGGCCTACGGAACGCAACAGCATCCGTAGCCACCGCGTCCTCCTCCGTTTCCGGACCAGTGCAATAGTTGAGAAAATGGAAATTGGAGGCAGTTTTGTTTTGTTTTCGGTTTAAGCGAACAGTGACAGTGTCATATCTATAGTTATTGTAACTTAAATGAATTACGATTACACACCTACGGTAATAGTTATAATTTTAAATTATAAACGCAGAGCTGGCGGGTCTGAGCCCGCATCCTGCCGAACAATTTGGCGCAGGTTAGAGTGTTGAGCTGATTTAGTTTAGTTACAATTACAAAATATAGTTACGAGTATGGTTAAAGTTAATGTTAAATCTAATCTTAGGACAAAATGCTGCAGACAAAACAAAAACAAACTAAAAAGAAGAAACAAAAACAAAAATAACAAAAAAGAAAGAGCTCTTTATGCTGTAAATATTTGATTTTAGTGTAATAAGTTTTAAACTTAGTTCGTAGGAAAGGAACTACGAGATACGTAAACCATGCAAGTCACACGATGAGAAACGATTGAGAAATTCTAAGCTAAAAACACAGACCCTCATGCAGATGTACTCAGTGTTCGATCATAATTTGTAATTTTGTGCAATTTTTATCGTCAATTTTTAGTTATATTCTAATGCACGCACATACAACCTTTTTGGCGGTTCATCATCGAACCCGAGATTTGTTTTTAATAAATGATTGGTTTTTGGTTGATTTAAACCGAAATCATAGCCTTTTGCAAGTACATATATTATATATACTTTACATTTTATGATTATGTTTTAGTTCTGATTTAAGCGATTATTTAATAGAAACTTTTCTCTTTCATCTCTTAAGCGAAACGAAGTCATAATTTGTAATTTAAATTTAAAGTGGATTTCTATTCAATTTGAAATGTTTCAAATTCTTGTGCCTAAGTTTTTTGTATTTTTTACATTTAAATGCAGTTTGTAAAACAACAACAACCACAATCGCAACCGCAACAACAACAACTCAACAAAATATAATTTAAATAAAATTATTCAAGAAATTTTTCGTTGTTCTTTGTTTTATTTTTGTTGTTGTTAAGAGTCTTATTTGATTAATCCATATCTTTATTTGTTCTCTGTACAATTTACCCGGCCATATTTATACAGGCCCAGTGGGCGTGTCTGCGCCTGTGTCAATGTCAATTGCCCATTTCGAAATTGCCAATATTTGACTAAGGGGTAAACGCGCCCGCAAATATTTGCACTGGCCATATGACCTGTTGCACTTTATACAACAGCGCTGCAAAAAGAAAAAAACAAAAGGAATAAAATATTTTATGTATATTTGTATTTGAGACGAGGCTGCATCAGCTGTGCATATTTAATTACAGAAAGTAAAAAAACGAAACAAAAAAAAAATAATGTAGGTGCAGCCAGAGAAGAGCATAAACAATAAGCAAACTTACACTCTACAGGTTTCCCCATTGAACAAGCTTTACAACACCTACATATTTAAGCAGATTGAAACGGAACGGGAGTGCGAAATTATACGTCTACCAGCACGTGAAAGATATTTTCTAGCCATATACGATATATATATATATATACGAGTATACACTAAGCAACTAGCCGAGGTATTGAGGCATTGAAAACCGAAGCACACTTTTAGGATGAGAGAGAGTAAAATACACGTAGTTAGTCCACAGAGCAGTCCATTTCATAGTTAATCCTTTCCAGTAACTCCAACTTAAGATGGCCTGCTCTTTGTTGGTTATATTATATATAGATATATATTACATATTATGTACATACATGTTGAATGTGAATATTTGTGGGTATACTTGTTGCACCACTGAATGTTGTAACCTGAAACCCTATGTTGAACCCTAAATGATTTTCATATGATTTGCAATAACTTTTCGGAATTTCTCAGACTTTTCATTTTGTTTTATGGACCTCGTTCTGTTGATGTATATATTTATAGATCCTGGTGTATAACTTCACTGTGTAGTGTTGCCTTAAAAACAGTGCCTCTTTTTGATGAACAAACAAATACATGAAGATATAACTTGAATGTTGTACTCTAATGTTGATTGCAAATGATAATGATAACGAACAACTTGATGGTGAAAAATTTCAATACAGGTGTTAATTGTGCTATTTAAATAAGCGTAGATAAATCTGGTAACTGATATTAAACCTAATCGAACCCTAGTGAGATCCCGAGAGCGATATAACCTCCACTAAGCAGCACGTAATGTACAAATGGGCGTTTCAATTGGCATTGCATAAGGACGGCTTACCCAGAAACCCATATATATGTAGTCTAGTTAAAAGATAATAAGCAAAAATGAGATAATGATATATTTGAATGACGCGCACTGTACAGTTGACTGTCTAGAAGACGTCCTACGGTCACAGGGACCACTCACAGCACACAGAAATAATCGAGATGACGGTATCTGCAAACGGATCGTCCAGAGAGTGTAAATTCGTATTCGCTGTACCTTTAGGATAATACCTAGATAAAATGTTAAATCTACGCACTGTTGTAATGAAATTTATGTGGCACTCCACAAGCATCATATAATAGTTATTCAAAGACTTGTGCTTGAACTCACTTAGAGAATAATGTCGGCTCCAGAGTCACGATGGCATATATGTATGTACAAGTATGTTTAGCTAAACTCTAGATAGGTCTGGGAGTGATATGCTAGTATGCACAAAGATTAGGGAGCATTTCAGATAGAAAGATAGAGAGAGCGAGAGGGTCACCTACTTAAGTGTATCCATCGATGTGTCTGTTCAAATAAACATATACAACTAATTCGTAACTCTAAGCTCTAAGGATATGCAACCGTTTTGGTGAAAAACAAGTTAGTACATTATACATGCATATATATGTGAAATTATATAATGAGAAACAAGTTTTATCCGTGCACTGAATATGAAAGGTTTTGGAAATTGACAAATTGATTGTGGATTCAATATTTACCTATTAAGTTGGTGTTTTAAACAGAAAACAAAAAAAAAAGAGAACAAAACCGAACAAATGATAGTAGAACATTTTAAATAAAACCTTTTTGGCAACTGATTTTCGTGACGTTTTTCTTTTTCTACAATTTTATTGCAATTTTAAGCTTAATTCCGAATCATAAGTTCAAATTCTCAATTTTATAATCTAGTGAAATGCAATCGCGGTACACAAATTGGCTGGGATGATAATCCTTTCACATGCCGTTGTAGGCTGGGCCGCCGCCTCCCTCGGGCACCACCCAGTTGATGTTCTGCTTGGGGTCCTTGATATCACAGGTCTTGCAGTGGATGCAGTTCTGGGCATTGATCTGCAGCTTCATATTGCCTCCTTCCTCGTTGGGCACATACTCATAGACGCCGGCAGGGCAGAAACGCTGCTCGGGTCCCTCGTACAGCGCTAGATTGTGATCCACCGGTATGCGGTCGTCCTTTAGCGTCAGATGGGCGGGCTGGTCACCCTCGTGGTTTGTGCCCGTAAGCGCCACCGACGACAGCAGATCAAAGGAGATCTTGCCATCGGGCTTGGGGTAAACGATAGGAGTGCTGGAGCTTGCCGGTTGCAGGGATTCGTGATCCTGAGGACCGTGCTTCAGTGTCCAGGGTTCCCGACCACCCATGAAGATGGAGAAGCCACTAAGCACAAGGCCACCATATAGGCCCAAAGGATTGTGGAACGAGGGGTGGACATTCCTTACACTGTATAGATCCTTCCACACGAAGGAGTCCTTGATTCTGGGAGAAAAATGTTGATTTTATATTAATATTATAATTTATTAAAAGAACTCTATACTCACTTTTCAGCGTAGCTCGTGGGTTCCACGCCAGCCGTCGATTGTGTGTCTGCGTTGATGGCCTCAAAGGCACTTTCCGCCGCCAGCATACCGCTCTTCATCGCGTAGTGGGATCCTTTGATGCGAGGCACATTCAGGAAACCAGCACTGCAGCCAACCAGACAGCCTCCCGGGAAGGATAGCTTCTGTGGCAAACTCTGGAAGCCGCCCTCGTTGATGGCGCGTGCTCCGTACGCAATTCGCGTTGCGCCCTCGAAGACGTGGCGCACCTTGGGATGCGTCTTGAAACGCTGGAACTCCTGGAAGGGGCTTAGCCAGGGGTTCTTGTAGTTCAGACCAACCACAAAGCCCACAGCGATGGTGGGAGTGGGCTCATTCAAATGGTACAAGAAGGAGCCGCCATACGTAAAGCGGTCCAGAGGCCAGCCAATGGTGTGCTCCACCAAACCAGGTCTGTGATGAGAGATAAATAAATTAAAAAACATTTTTTCGGTAATACTATCAAGCTTCTTACTGGTGTTTCTCGGGGGCGATCTCCCAAACCTCTTTCAGACCGATTCCATAGGCCTGTGGCTCGCTGCCCTCGTTCAGCCCAAACTTCTGCTGGATCTGCTTGGTCAGGTGACCACGGCAACCCTCAGCGAAGATGGTCGTTTTGGCGTGCAGCTCCATTCCACGTGCAAATGTGTCTTTGGGAGCACCACTCTTGGCAATGCCCACATCATTAGTTGCGATGCCCTTAACACTGCCATCTTCGTGGAAGAGCACTTCGGAAGCAGCACAACCGGGATAGATCTCCACACCCAAGGCCTCCGCCTGATCACCGAGCCATTTGACGAGGTGACCCAAGCGGACCACATAGTTACCGTGGTTATCCATGGGCCAGCCCTTGAAGACGGGAATGGAGATGCGGCCGGATCCGGTAAGGAAAGAGAAGGTATCCTTGGTCACTGGGGTGTTTAGCGGAGCACCCTGCTCTTGCCAGTCGGGGATGAGCTCGTTCAGCGAGACGGGATCGATAACAGCGCCAGAGAGAATGTGTCCGCCGACTTCAGCGGACTTTTCCACCACACAGACGCGGATTTCCTACAATTTCGTGATTGTTAAGCGTGGGTATGATGAAGATATAGGAGCTAACTTACCTGATCTTTTTCCGCAGCCAGTTGCTTGGCCCGAATGGCCGCGGACATGCCAGCAGGTCCTCCACCCACGATCACCAGATCCACCTCCTCGATGCAGCGCTCCATGTCCACCTCTGTCCAGCGTTCATCCTTCTCGCGGGGATTAAGCGTATAGTGGGTGGTGATCCTGGGATATTTAGCCACCTCCGAGATGCTCCGCACCAAGGAGGGTCTGAACAGCCTCTGGACTGGATGGATGAATAGATAATTGTATAATCAGCAAGGTTCAGGGGTTAAGGGGTCTATCAGCATCTTTGTGGTTATGTAATAGTCAAAATTTGTTTTTTTTGGGAACACTCACCTCTGTGCATTTTCAAAAGTGCCGACATTTTCTGTTCCCTTCCTAGCTAATAACGGTTTATCAATGGGAAGAGTTCTAGAAATGCACTGAACTGTTCCTTAGAACCTATGTATATATGTGTTGTGTTTACTCTGATCCAAAACACAACACAAACAACAAGATCGGTGCAACAAGTTGGACTTTAGACCCGTCTAGCTGATGACGTAGCGTCGTCCAAAGTTCGTTGGCAATGTTTATCTTTCGTCTATCTGTATTTAGCACTCGAGATTGCCAACTCAGAATCAAAATAAACTGATAAAATTGCAATATTAGAGCGGTTTAGATCCGTTTCCCAAGTAGCGGTTTTTTAATGCTTACAGCTGGGCGATAAGAACGAGTGGGACTAATAAATACCGCTACCCGTATACTCAAACCATATTGAAAAATGGTGGGAAAAGATTTCAGCGGTGTCACAAACCCACCACCTTCCCAGAGTTGTCGAGCATTCAAAAAGCGTTGAGATTCAAGTTAATTTCAAATCATAGTAAAAAACCGATGTTCTCATCTAAATTACATGTATATATAATAAATTTCAATAATAACAACCTCAAATAGAGATTAAAATCACATTACAGTAAAGCAATCTTTATTTTGGAATTTTGGCAAAAGACTTTTTTACACAGTTTCAATGCATTCAATATTACTCTAAATATATTTATAGATACATAGGTTAGAACTTCAAAGCGCGGTGAATTTTTAATCCAGCCCATTCATTAAAAATTCATAGTTTAGGCATTTATCAGGAGTTCGTGTGAGGATGGAAGTATACGTATACCAATTACGATTCGTGGGTAAGTTTGTCAATAAGTATTTACATGGAGGTTTCCCGCAGGATTCATTCACTGGCCGAAGAACTGGTCCTGCTCTGCACTGCCCTCGTCCGGGGATGTGGTCTGCTCACCACTCTTAACCTGCTGATCCTGTAACTCTTGTTTCTTAAACAATTCTGTCATGGCTTTGTCCACTGGACTCCTTTCGCCTGGTTTGCCTTGATTGGATTTGGTTTGATTAGATTCGGGAGTCACTGGCTTTACGCTCTTGCCAAAGCGAATGAAGTTTGAGTCCATCTTTCCAGAACGAACGAAATCCTGTGGAGCAGAGCGGCCAAAACGCATAAAGTTGTCAGGACGACCGAAACGCATGAAATCCTGTTTGGGACTACGAAGCTCCTCGTGCGGACTGCGCCCGAAACGCATGAAGTTGTCAGAGCGGCCAAACCTCATGAAATCCTCTGCCGGTGTCCGTCCAAACCTCATGAAATCCTCCGCCGGAGTGCGACCAAATCTCATGAAATCCTGCTTGGGGTCCCGACCGAATCTCATGAAATCTTGCTTGGGATCCCGGCCAAACCTCATGAAGTCCTGCTTAGGATCCCTACCAAACCTCATAAAGTCCTGTTTAGGATCTCTTCCAAACCTCATAAAGTCCTGCTTGGGATCCCTGCCATACCGATCCATGCTGGCTCTCTTAGCCATGCCCTCCATCTCTTCGGATCCTCCGTAACTGCCCTCTGGAGGCAGTTGCTCCGCCTGCCTCTTTCCAAAGTGCATAAAATTATCCTGCACGGATCTCCTCTTGGCCTCCATTTCCGGATCGAACTTTTGGCGCGGTTTACGACCGTGCTTTTGGAAGCGCAAGATCACTGCATTTTTAGAGTAATCAATGCCAATCACGGAGATGGGGTGTCTAAACTCCAGCTCCGCCTTCTCGTTCTGATCATTGCTGAGTAGTGCATCTACCAGGTCATTGTCCTGCGGCGGACTCACCTCGGAGTCTCCATCCTGCAAGGAGTTACCGCCATAGTTGGGTGTCTCGATGATCTCACTGTGAATGGCCGCCTGCATCTGGTACAGGGCCAGCAGGAACATCAAGGCAATGCCCATCTGCAAGGATAAGAAAGGAGTGGTAGTAGTATATCGAATAATTATGAGACAGCGGCATCTCGCGTTATCTATTGCAACTTTTAATCACATTAAGACTGTTCATTTTACTTAGGGTAACAGTAGCCACCAGCAGCCAGGACTCGCAGACAAAGTGTCCTGCTAATTAACCATCATGATATTTATGGCCAGATCTGCTGGGCCAAGCGCGTAAAAAGTTAACCAACCACATTAAGGCCACCACAATGGCATGACAATGGTCTACCCCGCCCACCCTCACCCACTCAGCGAACCACCCACATCGGCATATAACCAGGTTTACAGGCATTAACACTTGTTCAAGGCGCACGGGAAAGTGGGCGTCGAGAGGAAGTGCCAGGGGAGCAGTTGATGTATGGTGTCCGGACGACGACGACGACAGAGCAGCACCATTAGAGATGCAAATGATTATGGCTTTTGGATATGGTGACGGCTTGGCCTGCGAGGCCTGCTCAAGGCAAGCTGATCCACTGAGTGCCATGTCGCCACATTGACGATGCGGCAGGTGCAACAGGTTGCAGGATGAAGAACCTAGCGGCAATCTACAGTCTCCACAGCCTCGAATCATAATGGCCATTATGAATGGTTTGAATGTTGTTCTCTATTTCAGTTTGAACTTTATTGGTAAGAAAGGAGGTGCCTTTTCTGATCATAGTTTTACTAAATTTTAAATAAAGCTAATGTGATGATAATGTAGCAGATTAATAGCTTGCGGGCTGCCACTTTTAAACCATATCTTAACAGATTGCATTAAAAGTAATGGGTAACCTTTCTAAAAGTTCAGAGCAGAGCTACCAACGGAATCATAAAATGCTCTACGCTTTCCACCTCTGATCATTGATAAATATGAATCTTATCTGCCATCTCAAAGCGACTATGCCATTTTTTAAAGATTTAAGGTAAGGAGGTTGCAACACTGTTGCAGGAAGAAAAACCGTCAGCGACAGTCATGGGGTTTTCCAAACCCGACAACCAGTGGCCAATTAACACTTCTGTGCCGACGAAGTTTGGATTGCTCCGTTTTGAAAAAAAATTAAAAACTTGCCCAGACAACTCACGACAAAAACTTGACCTCCAAGTCGGCGGCTGATGAGCGGACTTCGCAACCGCAAGCATTAACATACTTTCAGCGGTACTCGCTTAATTCGATGTCGCGGCAATCAGAGCCGCATTCAGGCATTCAAGAGTGCCAAAGTAGATGGCCCAGACAAACCGTCTAAAGATTTGCATACGTACTTCTGGGATTTCTTTTTTTCGTTTGGATAGCCAAATGGAGTTGCATTGCTGCAGTTGCAGCCTGCGATTGCAACAGGTTGATGGAACTCAAGGGTCCCCATAAAAGAGGAAACTAGTCATTCAGGCGGCGTTTAAATTATGGGCTCCGGCTGAATATGTTGCAATACCCCTACTTGGCGCTAAAATATGACAGACAACCTCTCCAGAGGCAAGGAGTCAGTGAATTTGAAGTGGGTAGACAACAATTGCCAAATGTCTGATTGATTTGCGATGCCGAAATGTGCATTTAAAATTCATAAATGTGTTGCTGTCTTGTTTATTCTGGGCAGAAGTCACCTGCCTGGCAGCTAGTCTGCCTGCCTGCCAAAAATAAGGAAGGGGAGGTATCAATAACGCACTCGTTAATTCGCTTAGCAGGCTTATGGGAAGATGAAACCCGGGCCTAAACTGATTTGCATGGCATATGCGATATGTTTGATATCTTTGAAGTAGCTGCCCTGGCAACATCTCCTACCACATTCTGGATTTGCAGGATACATGTGCGAATAACACATTAACCCATGGCGGGGCATTTAAATATCATTTGTCAAGACGGAGCAGTAAAGTTAGACAACGCCAGAGACAAATGATGACGCGGGCCATTTCAGTTGTCCAGTGTCGGCGATAAATCATAAATTGTACACGCTCCGCTCCGCTTTACAATTCTTGAGCTCCAGCCCTCAACACCTAAAAGTGGGTCCACCATTTGCGCCTTTTTTTCCCACCTGCCACGAATGCAAATGGAAATCTAGCTGTGCTCTGGACCCCGAAAGTGCACTCATAAATATTTCAATTTGCCTTCATTAACCGAAATGGCTGTTACTATTCCATGTGTCTGCTGGCTCTGAGGAAAAACTATTTCCTGTTTGGGTTTCTCGCCAGACTCGAACTAATTTTCTAGGTGGTAGAGTCGAAAAGTTGACAAAACCGAATTAGTTTGTTTTAGTTCGGCTAGCAATTTTGGCCAATTAAAAATTACCTTGTTTCGAGGATTAACGAAGCATATTTGATGCTTTTAAGGGGGCTTTGGATAGAGTTAAAACTACAGCTTGTGTGATGCTAGCTTTTAATTTGAAAATGTAACAGAAATGTCAAATTTATTTTTAGACACTAGGAAAATTTCAGGTTAGGTGTCCTATCTTGATGTCAATATCTTAGAAAGTTTGAAATGTGATGTGAAATTCGATTTTTGAAATAATTTAATGACTAATATTTCTTAGAAAACCTATAAGCTTCTTGCCCTCTATTAAGCAATCAACTTTTATGAGTTTTATTGAAATTGATTCATTGTATAATATAAATCTGGATTTTCAATACCATTTTAATTGGCTTACATTTTTTATTACATTTACTTTATTTGTTTTCACATCTTAACAACATTCTATTGATTGCTTAAAAGGCATGTGTTTTCAATAAATAAACTTTAAGTGCACTTCATTTATTTTAAGAAAATTTCCAAAGAAGTGGTTCTGATATCTTTTTTTACCAACCAATTTGTTTGTAATTTTTCGAAATAATTGTTTAATTAATGATTGTATTGTCCACTCCGGTTACACTTACCTTTTAAAATTGTCCTCGTACTTGGAAATAGGATGAAGTCGGGACAGGGGATCCTTTTTGGACGCACTCACACACACACACTTGTTGCCCGGTCGAGTGTGGAACAGTTCTGTGCGAATGTTTGCCGAAACATCCTGTTTTATATGCTGTTGGTCCTTTGTGCGGCACCAAAAGGAGGCTGATGTTGAAAGGTGCCTGTGTGGGCGCGAGCAACAAGTGCTGCAGCAACATGTTGCCAAAGGACATTCAATGGCTCTAAACTGCCATTGTTTACCATTGCAGTTTTTGCTGATTTTAAAGCGCTAGTACGAACTGCAGTTTAGCACATATATACTATATATAGTGTACATAGAAAAAACCTTGACAATGTCGGCGAATGGACTATGGTCAGCCACTGATATGTTTGTTTTACTTGTCACCGCCTGTCACCGGAACAAAAGACCAAAAAAAGAAACCAGCATTCATGTTGACTTATTAGCCAGTGGCACCAGAAGCAGCAACAATGACGTAGCAACATCTCGTCGCCAGTTTGCTGGCCACTCGAGAACCAAATTGTATGCAAATCGCCCACAATTGTTATGTTACGCCCACTTTTAAGTCGGCTGGAAAGGAGCAGAAAAAGAAGGAGAAGGAGGAAGAAGAGCAGGGACATCCTGGCCGGGCACGTCCAATTAGCCTCCTAGCAAGTGAATCGACTACGTGTCCGTATGCGTTATAATTTGCCCTTGCCGTCGCGGCGTTTATGGCGCTTTATGGCCCTGTAACCTGTAACGGGATACATTGTGGCGCCTCTGGCATCTCATCATCCACATCCCCAAAGAGCCACCCAACAAAATACCCCCATCCCCGGCGGCTTTTTGAGACTCGCCTCTTTGGGTGGGGCTAAGAAACTGTTCAAAAGCCGGAAGTCTGTAATTACGCTTCGGCAAAAGGCCAAAGTTTTTGGAGACGCGTCTCAGCACAATGGCATTTTTGGCCACCATGCATGACTGGACAGAAATGTGTCAGGTTGTTAGCCAAGTTTATTGTGTCCACTGCGCTCTTTACGATCGCCCCAAAAATCAATATAAACACGGTCGATAATCGTGTCTGAAGACGTCTTCATTAGCATAAATAGCTGCGAAAAACGAAAACGAAACTTAAATAACTGGCAAAGAGATGAGATGAGACTAGTTCAAGTTCAAATCTTGGACCTAGCTTTGGGTTTGTTGACCAGGCCAAGTCGTGTGCCAGTCCCCCAGTTAAAAATAGAGCAGACAACCTTACTTTTGAGATCTCCTGAAACCTTTGTTGTCAGTCCATTTGAATTTTTATTTCATTTCTATTGTTCTAGCTCATCGATTTTTATGATCTTTGTTTTTAATAAACTTGAAATTAAATTGTTTTCTGACCTTTGTTATTCTAGCTAATGTACCCTCTGAAAATATGTGATAGCAATTAAAATGTGATGATCTTTTCGTATGAGGTTAATGTTTCAAAGTGGTGAGCCTACAAGCTCACAGCATAAATGCTAATCTAAATATTTTATACAAAACAGCGAACCTTAAGACGCATATCACGTGGCGGGCTTTATATATTTATCCAATTTGCGAGGTGAGCGGAGGTCAGGTCGCCTGTTGCCACTTTGCACTTATCATTTTGGCCACTTTGATTAGTCCGATTATCTGCAGCCCTGGCTGAAAATAAAGCCAATAAAACTTGATGCTGTTTCGATGTCAATGCCATTGTCATTTCGCGGCTACTACTTTTTTTTCTCCAACATCTTCTTCTGTTTCGGTTTCAGCGCATTTGGTCAACAACTGTAACTAACCAGGTCCATCTAATTAACGGGCAGCGCAATGGGGATTTATGTGTGCCATAAAGCAAACTTAGGTAGCCGCTTTTCGCCGATCCACCCACCGATCCGGTTCGTTTGACTTTATGGTTGGTTCAAACGGATTTCCCTAAAGCGCAGTAGCCCACACTGCGTATGTGCAACGCACGCGGTGCTGGACCGAAAATTGAATTGTTTGGCTGGGACGAAAAGCAATTGCATCACATTATCAGGGGAGTGCACTAACTTCGAAATTGAATGTTGAGGAGGTAAAACAGGTAAGCACAGGGCACCGATCGTTTACTTAGAGCGCAGCGAAGTGAGAAAGCGCATGCAGTAGCTCAACCCCTGACCGTTGGTTTTATGGGGGTTAAAGGGGGCTAGAAGATGGTTCAAGGGGGGTAGAGACTTAAGAGGGGCCCATGTGAAGCCCCTCCTCACCTGGTATTGTGTGTCATTTCTCGAGTCTCTCTCAGATTCGAAGTCGTATGCTTGCACAGAAAGAAATTATGATATAATATGGTAATGAGGTGATGAAATATCATTATTATTTTATTGGTAATAGAAAATTCGTAATTAATATAAAGTTAATTGTTCGGATTAGAATAAATTTATCTTATAATTAAGTATATAATGTACTTACTTTGCAGGAAACTTTCTTATATTTTTCATACCTTTTAAGGCTTACAAAATTATACAAATCCCAGAATAATATCACTATTTACATCAATAAAATGCTTAAATATATTATTTAAAATTAAGCTTTGATTACGAAGGCATGTTAAGCAATCTTAAATGAAAGTGCAAAAGCACTTAAAGAGAAAATCTTTTCTTTAACCCTAGAATCTTGTTTGGGTTGTTGTTCATATGAAAACCCGTATGGGAGATGTAAATAGTTGTTTGACCTGGCACTAAACTGTCTTTTTTTTCTGTGTGCCAGCTTGGAAACTAGCTACCAGATCTCGGAGTATCTGCAGTTGTGTGTGTGCCAAACTAGCCGATGCGATACATAGTTTGGGCCAAAGTTGTTTTCGTTTTATTTTCTATTAGGTTGGCTGGGAGTGCGAGACTCTTTTCGTGATCAGTTTGTGTTTAGCATTCGGTGAGCGCGGGTCAACAGTATCTGAATCCGAAACTGAATCCGCACAAATATCTTACTATCTGTTGAAAAGGGTCTGTCATTGTTGCCAAGTGAAGGTGCGCTCCAAACTTCCACGATTAATTAAAACATAAGTAAAAAAATCGAAGACGGTTTTAGTGGCATTTATGCAATTAGCATGAGAATCAAATCGGTTCAACAAAATTCAAGGCTTTGTGAATATATAATAAATGGATTCTATTATAAAAGATATATAAGAGCCATAAAGGTGTTGGGTCCTTGGTTGACTAGCCGAATAGTTTTGAATATATTTCTCAACCACTGTATACACTCAACAATTCGTGACTATATGCATACCCCGTTGCATCCACTCCTTGATTTTATTATCGCATTGTTGACATCTCCGGTTGCTCCAAACTGGTTGTCCCGAGAAGAAAAGCCCGAACATGGACCAAAGGAGTACCAAACACTTTTCGGGTATTTTCAAAATTGGGAAATCAGGAAACTGGGAAATGCCAACCACCTGAACATTCTTCTCGAGCAAGTGAAGCAGCTGTCGTCGAGCATGCAATCACCGTATCAAGTGCTATAAATTGCAGTTTGTAGATCCCATGACTGGCTGAATATTGTGGCTACTATCCGGGAATCTTTTTATGGCTTTTACCTATAGACCGTTTTAGATGCCAACTCGATTGCCCCCCGGAGTAGATCTAAAATTGCAATAATTGACGCTCAGTAAGTGTTGCACAGAGCGGAGCTGGCCGAGACTAGCGGGTCAGCGGGTTGTATGTGGCAATCCAACTCTTTTGGCCTGGTTAACACACATCTGCCCTTTTTCACTTTCGAAAATCACGTTCGCTGCCACAGTCTTTGGTATCAGCAATGAACTACACTTAATGGCTGCGATCTTGGCCGCAGGCTAGCCATTCTTGATCGAATGCTAAAGCCATTTAAAGCTTTTTATTTTGGGACCAAAACATTCCGAATTGCCATAAAACTGAAAACTATACTTATCGCGGCATTTTGCTGTTTGCTTTTTATACCTTACCAATGGGTTTTACAATTTTAATTATAAGTTCGAAAACGTATATATCTTATATCTATATAGGAACGTTTAAACAATTTATACGTCAATAAGGAATGAAATAATCCATAATAGAGTTTTTGGATTCTTATTCTAGCCCATTTTATAAGAATTAGAAAATAACTTATTTGATATATAGCTAATTCTTTAATGCTATAACTACGATGAAGGGTATATAAACTTCGACTGGCTAAAGATAGCTTTCCTTCTCGTTATGGCTTCAGTTTCACTTGTCACCCCAACCCCATCTCATGGAAGCTATGCCTCGCCAACCAGAAGATTATAGGTAGTCCAGCTTGTCAAGCGGGGTCCAAGTCCGCGCCTTTTAATAACCATGTATGTGTTGAATGCGGGTCAATGTGTCAGCGGACTAACGGCTTTCGATCAAGTTTACGTCAGCGAAGTGAATGAAGGACATAAGGTGCTCTGGGCATGCTCCACCGCGCATGGCAAGCTCATGGGTGCGAATCATGGGGCATGCGACATGGACATAGACGCCGATGTGGCAATCTCTTAATTGGTACCGTAACGCAAAATATCGGTGTCGCTCCGCTTGCCCACTCGATGGTCACTGCGTTGACACTCAGAAACTTAGCCAGCCAGTTATGTGGCCAGTGGTCAGTGGCTTGTCAGCCAAACGTGGCCTAATCTGCAATTGTCGCTCCGCCGGCTAACTGGTTGGTTGCCTCATACTCATATGTGGCTACACGACCACTTTACAACCAAGATCAAATGAAATTAAAAGTGCACTTGACGGCCGTTATGTGCTCACAGCTCCATAAATGCCACAAGAAAACCCCAACAATGCTATCTCCATTTTAATAGATCATAAAACTGTACCGATAAATCCATAGGTATTACCTAAAATTTCGGTTTTTCAGAAAGGAATTGAAGTATAAATTTTAAATGTTTACTAGAAAGGAAGTTGGCCTCGGCATACTTATTCGTAACACCTATAAACAAAGAGCTGCTAACGGTTTTTAATGGTTAATCGTAACATTTCTTATGCAACAGAAGCTATCCAAGATGACCGCAAAGCCGAAGTTTGTGTATGAGAAGGATGACCTGGGCACCATAGGTGAGGTGGATGACAACGAGGTGGACCGCATCGCGGAGTGCTTTAAGGGACGCAGTTTGTTCATCACAGGAGGTACTGGGTTCCTAGGCAAGGTCCTGGTCGAGAAATTGCTGCGGTAAGTGGGTGGAAAGTGGGAGGAGCAGCTGGTCCGTACGTGGCCCCATTAATCCCAATTTTCGCTCATGGCTTATGCAATATTATTAATTCCTGCAGGTCGTGTGGTGGACTCAAGCGCATTTATTTGCTCATCCGCCCCAAGAAGGGTAAGGATCCGCAGGAGCGCATCAAGGATATATTCCAGAATGTGGTAAGCAGGGTGGGACCTATGAATTCATGGCCTAGCTTATGAAATTAATCAACTAACATGTATGGTGTTTGCAGTTGTTCGACCAGGTAAAACAGCTTCGTGGCGAGGAGAACATCCTGCAGCAAGTGGTGGCCATAGCAGGAGATGTACTCTCACCTGGCCTGGGAATCTCTGAGAAGGATCTGGAAATACTGCGACAGGAGGTGTCCATTGTATACCATTGTGCAGCCACAGTGCGGTGAGTATTTATCCGTCCTATAACGTAAGAAAATTCTATAGCTCAAGTTGTAAATTCCATCCTCAGATTCGATGAGCCACTGCGAAATGCGGTGTTCATGAACACCCGCGGGACTAAGTACATGCTGGAACTGGCTCAGACTTTAAAGCACTTGGACTTTTTCGCCTACTGCTCGACGGCCTATTGCCATCTGCACGTGAAGACTTTATACGAGAAGCCCTACGACCCGCCGGCAGATCCACACAAGGTGATGCAGGCCTGTGAGTGGTTGACGGACGAAGAGGTGGCCACCATCGAACGCAAAGTGCTCGGTGACATCCCTAACACGTATGCCTACACCAAGTCTCTGGCAGAGGCATTGGTGGTAGAGAAGTTCGATGTGCTGCCCGCCGTGATTCTGAGACCCTCGATTGTTATCCCAATCTGGAAGGAGCCCATTCCCGGCTGGACAGACAACATCAACGGACCCACTGGTCTCCTTATCGGAGCGGGAAAGGGTGTCATTCGCACGATGTACTGTAATTCCTCTGGTTATGGAGATTTCCTGCCTGTGGATGTCGCTGTTAATGGAATACTGGTGGCCAGCTGGAGAAACATTACCGCCGGCACGGACAAGACCAACAGAGTTGCGCACATGACGTCCTCCAACGACATCAAAGTATCCTGGGCCGAGATCATAGAGTTGGGTCGCTGGGTGATTGAAAACAAAGTACCGCTTAACGGTGTAGCTTGGTATCCTGGTGGCTCCATGAAGTCCAACTACTGGGTGCATTACATCTGCATGGTGCTCTTCCAATGGATGCCGGCACTTTTCGTGGATGCCCTGCTCTGGATACTTCGCTACCCTCCGGTATTGTGCCGCGTCCAGAACCGCATCTTCAAGGGATTCGAGGTGTTCGAGTATTATGCCAATAACGTCTGGAACTTTGATAACTCGGAAGCGGTAAAGCTTCGAAAGCTTATGAACAATAAAGAGCGGCGAACCTACGTGATTGAGAAGATCGAGTTGGACCTGATTGATTATTTCACCAACTGCGTTCTTTGCGCCCGGCGGTTGATCTTGAAGGAGTCCGATGAATCCATTCCGGCAGCAAGGAGGCACATGAAGGTGTAAGTACCGCAGATACGATTAAACTTCTCATTGAATAATCATCAACTAACAATGATCTAATTTTTTCCAGAATGTGGGTGGTGGACAAGGTCTACAAGGGAATCTGGATCTTCGGAATTCTTTACATGCTCTATAGGTGCTTCTTCGCGGGATAGAATCCGTCCGTACGCGACGCTTAGTTAAGTGCTGGAGACCAAAAGATGTGCCCTGCCCCAAGCCGTAGTTGTTATGTTTTCTTTAGAAACTAAGTCATCTAGTTTTAGGCGGTGCTGTTGATTAGAAACTTAATTACCTTGTTTTGAAAGGCAGCGAATAAAACATTGGTTTATGTAAAGTGTCGAGATTAATGAACTATATATGAAATGTATATTTGGCAAGATCATTGCCTGATCTAAATTAAATCTGCATAAGTCTTTGATATTGCAGGCTACGGTTGCGGTCCCTAAGAGCTGAATTAGAAATCACACTACTCACCACATGGTCAATTTGATCATTCATCATCAACTCCAACTTTAATACGGACAGATTATTGTTTAATTTCGGCGCTAACTAAAGGTATTTCGACAAAAATATTTTTTTATCGAGAGAACAGCTTTGCCATCACTAATAAATCCCACCTTTCATACCATTGACTAGGAAGTCATACCTATGTATGTACGTATATTAAACTTATTCTTCTGTGAATTCATGTATTAAGACAAGGTGCAATAAATGTATGTAAATATTTTTGGTTTGATTTTCCAAAAACTAAATGTGACCAAATATTCAAGGCGCGTGGTATTTTTATACGGTCGCTGCGCGGTCACACTACAGCTTCTCCGATTGAAAATCATCGATGTTTACGCACATCGATAGTTCGCAGGGCTTTGCTTTGTTTTGCAAATTCCAAGCGGAGCTGAGGCTGTGACAGATTGCGGGTACGAGTCGCGGAGCAGCATTGCGTCATCATCAACTCCTGGCGAGAAAAGAGCTCGGCAATCGAAGCAGGAGCACGCCTGGCGAAACGGAACGTTCCCGGCGACGAGGGATCAGAGGAGGAGGAGGCGGTGGCCGAGTCACGGGAGCTGGAGGAAATGGCCAGCACCAGTGGAAGTGCTCCCAGTTTGGGACCCCCTCCAAGCGGGACTGGCGGATCTGGCACATTGGAGGGCACGCTAAGCAAATGGACAAACGTGATGAAGGGCTGGCAGTACCGCTTCTTTGTGCTGGACGAGAACGCTGGGCTACTGTCCTACTACACGGTAAGAGAACCACATTGAACTCCCTGACTAACCCCCATATCGCACCCAGAACCGATTCCCCAGGCCCCATCGCCTTATCTTATCTGCGATAGATACATTCGGATACACATACACACTTGTTGGTGCGCCTTTATTGCGTGATTTGTGAACATGGGATCACTGTTTTGCGTCAGGTAGAGACGTCTGACTCTTGCGACGCTGCATGACTTTGTAGGCACTGGTGTAGAAGTCGTAGAAGCCGTAGAACATGCCAATGATGACTGTGGTGAAGTAGAGGAGCACATACGGCGGCATGCCGCAGAGTACAAGCTGGCAGGGAACCTGCGCCAGGATGAGAGCAAACTGCGTCATTTGAATCACAGTGATGGACTTCTTTACGGGAGTCAGGGCCTGTACAAAGCTCTTATCCGCCACGGCAGCAACAAAGTAGTAGGAGTACATAATGACGTGGACGATTGAGTTTAAGAGCACGCAGAAGTAAGCAGCGGAGCCTGTGGAACAGCACACATGTCAAAAGGAAGATCAGACAAACCAACCAGAGAGCTTACCATTAGTATTCAAGTTGATTAGCACATATACAAGCGTCACCGTAGAAAAGTGGTGGAATATGTGCAGTTTGGACACTTGGTTCTGTTTTTTGCGCAACACAAAGATGACCGTCTCTAGAAGCTCAGACAGCTTTAGCCAAAAGAGGAAGTATGCCAGGCTGTAGTAACGCCTCACGTGCTCCGGAGTCCTTCCTATATCGCGGCATTCCCAGAAGTAGAATATGCCGTTGTCCGTGATGAACAGCACCTAGAAAACTGAAGAAATTAGCCGCTGTTGTTTTTGTCAAACTTAGGAAACCCACCTCATTGATAACGTATATACAGGACACAACCTGGAGGAAATTATGCGCCAAGATCAGTTTTTTTAGCTCGAAGGGCTTGCGCGGCTCCATAAATCTGTAAGCAAAGGATTAAAGGTCTTCTTACATATGTAGACCAGCGGACCCGCTGAATTGCTAATGCTGAGTCCAGTGACCCGAATGCAAACGAGCAACGTTGACATTAGCATATGGACTTACTGCGGACCCGCTTTAGTAACGAAGTACAGGTAGAGCCCCAGCACGGTGATCATGTACCAGGGATCCGTGTACACCACGGGAATATCCACCGGCGCTTGCAAAATCGGACCTGCAATTCGATTAGAGACATGGGACAATCTCTTTCAGTTCTCCATAGGGGCTCACTTGTTGACGCCTCCATTTTGCTCCACTTTGTTATTGGGGACTTCTGGACTAGATCCTTCAGCTCGCGAGCGACTGGTGGACTGCTGCTCTACCGACTCGAATCGCTGGCGCACATTTAAGAGTCAATTGTTCGCTGACCACGGCTTTTATTTCGTTTCAAGCATTGATTAGAATTCATTAATTTATAGCAAGCGTAATAACCCTTTGACAGTAGGAGTTCTGCTTTAATGAGTTCACCTAATTCCAACTGCATTTCTTTTACAGTCGAAGGAGAAGATGATGAAGGGTGTGAGGCGTGGCTGTGTGCGTTTGAAGGATGCTTTAATCGGGATCGACGATCAGGAGGATAACACGTTCACGATCACCGTTGACCACAAGACCTTCCACTTTCAGGCAAGTCATTTTTAGTAAACAATTGGTAGTAAATAAAAACTAAATATGATGACGAATTATGCATTCCTAGAACTAAATATGAATAAAATGGGTTCTATTGACATATTAGTAATTCGAAAACGATAAGCCATAGTTTTATCAATAATAATGCTCCACTGTCACATTCCTAAAAAAAAGAAATACAAATAATTAAAATTCAACAATGCTTGATGAGCTGAACAACCTAACAATACTGAATTATAAAGTAGTCTTGATTTTTTATGACGACTAGAGGTATACGTAAGCAGCACATGCACGTTTGTTTTATCCACGGCGTTGTAGCAAAAGAAAATAACATGCATACCGTAAAAAACTCAGGAAAGCAGAGCTCTGCTCAGTCTAACAGCTGTGCAAAAGCCGGGAAAAAGGGTATCCGGGCAGCGACCTAGAAACCTCTGTCTGGCCATCACGTTCTTCCTTTTGTTTGACTTTGTTGCCTTGATGTAACGATAAAACTTTTCCCAATACCCACACACTAGCAAAGGAGCCCACTAAACTTGCCAACTTTTTAAACGTTTGCAGGCGCGGCACAGTGAGGAACGGGAGCAGTGGGTGCGCCGCCTGGAGGACACCATTCGACGCCACGCGAACCGGTCGCGTCTGTGGGACAGCCAGAGTGCCTACTACAACGCCGGTGGCTATACAAGGGAAGTGGGCGGAACCGGAGCAGGTGGAGTGGGCGGAAGACGACCCAACCACCTGGAGCTGGTCGCGCGCCGCGTTTCCGAGGCGGATGCCTACCTCCAGCTGATGATTGAGCAGACGGACGTGAGTATTATGCCACGTAATGCAGGCATTATGCAATTTACTGTCACTTTCGATTTCTCTCTGTTCTACTCAGTTGCTGGACAAACGCATCGCGCAGCTGACCGATCCGGCGGAGCAGTCCAAATGCAAGGCCCTGCAGGAAAACGCCAATGTGAGTAGAAAGTGATTACATTCGTTCCAGTGAAGCCTGCGACTCTGTGAGCGACACCTCCAAGTGCAGCTCGTCCCGAAAGTTGTTTGATATTTTGTCCATATCGGCATACATTACACGAAAGTAGTTTCCGTCGACAGGCATGAAATAGTCCGTGTTCTGGCTTTGATTTACTTTTCGAACACGCACCACGCAGCTGTCACGCACAGCATCATCTCTTCCGCAAAGACAGAGCGTGGCATTTAAATGCAAGCGGTTACTGGGTGTGACCAGCCAGAACACGAATACGTCGTCCTTCTGGCTATCTAATGACCGCATATTTTGGGCCAGTTTCTTAGCATTTAGAGCCGCATGAATCGCTGTCCGGCACACTAGCACTACCACTGGGATGTGAGACTCTAAATGCGAGTGCTGCTCCGGCAGGAAGGTGTTGTATACCTCATGTCGACTTGACAAATCAAACTGCTGCTCTATCTGCCCTCCGTAAGCCAGGAGTCCTAGCACCCGGTTAACCCGGAACTCACAGCTCTGAAGAAGGAACGAGAGCACAACCCGTTCACCTTCAATCAGTGGCAGGCATTGCTTGAAAGAAGCATCCTTGTGGTTATGATCACAGAGGTAGTGCAGTAAAAGCAGCTGGCTGTCCACAGGTCTTTGGCAATTCTCGAAGAGGCACTTGCTCACCCCGCATTTTATCAGTAACTGTTTCGGCTCAGGGTCTTCATCTTTTGAGGAAGAGCTAGGTTCATCCTGTGGAGCATTCTCAATTGCATCCGAATTCGATTGAGTAATTTGTTTTTTTCGAAGTATCTGAAATTTTCGCTGCTCTTCAAGTTGCTGCACTCCGACTTGTAGTTTTTCTATCTTTATGTTAAGCATTTTAAGATCATCATCCAAATTAAACTTGGTCTTTAGCTTGTTCTCCAGGGCCAACTGCTGTTCCTCACGGTTCTTTTTGTACTCTTCGAATTTTGCGCACACCTCGTCAATGCTGTAAAGCTCAGGATCAAGGAGCTCCATATCGAATTGACTTATTTGGACTTTTAATCTTTAGATGTGAATAGATAGTCAGGCAAAGCTAAGAATTTAGAGAATTAGATTGCGGGAGTGTTTATTTGTTCTCCCAGCGGAGTTTGCCGACCGAATAATTTTCCCAGGCCCACTGTGTCGCCCACCCGTATCGATTTCCAATGCAAGTTCAGGGTTAGCAGACTTCGGGATGCAAAGGCCTGAGAGAATGTCACTCAACCAGCAGCTGGACTCCAGTGGCAGCTGCTCACTTCCTCAGCAAACTTTGGCGAGGCCGTATCGATGTTTTTACCATTCCCGCTTGGTTAATCCTACGTTCTCGTTACAGGCCATGCTGGATCACATTAAGCACTCAATTGTTAGCCTGCAGATTGCCAAAAATATGGCCCACCCCATCAATGGAATCTACAATGGCCCACCGGCCACTGCCTCGACCAGTTCCTCGGCCAGTGGAGCTGCTATCATGGGCAGCAGCAATAATATTCAGGCAGGTGGCCTAAAGGTGCCCCTGGAGGGCCAAGTAGGCGTCAAGGGGGAGCTTGGCGACGACGAGGACGACTCAGCCACTGAGAACGGTGAGTGCTCTTGGCCAAGCAACTGGTAATCGATCCAGGGTCAAACGGCTAATCGAATTCGATTCGAGCGTTCTATTTCCGTTTACCCCCGCTAATCTTTCATTCATCTTGACAGCCACCACCGCTCCTCTGGCTCTGGTTGTGCCGGAAACCTCTTACTCGAGCAGCGAGGGCGAGGAGGATTTCTACGATGCCTACGATGATCCCTTTACTAGCCTTGGCAGTTCCCCGATTGGCTGGTGAGTGGACCACTTTCAGGTCTTACAAGTAGCAACCAAGGCAGCACACTTGACCAAGTGCGCCAACTGGCCATCAATCAGATGCAATGCGGCAGCCGGCAAGCGTGCTGTGTAATGTGTGATGTATGCTGCGTGCTAAAATTACGCATTGATTGCCCTCTAGTCCGGAACCCCCGGCTCTTGGTCTGCTTCCCCTTCTCATGCTGCTCTGGAAAGGCGCATGCGCCTGGACAGCGCATGCAAAATGCAGTGGCCGAAGTTCGTCGCAATCGCAGTTTCGGGGCAGCCTGTAATTTCGGCCAAGTCGCGTGTAAATAATAAATACAGTATCACCTCCTCCGTCTCTACGGCCTTTCATCGTCGCTATACTGGCACAGCTGACACGGCTTCGTCGTCGTTGCCTCGCTTCGTCATCGACATCCTTCGTTCTAGTCGTAGTTAAAGTCGCCATTGTATTTGGCTGTCAGTTGTAGTTTCGTTCGTCATCGGCTCGCATTGTCGAAGTGCTCCTTAGGGTGCAAGTTGGCCCCCGCCTCTACTTCCCGGTTGGATTTTTCAGTAGATTTCCTGTTTTCCAGTGATGGCTTAGTCCATTTTGCGGCTTTTGTCTACGCTTCGATTTGAGAGCTTCCGATTTAAGACCTTAATTATGCAGCTGCTGCGAATGCAGTGAAGCATCCGGCCAGCATCAGCACGCTATGTTTAAGAAGTGGGTCCGACGCGTTAGCCTAAGGTGAGAATGTACAGCGTACAATATACATGTGCGCCAGGTCGTCGTAAGTGTTTCCCTCATAAATTGTAAATGAAGCAAGCAACAGAGCTCGAAAGAGAGGAGGAAGCGGGCACCGGAGGCTGCTGGTTCCAATGACGCACACGCACACGCTGACATCACGCTTTAAGATTTATGTCAGGCCATTAGTTATGCCTAGACACCGCAGGAATCCTAATCAACAAGTCCTGATTTCACTCTCATTTTCCATTCAACAGCGCCACGCGCGGTTTCTCGGAAACCACATCGCCCACCCACGAGAAGGGAACGGATGGCTTCAGCAATGCCGAGCCAGTCGCTCTGGGCGAATCAGTTGCCGCAGAAACGCTGCCAGAGATTGATGAGAGCGTGGCAGATGCGGACACCAGCATTAAGACAGCAAGGACCGCGGCAAGTTCCCGAAGTGCCAGCTATGATAATGGTATAGACTACGACGCCTTGTACGAGGAGGAGGAAGAGACCGACCTCAGCATGGAGGCGCACGGTTCGATGATCACGCACCTGCTATCGCAGGTGAAAATAGGCATGGACCTAACGAAAGTGGTACTGCCCACGTTCATCCTGGAGCGCCGCTCACTTTTGGAGATGTACGCCGATTACTTTGCCCATCCCGATCTGTTTCTAAAGTAGGTACCCAAAAGTTTCATGATGAATATAAGTCATAATTTATCTTACCTAACAGAATATCGGATCTGGATGATCCACGCGACAGAATCGTCCAAGTCTGTCGCTGGTATATGAGCGCTTACCATGCGGGACGTAAAAGTGCAGTAGCCAAGAAACCCTACAATCCCATTTTGGGTGAAGTCTTTCAGTGCCATTGGGACATTCCTGGTGAGCGTTACAGAAATGTCGTTTTGGAAACATTACTCACACATTTCATTCTTAATTTCAGGGGAATCCCAAGATGCTCAGGAGGTGCGCGACGGCCCAGTGCCTTGGTGCAGACGGGATCAGCTCACCTTCTTAGCTGAGCAAGTGTCGCACCATCCGCCAAGTAAGAAAGCATGAAACTTCATTTGAAATGTTATTCATATATTTATTTATTGCAGTTTCTGCCTTCTATGCGGAGCATTACAATAAGAAAATAACATTTGCAGCCCATGTATGGACGAAGTCGAAGTTCTTGGGTCTTTCGATTGGAGTTCACAACATTGGTGAGGGAGTTGTGACCCTGGTGGATCGCAGCGAGGAGTACATAGTGACCTTCCCTAACGGATACGGCAGGTGAGGATAGAAAAAGTGCATTTCTTGTTCTTTATAACTGAACAATTTTCCCATTTATAGGTCTATTTTAACGGTGCCTTGGATTGAGCTCGGTGGCTCGGTAGAGATCAAGTGCCCACAGTCGGGATACTACGCCAACGTGGAATTCCTCACGAAGCCCTTCTATGGCGGAAAGCGCAATAGGGTCTCCGCTGAGGTAACTGCCTGATAAAATAAATATTGTTTTGGATTAATTCAAGTTGTTCTCAGGTTTATGCGCCGAGTGAGAAGAAGCCTTTTGTCTCGATATCTGGCGAGTGGAGCGGTCTAATGGAGGCCAAGTGGCATGATAAAAACGTAAGTGCCTGCAGTTATGTTTTCTATTTGTAGATAGTGTAATATTATATATTGTTACCGTAAATGTTGAACCTTTTTGTGTACTTTTTCCTCCGCATAACGCGCATTAACGCTGCAACAAACAACCCCACGAGTTGGCAGCCACATCCATCCTCCACACCCCACCTCTACCTACTACTTACTATCCACGATTCTTCTGCTTTTCTCTTAAATAGCTCGGGAGCATTTCCTCTGTGTGTTTACTTTGTTTGTCTAGAAAATCGAACCCACTAACTACTCCTCTGCCTGTCTGTCCAAAGTTATATTTAAAATTGTTGATATCGGTACTTATATGTATGATTGTTGTGTGTTCAGTATTAGACCCAATCCAGATCAATTTGACCGCCTAGTGAACCTGAATGAATCTCTTGAATTTTCTAGAAAACCGAAGTATTCGTCGACGTAAATCGCATACCCATATTTAAGAAACAAGTTCGACCAATCGTTGAGCAGGATGAGTACGAATCGCGACGCGTTTGGAAGGAAGTAACAGCGGGACTCAAGTAAACAGCTCACCAATCTACCAATTAACCTCTAACCTCTGACTGTGAATCTGAATAATTTCATATCTTTGTTCGCCGCTCTCCCGCAGGTTCAACGACATCGAGCGCGCTACAACTGCCAAATTCGTGGTGGAGCAGCAGCAGCGTGACCAGGCGAAGGTACGCAAGGAGTACGATCTTGCCTGGGAGCATAAGGTAATATATTCCAAAATACCATGACTCAGTTAACTGATAAGATTCATCTACAGCACTTCAAGCCCGTCGGCGACAACTGGATTTACGCCAAGCCGTTGAGTCAGCGAATGTATCTGCAGGAAAAGGAGGCCAAAAGATAATGCCAGCGACGGACACCGAGAGCAACAACACCAAAAACGTCTATATATATGGATCATATCAAGAACGAGCCTCAACTATATGTTTAATTCCACAAGTGCGCAAACCTCTGAACACTGACGATAGAACGTAACGAATGCAGGAAAAGATAGAGCAACAAGTATAAGGAGGATGAAGGATGTCAAGAAAGGGGCGTCAGTGTCTGGTTATTAATTGTAAATAATGTACACGAATATCCAGGCATCGAAAAAGATAGAAAGCTCTGCTCATATGGTTGCAACGCGAGTCAAGCTCGACAGCTCAGCGGAGACAGACAAAACAAACAACACTCACAGTTTCTACACACAATTAATGATTATTATTTACTACTAAGTACTAGTGTGTTTCAAAGGCAATCGCAGTAAACTGCAACACAAGAACACCTATTCAATACCTTTTACATTACTAACATTTACTAACTAGCAACAAAGAAGAAAACCAATACATAATGGGATATATCAAAAGTTGTAGATTACGAAATGATAGATATTTAAGTATAGAAATTCTATTTTTGAAAAAAAGACTCTGCTATAGACGAAATACAATACCGACACGCTAGTATCTGATGATAGATACTGCCTCTACGCTTGTTTCCAATACCCCAAACAGACACACAGACATGAAGAACACAGTGCACAATGATTTTCCAATTGCATAGTTTTAAAATCAAATACGATTATACGATTACCTATAGTATTATGTTTCGAATTCCAATTGTCACAATAAAGCTTTACTAACAGTCCCTGAAACACCTCTACACTCTACTGTAATAAAACGCAAATGAAACCCACACTCCTTGAGATATTCAAAACTAAACTTTACCTTTATTTTAAAAACCTACGAGCCAGAAAACCAACACCACCCACACAGCAAAGCTACCGAATACTCTCACGCAAAGTTAACGCAAAATGAAACGAATAAAGTAAATACGCTTCGATATTTATTTAAAGTAATATTTAACGGACTAGTTAACCCGTAGAATAAACAAATAGTAATCCCGAGAGCCTCGATTGGAACCCATATCTACGCCCGGGTGCACAGAACTTGTATATATTTTTTTGATTTCCTTTTTAACCAACGTGTTAAACGAGAAATAGAGCAAATAACCCAGAAAGATTGTAACGGATATGATTATTGCAAATAAAGCGATTTGTTCTTACAGCAGCTAGTATTGCTTGTCATTCCTAAAAATAATTTTTATTATTCGTTATATTTTTTCAAGAAAAAATATTTTAGTACTTTTTCATAAATATCTCTAAACTATATTTAAAAACTAGCCTTTTAACTTTGAATTTGAATTAAAACAGGAATTTGTAATTATCGAAACCGATATATGTGCTATCGTCATCGATATCCTTAAATGCTAGTCGATAAGTGACCCAGCGAAATCTCCTCTCTATTTTAAAACGCACGGTCACACTATTGACGTGGCCTCAAAATTTTTTGTTCTGTTCTTCGGAAAATGCAAAAAGTTTGCATTTGTTAAGATAATTGTACTCAGCAGAGAACGAAGCCAATTCCACGGTATTCGTCTGCCAGTCCAGGACGTAATCGGATCCATCCGGAGTACGCGAGGAACGCCAGAAATCGCGAGGAAAAGATATTAGTGCGGTGGAAAGTTTTTGGGAGTGAAGAGAGTGTAAGGCAGAGCCGTAAAAATCGTTTTAATCGCTTTCGCGGAGAAAAAATTAGCCCTAGACTCACCCAGATCCCATAGTTAAGTGCCCATCCAACGGATTTCACAACTTTCACGGGTTTTTCCACGGAATTAAAGGCGGAAAAGCCAATTCGGAGCCCGCAGCAAAATCGCCAATCAAGGGCGCAAGAAGAAGAGGCAACTACAAAGTGCAAGTGCTGGTCGAGACACTACATGCCACTGAAAACTCAAACTCGGAAAGGTGATAAGTGACTGGTAACCATGATATGGACAACGCATTCGATTTGCCTTGATTGGCCCCAATTATATTCAGTGGGTGGTGAGGCGGTGGGCGTGGTGGGATGACTTTGCCAATAGGCACGTCATCAAAAATCCGCTTTGTTCCGAAGTCATTTCCTTTCTGTTTTCGCTTGCCTCTGCTGCAACTGGGTCACCACCCACTTTGACCCACCTACCAGCGATCGCTGATGGCGAGGTCAAGTACTTGAGCCACACGCACACACATCACATAGTACATCACATAATAACCCATAACGCTTTGCTGTCGAAGCTGTTTAAACAGCCGAATGTGATACAATTGCCAGCTTATTTCCGACTTACTGTTGACGTAGACACACTTCTGTAAACACTAGCTCAAGATATTTACCTACGCAGCCAGCCTACCTCATAGCTTGACGATAAAGACCCCTAATATCAGAATTTCACATTCCATTCGCTTAGATATATGTGTTTAGGTGCAACAATCTTTTAGCAGGAAAAGCATCCCAATCTGAGATTAAATGCACCCATCTTTAGAGTTTTTATCAAACGCACGTTTGGCTCAATTGCTCGTGTAACCCGTATGTTGGCATTGAACGATAAGATAATAGCTTATTTCATGTCGGCATGTTCGGCAGCAAACGCAACCTTCGAAAATGATAAGATAGCAACTAAACGAAACTTAATTCTCCATCTTTCAGACCTCGAACTTATGAATTAGCAGTATGTCGACCTACAATCCGAACATCGTTCCTCCCGCCCACGCTCCCATGCCGCTGAATGGCAACAATCTGGTGAACGGATTGCCTGGAGGCGTCCAGCAGCAGCCAGGCCCCCCGACTGGCCAACCGTATTTGCCTCAGAAGCAACCACAGCAGTTCCAGCAGCCACCACCTACAGCAGCTTATCCTGGAGCACCGGGTAACCTGCCTCCACCGCCGCAGTTCAACAGCAGCATTGCGAGTCAGTTCTTGCCGACCACGACAGTAGGAGCTCCTCCTCAGCAGCAATTGCCACCCAGCACATTGCCGCCACATCTGCGTCCGCCCACCGTCAACGGACCACCGCTTACCAACGGCAGCAATGGGGCGTCCAGCGCCAACTCTTCGCGCACTGCCTCCCCAAGACCAGTAGCAGCAGCTCCTCAATATGCCCAAGGACCCATCGCAGCAACACCGAACAATCCGCCACTTGCTTCCGGTCTACGTCCTGCGCCCCAACCCGTCAATCAATCCCTGGCCAACTTAACGAGCAATCTTGAAAATCTGAACTTGAACACGAACCGGACAAATGGAGGTGCTAGCGTCGTGCCCCCGCCCCAGCAACAGTACCCGCCTCTGGCTCAGAAGGATTACAGAGGCGTCGCTACGGCACAGTCGGGCCCTCCGCAGTTCAGCGATGCTAGCAGTCTTTTGGCGGCGAGCGGAGTGGTATCTCCAGTCGTTCCCAATGCAATGGCGACTCCATTTAGTCAGAAGCCTCCCAACTTGGCTCCTCATCCAGCCAAGATGTTTGGAAGTGCATCGGTACCTGGCAGACCAGCAGTGCCACCGGAGGGTCAAAGAATGCCTTACGGAGTACCACCGACGACAAACTCCGATCAGCAAAATCAGCAGAACAACAACTTGCAAAGGGCAGCGCCGCCTCCAGGAGCGGGAACGACCTGGCCCAATAGTTTGCCAAAGGCATCAATGCCCGGATCACAGCCTCTACTGCCTCCACAGCAACAGCAAATTCAGACGCGGCCGTACCCCTATTCACAGGCGTATCAATCTGCACCACAACAACAACCACCTCTCCCGCAGTCTGCAGTGCAGCCTCCAGGAATGTTTGGAGCTCAGCCTACTGCAGCTCCACTGCAGTATCAAGCCCAGGCGCCTCCACAAGTCTATGGACAGCAACCGCAGCAACCACCTCAGGCAGCACCCGGTGGACCGTATGGCACCCCAGCTCCACCGAACGTAGCTCAGCAGGGATTTAGTCGGTTGTGGGGACAGGACACTATTGATCTGATGCAAAATCGACACATCTTGTCGCCAGCAACGTTGCCGCCGCCAAAAGTAATTCTGCATAACCAGTTCCACGAATCTATCAACTGCAGCCGGAGTATCATGCGCTGCACGTTGACCAAGATCCCAGAGAGCAACTCTTTGCTTCAGAAGTCACGTCTGCCTCTGGGCATTGTGATACATCCGTTCCGCGATGTCAATGTAAGGACTATATTGGATATGATTTAAATTTTACTAAATGAACTTCTTTCTCTAGAGCCTGCCTGTAATTCAATGCATCAACATTGTTCGCTGCCGGCTATGCCGCACTTACATCAATCCCTTCGTCTATTTCGTGGACAGCAAAATGTGGAAGTGCAATCTATGCTATCGGGTTAACGAATGTAATTAAGAAAATGTCCTATACATCAAGAATTTTTCATATTATATTTTTCATTTACTTTTTGTCAGTGCCCGATGATTTTCAATTTGATCCGGCCACTAAGACGTACGGCGACGTAGCCCGACGACCCGAAGTGCGCTCCAGTACTATCGAGTTCATAGCACCCTCGGAGTACATGCTTCGTCCGCCTCAACCGGCCATGTACCTGTTTCTCTTCGACGTTTCGATCATTGCGCAACAGAGCGGCTATCTTGAGGCCGCCTGTGCCACACTCAACCGGCACTTGGATGAGATGCCCGGCGATGCGCGTACCCAAGTAGGATTCATCTGTTTCGATAGCTTCGTGCACTTCTACAGCATGGCTGAGGGGCTAAACCAGCCCCACGAAATGACGCTGCTAGACATTGAGGACATATTCCTGCCACGTCCTGATAGTTTGCTGGTGAACCTGAAGGAGTGCAAGGAGCTGGTGCGGGATCTGCTGAAACAGCTGCCCAAGCGGTTTGCCCATACTCACGACCCGGGTTCCGCCTTGGGAGCTGCGCTGCAGGTGGCTTTCAAACTAATGGTGAGGGAAATAAATTAAGGTATATGCGGGTCGGTGGTAATCCCCAAATCCTGTTGTTCTCAGCAAGCGTCAGGCGGCCGCATCACCGTCTTTCAATCGTGCCTTCCCAACAAGGGACCCGGCGCCTTGGAGCCGCGCGAGGATCCCAACAATCGCTCAGCAAAGGACGTGGCCCACCTAAATCCGGCCACCGACTTCTACAAGCGTTTTGCCTTGGAGTGCTCCGGCTATCAGATAGCATGCGACCTCTTTCTGATGAACCAGCAGTACAGCGATATGGCAACCATATGTAAGTAGCACCTAGTAATTTAAATCGACCATCCTATACTTATTTTACTTCCTCCCATTTACAGCTGGCATCAGCAAACACAGCGGCGGCTGTGTGCACCACTTCCCGCTTTACCAGAAGACGAAACCGCATATGGTTGACTCGTTTCGTACGTGTTTCAAACGCTATCTTACCAGAAAGATCGGCTTCGAGGCGGTAATGCGAATTCGCTGCACTCGCGGTCTGCAGGTGCACACATTCCACGGCAACTTCTTCGTGCGCTCTACGGACTTGCTCTCGCTGCCAAACGTGAATCCAGATGCTGGCTATGGCATGCAGATCTCTTACGATGAAAGCCTCACGGACGTGAAGACGATCTGTTTCCAAGCGGCGCTTCTCTATACTAACAGCGAAGGCGAACGTAGGATCCGAGTGCACACAGTATGCTTGCCAGTAACAGCATCGTTGCCAGAGGTTATGCATTCGGCGGATACGGAGGCAATTATCGGGTTGCTGTCCAAGATGGCTGTGGATCGTTCGGTGGCTTCTAACTTGTCAGATGCTCGCGATGCCTTCATCAACGCTACGATCGACGTGTACAACGCCTTCAAGATAGCACAAAATCTGCCGTCGGGACAGTCGGGTCAGTTGATAGCCCCACGCAGCCTGGCGCTGCTGCCACTTTATATCCTGGGTCTACTGAAGCACGTACGTTTTTCTGGGTAATATTATGAGTAACCCTTATAAAACATTTTGTTCTTTTAGCCCGCTTTCCGCGTAGGTACCAGCACACGATTAGATGATCGGGTGTTCGCCATGGACTGTATGAAGACGCTGCCGTTGGATCAACTGATGAAGTACGTCTATCCGGAGCTGTACAAGATCGATGCGCTGATCTATCATGCCCGCAACTCAAACGTGAGTTCGACACAGGACGACGACGATGACGAAGAGGAACCGCTGCCGGAGATACCGCGTCTGCAACTGTCTGCAGAACAGTGAGTAGTGGTTATTCAATCATTCGTTCGGATTAAAAACCGTGTTATTACAGTTTGGACTCGCGGTCAATATTCCTTATGGATTGCGGAACGCTAATAATGCTTTATGTTGGCCTGAATGTGCCGCCGGATGTTTTGGAAGCTGTTCTGGGTAGGTTACTTATATCCGAATAACCTGAGATTTCCAGTTAACCTTTCTTTATTTTAGGCATAAGCTCTACTGCAGAGCTGGGTGACTATGTATACGGATTGCCAAATGTTGTGAGCAACGAGAACGATGTGCTGAAGCGTTTTATTTTGCGACTGAACTACGATAAGCCCTACCCGGCACTGGTGCAGATAATTAGGTAAGTTCTATGGGTCACATTAGTTAAACTTTAATATTAATTTTTTTTTGTTTATCAAAAGGGACACGAGTACGGCCAAGGGCCAGTTCATTGAGAGATTAACCGACGATCGCAGTGAATCTAGTTTGTCATACTATGAATTTTTGCAACACATTCGGGCTCAGGTTAAATAGTACATAAGCAGGAAATCCTACCACTATTGTATGCAACATAAATACGAGTTTCTTAGAACCTAAAAACTCAAACTCTGGTGACTAAAAGCAAGAAGCGAATTGCAGGTGAAACTGGCGCAACACAATGATGGAGACCAGAATGGGACACACACATCTACTAGATTCCCCTTTGCCCTTACCCCTAAAACCATCCCCTTAACCACTCTCTCGGCTTAGGTAATTTTAAAGTGCATGTATTTATTTATTTGTTGATTTGTTGCACTAAAAATAAAATTAAATCAATTAAAGAACATAGTCAATGCGAGAGAGCTAACTTGTCACAACCGAAACTAGATATCGTTGCCAGTTCGATTTAGGCGAACATTAGTCAAAAGTCCATCTAACCAGTCAGTAGAGCTCCCCTGCAAGCGGATTGCACTGTTATTTATTATAGATATTTTATGCAATAAACCAACGAAACTCTGTTGTAAATTATAATTTAGCGCGATTTTCGTTCGTTCCAACTGCTTCAAACATTCTGCAAAAAACTCTCAGTCCCACACAAATTGTTATTGCTTATCCTATTTGTTTGCTGTTTTCAGTAGTATTTATTTTCCGGAATCCAGAGGAAACTATCATACAAGTCGATTTATTTTTAAGTTGAAGGTTAGGCGCTGTGTTGCACGGTAGTTAGTGAACTTATTTCAAACGAATGTACGGGAACAGATTTGGTATTGTGTATTGCATTGATTGGACTGCTAGAAAGTGAATGTCTTAAGCTTAGAAGAAATATTATACTGTATCAAAAATAAAAGACCCCCATCCCTGTATCCCAGGTGACGCTGTTGTCGTTCTTTGAGTGGGCTAACTAATCTAAAAACCATATACATATACTGTACTATACTTTACACACATACGAGTACATCAAGATATAAAGCGAAATAAATTTTAATTAAATCATAAGGCAATCCGTTTTATTTTTATAAGGATTGCAGGCACATGTGTTGTACTGTCTTCGAACCATGCATTCTTTTTGGCGAAGAGCTCTAAATGATATGAAAATCATGAGGAATGGCTAGAATATACTTAGATTTCCTCTACATAAAGGACTCCGCATCAAGCCAAAGGTTTCTGCAAAATCCTATAATTTAATTGTGGCCTACAAATTGTTTAGTAACAGAACTTACGGATTGAAGAAAGGGGACCGAGGCGGATACTTCCTTTTTGGGGGCGGACGCAATATAGAATCCAGTTTATTATCTGTGGGCAGGTCAAAACTATTGGGAGTATGTTGCTGCCACTCCGAAGACCTATCATTCGGATGGTAGCCATCGTCTGAGTGCTCGATCTTGACGTGGACACTGAGGTGATCATCAAGTAAAAAAATCTTGTCGCAAAACTGACAGGGGTAATGTCCATCCGTGTTGGGTACATGAGCCTCATGGAATCTTTTGTAATGCTGGTGTAGCTCCAACGATGATCGCACGCCACGTCCACAGAGATCGCAGATTTTTCTCTTGGCCACTGGGTCTGGAAAGTGAATGGAAAGATGCTCCTCTAGTTTTTCACTGGTGTCAAAAGTGTTCTCGCATAACAGACAGGAAAGATTCGTTTCAGATAACTCTGTATCCATTTTGTGCCTGTTGATATATGTATTTCATTTAGCAATGCAATATGAACCGTTACCTTTTATTTATCAATTATATATCTGTAGTTAAGCATAAATATATGTCTGTACGAATGTGTTTGTATATGCGTATAAAATGTTTACCGAGCTCCCAAACACCGATATCATTTTATAAACTCTTACACACTTTGTAGACCTCCACGTTATTTGATATTGCGGTTTTTGCTATTGCTTTACTACTATAAATTTCCGTAGTTTTATAATTTCCCCTTCCAATATTCAGCTGTTTTTACGAACGAAATTAAAAAGTACCGTCTTCGTCTGTATGAGAAATTGCAATGTTCTTCGATCACGATCTTGAGTATCTTCAGAGTAAAAAGAAAAAGAGAGAGAGCAAAAAGTAAAACTTGGAATACGGAAAAAGAACAGTGATTCTCTTTTAGCCGTTTGTTAGCTAAACAATTTTTCGAGCTAAAATTAGTACGGTCCAATTGTAACAACAATGGTGGAAAGCATTTATTCAACACTTTTATATGTTTCTGTTTATATATGTTAAGAAATTATTTAATAAACAATTTATATCTTTCTATAAAATAATAAACTCTGAATACTGAAGAATATCATTTCGTTTCCGCCCTTTATTTCCTTTGATTGAAATAAATGTTAAATTATATATGCATACCGCATATTACCGTAACCTACAACATATATTTACTTCTACTTGAAAATAAACATAAAGAAATATATATTTTAAATCTTCCTCTTTCTTAATTTTTAAGACGATAATTATTATTTTTTAAGTTGTTTTTAAAATGTATTTTATAAAATTTTAATTTAAAGAATAGGCGAACAGAAAGATTTGTAAGAAACAACCAAACTTTTGTGAGCCTGAACGAAGCTTTCTGATAACGTTGGAATTTCTGAGTCGCGAAGCTGAGAAAATACCCTTGACTAATTCATTATGTTCGCTTGTTCAATTTGTTGTGAACGTTTATTTTTTACTTCTTTATTTTTATGTATGTTTTTAAATATTAATTTTTTAAATTGAAAACGCAAAAGTTTTAAATAGGAATGGCAAACAGAAAATGTCAAAGGTCTACACTCCAAATAAGAGACTGCTCTTTATGACCATATAATTGATAAACAACGAAATTCTAGAAAAAACTAGTTCAGATTAGAGAACAACTAAAATAAATTAAAAATTATAATGCATTTTTAAATACTTATAAATTGATATAGTACTGTCTGTCAGACATACACTTCAAGGCAATTTTTAGTAGGTCTGGCCTTGGAAAATACACAGTAAATGGAATGGAAATTGTTTACATTTCCAGTATTTACCATTCTTACGATCCAGCCATATGTATGACAAATGTAAAGGTCCTTAAAAGGACTATCAGTTAAATCTCAATGGAAGATTACTTCTTACTGGTGGTGCTTGGAGTAATACGAGACGGCCCGCTGTGAAGTACCACTTAAAAGAAGGAGATCCTTTGTATACCCAAAACATTTCAGTTTGGTTGTATACATACATATATACAAATGAAATTTTAGTGTTTATTTTCCAATGTTGGCGATTCATAATTAAACCTACAAAGCAAACGACGGAACTCGACCGTCCAAATTCTTAAATATCTTTGCTGTGCTCAGCAAATCAAGATTCTTTATGGCAACATAAACAATTTAGCTGACACTTTCAAGTGGGTATCGGCATACAAAATTGCTGAGACTTAAAAAAAAAAGTAATAATGCTAGGGACAGCGTTTTGTATCCAGGAAATTATAAATCAGCAATGTACATGGTACATAATATGGAAGCTCCATGAAACGAAGAGATAATTTTCAGTTATAATAATGCTTAATGCTTATAGTATGACGGTCAGCTTGGCTGGCATCCGCTTTAAGGCGATAATGGTTTTCTTTGCGAATATTTAATATTCCAGTTACTTCGCTTTCCAGATATACCATCCAGATCTTCTTATAAGTAATCATTGCAGTCCAGCCATAGATCCCTAAAAAAAGGAGAATTCAGTATGGTTCCAAAAGATGATAAGACTTATGTAAACATACGGGTTGAAGAATGGCGAACGTAGTGGATAAGTTCGCTTGGTGGTGGTCGCAAAACCCGATACCATCTGCTCTTTTTGCTGACGTGGCGTATTCATGTATTTGTCCGCTTTCTCACTGGCTGGTCGATACTTGGCTGCGGCCACAGCGTTGTAGATTCGAGTGCTCCAAATTTCCTTTCTGGACTCTTTGTCTGGCAACGACTTTGGAGACACCGAAACCTCTGGGGACAAAGGCGAAACATCTGCGTCGTTTGGGGACTCCGGATCCGGCACAGACTTGCTTGGGCAAACAATCCCATGTTTGACTTTCATGTGCATTAGCAGAAACGTGCGCCGCTTGTAGCGTTTCTTGCAGGTGGGGCACTTATGCTGCTTCTGTGTATCCTTGCCATTCCTTTTCAAAACCACTTGCTCCTCCGCATGAAAATGACTTTCATGATATCTCAAGGCCTGGCGGGAACTCAAACGCTTACCGCACCAGTCGCACTCGAACTGACCGCGAGTAACAGGTTTTGGTTTGATCATCACCGGAGATCGGGGCTTCTCGGGAATCTCAATTGGATCCTTCTCTGGTGAATGGGATATGGGTCTTACCAAGACCGGCATTTCCTTCACTGAAATCGACGGAGGTTCAGTTGGCGCCATGAAACTCTGCGTCTCAGGCGGTAATTGTGGTTTATTCTGAACGCATCCGAGTGATGGTGGAACAGGAATTTCTTGTGGATAAGGAAGAGGCATGGTGAGTTTCCGAGGAAATAGAATGGGCTGGGGTCCTGGGAATTTCGGTTGTGGCTCACGAAGCGTGTGTTGAATGGGAAACTGCATCTGTGGTTGAATCTGATGCTGATGCTGAACAAGGGGCATTTGAAAAGACATCGGTGGTTCCAGGGGCGGAGAATACATATCCAATGGTGGTTGGTGGATTAAGCCCATCGGCATGTTAAACGGCCGATTCTGGCTACAAGCAATAACCTGTTCGATTGGAATGAATAAGGGCTGTTCTGTGGAATGAACGAAGGCCTGATTAATCGGATGAACAAATGGCTTGATCATTGGCGCAGGCTCCTGCGCCTGTGCACGCGATGTATTCCAGGCGTGAATATCCGCCGCATGTTGAGTGAGGTGCTCCTTGAAGGTTTCGATATTGTCAAACGGCTGCCTGCAAAGGTAGCAAGGGATGCAAAGCACAAATCCTTCTGGAACATTAGCGTGTTCTTTGCGTGCCAAAAGCTCCTTCAGCAAAGGCATTTCCATAGGATCAGTTGGGGAAAAAGGTGGTGAGGGCATCCCTGCCGGAATTTGCGGGTGCATCTTGTTAGGAAACTTAAAGTGCTCCAGTTGGCTACGATAATTTGGCAGATGATTATGACGATCCATCGGCTCCGACTCTATAATCTCTACATCACTATCACTTTCGGTGGGAATGGTGCTCTGCGATTGGTTGAAATATTAAAAAAAAACTTTAAAATTCGCATTCAATAAAAACTCACTAGGGGCCCAGCCATGCTCGTTTACAGTTACAATCAATCCTAACGAAACTTCTGGGAATTCGGAATACCCGACTGCACGACTGCGCACTACGAAGCGCACAAGCAGACTGAATGAATGTCGACAATCACAATCTATTTATGTAAGCGACCGACGCGTTTCTTTCTCGATGGTAAGGAATATTTTTTTACGATCTCACATGCATAACATACACATATGTATACAACTTTTTCACAAACAGATCTGCCCGCTGTAGAGATAAGGAATAAGTTAAGAGGCTTTTTATTTTTGCATGATCGTATTACAGCAACCCCTTTAATCACTTAAATTATTTACTGAAAGCGTAGAGGTCGATTTCCTATCAATGGGATTTATTTACTGATTAGAAATTTAAAATTTTTAATACTTAATTGTTTTCACATTTTCCCGTTACACCAACCTAAGTCATAACCATGCTGTTTTATGACCTCGGGATTTTCGGATAATAGAATACAAGATATAAGTAGGTAAAAAAGGACAACAAAAGGTAAGAAAGGGACCTTTTCTCCCATATTGGGAGCCACAGGGTCATAAATTTGGTTTAGGAACGAAAAAGGGTCGCAACATACAGGTCAGTCTTGAAAGTGATAAAAACATTCAATATTTTATAAGGATGTACAGTACAGCCCTTCCAATCCTTGCGTATAACTTATGTTATATTATTATATAGTATTATTGTACTTAACCTAAAAAATTAAAATTGATACACGTTTTTGTTGAATAATATTTACTTATAAGAAAGATAGAAATAATGTAAATACCAAAGTAACTCCACGGTACCTGAATTATCTTGCAGAGACCTGATTAAACACGACAAGGAGAAAATTCTAGACTTCAGTAAAAAGGGTACAGTACTGTACCTTTGACCGTACATATATGTATTTGACCGTCCTTATGGCTGTTGTGATTTTCTTTTTCTTGTTCAACCATGTCATCTCCTCCATTTTTATGATCTATTTTAATAATGTCATTTATATAAACACATAAAAATGATTTGATTAGACCAAACCTGTTCAAACAAAGTCTACGTTCAGTTTGAATCTGAAAATTTGAAACTGATATAAACATTTAATAACATAAGGACAACTTAAGGACAACAACAAATCTTTTTGATTTGCGAATCTCGGTAATCTAACGTTATGAAAGAAATAGCTTCTACATTTAAAAGTATTTGATTGCGTTGAAATTAAAGAAAGAACTTTTTGTCAATGGGCCAGAGGTGTGCGATTAATTTACCCCCAAGAACAACATATTTCATAAGATAAGGATTAAACTAAGAACACATCTGAGGTCATTGAGTATAAATACATTAAATAAATGTATACCTTTGAACAAAGATTGCGAAATTTCTAAAATTGTGAAAAAAGAACCCGAGCAACAGCATGAGAACACCCAACCATTTAAATAACAATAAACAGGATGTTAAATTCGCCAAGCCGAATTTCCCATACCTTTTCTAATCAAAAATATTTTACTTTAGCCTACAAGTACATTATAGCAAATTTAAAATTCACTGAAATTGTGGTCAATATCTTATAGTTAATGTAAATGTTAAATGTAAGAAAAGACATTTTTTATTACATTGAAGAATGCAACTTATTGTGACAATTTTATTATACCTAAAATGCTTTTCAGAAATTTAAAATGTCATTTTTAAATGAATCCCTGAATCTCGGACTCTTAATAAAGTACTCTCTGCGACGACAAGCAGAATTTAAAATTTGTATGCCCTTGTAAACCCCCTTATCAGCTGCTTTCCAGGTTCCATCCAGCGAAGTCTTTTGTACCTTATAAAATTCATATAAAAATGTTTAGATTTAATTTTTTTAAATAATTTTTTTCTTTATAAAATTTTAGCTTTTTGCCGAAGTAATGATGATGATATTTTATTACTTCTTAATTTTTTTTCGGAATGAAGGATAATGTCAACCTTGTGTTCACCTACTCATTTAGAAAACTCTAAGGTTGTATTTGTTTTGGTCGTTGCATCTTATGATAACACCACCTGTGGTGAGCCAAACAGCAAAAGATAAGATGTCCTGATCTCTTGTGAGTAAAGTTTGTTAACCTTCTAAAAGGTGGTGGATAATGTGGTATCTTTCAAAAAATTGTGACATCATAATTAGGTAACGAACTAAATAGATTTTAATAATCCAGGTGTCAAATAATCGAATAAAAATCATTTCCGGTTGGTATAAGCTTTCCTTTTCAAAATTACCTACTCCTGTGGTGTTCTAGCGTTTCAAAATGTATGATCATTAATCGCACATTATAAAAATTTTATTTTTATTCTAACCAAAGATTAGAAGCCCTCAACTGATTAAAAATATGTAGATTTGGATCAGCTGAATCGTCAAAAAATCAACTCTTGTTATGAAGGTCATAATGCTAATTTTAGTAGTATTATTTATTTTATACAATCTGAAACCACGAATGTAAAAAGCAAATACACAAAAATGAATCTCAAATTCTTTTTATTAGTAGTTACATGTACATGTTACATGTAGTTACGATTTAATAGAACGGGAAATGTACATTACGATTGATAAAAAATTTAAATTGGAATTTGTAATTTTATAATAACAACTGCTTATACTATATAGAAATGATCAGTTTAGTTTTTTTATATATTAATAAATCACAAGCAAACACAAAACAAACAATTTCCACGCTTTTCTTAGAATGATGGTTATGTAAATATTAGCATGATATATTTAGACGACTGGTCGGAAATCCAAAGTTTTGCTAAAGAGTATGCTACAAAAATTTACTCTGAGTGCCAGCAATTGAATCCCGGAGGCAAAAAATGATGATTATGAATAATCCTCCTCGCGCGACATAATCACCTTTTTTCAAGTTTTAAAAATGTCATACTGGTTACTTTTAAAGATCTTATTAGGACGTCGAAATATTGCAACCTATCTTTTAGTTAGAGCTAATTTCTTCAAAGTTAGTTGTGTTAAAGCTTTCTTTTCCATTCATAAGATTTTTATTCCAAACGTATTTTCTTATCTCCATAAGCAGATTAAATGTAAAGCTTTAAGTGTTTGAGATAAGAAAATTCAAATTATGTCTTATCACATTCTTTGGAAGATTTAAAGTAAAGCTTTAAGTTTTTGAGATCATTCATATTTCTGACGGAACTTTTTGAAAGTTTTGATTGAATTTTTGGTAATCGATTTGTAACCGATTTTTAGTCGCTGTTCACACATGAACATGAATTCATATAAGATAATATTGTCACCTCACGCTGTAAATCTATAATTATCAATTGTATTCTGTTGACCATAAATATATCCATCTTGACCTTCTGTAAGCGGCTGTAGTACGTATTTATTTATTTTATTTTGCTTAGGGGTAATAAAGACCTCGCAAAAGGTCAGCGTGTGGGCCTAGAAATGAGAAATTTTTAAGAATCTCATGTCGGCTATTTAAGCAGCAACTTATACCAAATAAAATCAGTTTGAAATTAGAACTCAACAGATATGGACGTCTTGTTTTTAGACTGCTCTTACATTCGCTGAAACAAATACTTTGCAGACATATTTAAGGAACGTGTTAAGCTTTTGCAAGCTTGTTTATTTGCTGTTTAAAACGATACAATTTGAAATGACTAGCTAGTAATGTGACATTGAATTTCGGATAACATTAATACAATCGCTTGTACGTCAATGGTAAAACTAACTATATGCTAACCCTATTCCTTGGAGACCGGCTTGCAGGCGATCATGTAGACTGGAAAGAGTCCCTTGGGGAAATTTTGTTGCTTTACCTTGCGCACGATGCGGAACCCGGCTTCCTTTAAGAAACGCTCGTAGCTATCAAGTGGTCTAGTGACTGAAGAATCTTCCTTGTCCTCCACCGTCTTCTTAGAGCTGCTCACATTCTCCTTCAGGCAGAAAAAGGCGCCGGGCGCCAGTCCCTGTTTGATCCGCCTAAAGAAGGCGACCAGGTCACGGTCCGTGAGGTGGCCCAGCACCCACTGACTCCAGATAAGGTCATACTGTTGCGAGGGTGTGAACTTCTGCAGTCCCACGTTGTAGATCTGGCCCACCTTGCCAGGACTCACATCTTCCGTGATGCAATACTCCCTCGCCTTTTCTGCAAATGCAGAATCCTGTTCGACAAGGTCCACACAGTTGAAGCGCGGGATCAGGAGATTCCGAGTCACTCGTCCTATTCCAGCGCCACAATCCAAGGCCAACCTGTTGCCTGGCACACGGATTTCGCGCAGGAACACTGTAGATCCCTGTATGTCGATGGCGCTAATGTAGCCAAGTCCGCCGAGCATACCATTCACGGTGGCCGGAACCTCTGACCAGTATTTTTGGGCCTTATCGTAAAACTCTGGCTCCGGAGCAATGCTTTTCGTTGCACTATCACTGGAAGACGGTGACGTCGTCTTTACATCGGAAATACCAGGCGCACCTTTGTCGGAAATACCCGTTTCTTCCTGCTTTCCCGGCTCCTGGTCATTGTCCTTGATCTCGTCCACCATTTGCAATTTGTCCGAAAGCTGGGCTTCTAAAGTGGTCGTCATGTTTGTCAGGATTCTAAAGGCCGCATGCTTTGTTTTGTTTTGTTTTAGTCAAACGACCAGGGCTACTACACCAACAAACGAGTTTTTCTGGGGAATCTAACAAGGTGGCAGCTCTACGACAAACAGCTGTTCTCGAAGAATATCGTTTTGTTTATTTTACGAGTTTTGTTTTTAATTTGTAAATTGTTAGTACAAAATGACCCTTGATTTGGATGCAAATAAGAAGGATGATAAGCTGCTGATCGCCACCATCCAGCAGGAGTACAAAATCCTTGCGGAATAGTGAGTTCTCTAAGAATTTAATTAAACAGTGAACATCGAGCAAAATTACTTATTTTTTTGTTTTTAGCAAAATGATTGAATCAGAGAAGTTGAGTGGCTTATATGTGATACCTAGCTACGCCAACTCCCTACGTTAGTATACATACATACATATTTTATGCAGCACTTGGCTAATTTCACCTTTTTAATAGAGTGGTTTGGCGTGTTCTTTGGACGCCAGGGCTTGTATGCAGAAAGTGTCTTCCGCTTTACGATCCTACTGCCTGATCGTTTTCCCGACGACAAAAATCTTCCGGTGAGTAACATAGAGGAAAAAAGCGGAGTTTTATGCATCATATTCTTCCTTAGACTATAATATTCCAGCAAGATGTGCTGCACCCCCATATCTGCCCGTACACCCACAGTTTGGACGTGAGTCACGCATTTTCGGAATGGCGATGTGGCGAGGATCACCTCTGGCAGCTTTTAAAATACATGCAGGCGATATTTTCCGATCCCGTGGACAGTATTCGTGGCATTGAATTGGACAAAATTAAGAACAGCGAAGCTGCCGAGCTGCTGATGACCAATAAGGAGGAGTTTTCTGCCCGCGTTCAGGAAAACATCAAAGAGAGCAAGGAGCACATCTATGACACCCCTCCCACAGAGGATCCGCACTACATAGTATTCGAGAAGTTTCAGCCGGACGTGCATGGACCTGTTCTCGATCGAATTAAAGCAGGAAGGAGCAAACAAACAGAACCATCCTCGACACAGGCGAATGGAGGTCACGCCACTGGTCTTTCCTGGGTGAAGGAGGGCGAGTTCAAGCCCCTCAGTATTGAGTAAAAGCAAAGTAAAAGTAAAGTAAGTTATCTTCGTAGTTCTAAATTTGTCTCAATTTTAATCCATTAAAGTTAATCGATTATATACACTCCTCGTTCATGGGAAAGCGCTGCGTATTGCTAACCCACTCGTTCTGCAGCTTCAATCGCTCTCCGTTCCATCGAAAGTGTGTGGGAGAAGCTTCGCCAGGCGGAAACTCAAAATGATGGCTAAGTTCTATAGCCAGTTTAGATCTGACCAGGCCAATACCGCCCACCTGTGGTGTTGCTGGATGATATACCCTCCCATTTCGGGGATCCATGTATAATTTGTCGGGTTCGTAGGGCAACGTAAGGACCTGTCCTGAATGTGCATAACTGAGCACCTCTTTGTCATCCTTATTAAGTTGTTCAGTAAAAACAAGAGGGGTATCATCGCATCGTATGAAATTTCTTTCGCGTCCGCAAAGGGAAATGTATGGAAATTCGTGTTTATATCTATTTGTTTTGTTCAATCGCAGGCGGTTGAAAAAGAACTTAAGGAAATCCTTCTCCTTGAAACAGCTGGTAAAGTTTTTCATTTTCGCATCGTCCAGAAAGAGCTACAAAACATATTTAGGCAGTCTATAAAGATCTTTATACTTTTAGGACTCACCATTCCTTCATGATCAATGTAGTAAAAATATTCTCGTATTTTTGGCTCCGGCGATTGTCCTTGATTGTATTGCAAATAGCGACAGGATGAGGCTGAAAGTCCTTCAAATTTCGGTTTTATTAGCGATCTAGAACGCAGTATGAACATTGTTATTATGACCGAGAACTGCGTTTGTTAACAAGCCACAAAAAACAGCTGACTTTTGTTTACTACGTACTATGTATATATATACTAGCCGCCTTCAGAAAACGTAAGCCCCCTGGGATTGCTGCTATCCTTGAAAACCTCGAAATATTGATGGCTAGCCCTTTTCTGGTTCTGCTATAAGCTGGGATATTAGAAAAGTTTCCAAACATTTTAAAAAGTAATTAAATTGTCTAATTTAAAAAATGAAGTGACTGTCATTTGAAATCATTTTTTGCTCAAAAAGCTTTTATTTCCCTTCATTTAACATAAAAATAAGTATTTTTACGTAGCCAAAAAGTATACTAAGCTTTCGTAAGCTTTTCTGTAAAATGCCAAAGGCAACGGTTTTTCAAAATCAATATTCTCAAAATTTGTCTTGTATTTACAAGATAATAGTTTTGTTTTTAAGTAAATGTTTATTATAAACTTTAAATATATATTAGTCCCGTAACGTTTAAAAATACATCAGATTTAAATAAGTATCTAATCTTTGTTTCTCTCTGTTAAAAACGTAGATAACCTGAAGGTCGTCTCTTCCCATTTATTTAATGTATCAAGAAATTTAATATTACTCAGTATCAAACGAAACTTTGGACTTAGATAATTTATGTCTTTGGAATTTAATTAGTTTTTAGTTTATCTCAGTAGGTGGTATTTTTATCAGGGTGAACATAAATATATCCAAGCAATAAACTTTATTTTTTATTTATTCGTACACCTTTAAAATCTTAGACTATAAATCGGAATGAGCTAAATCAAACTTTAACGTTATCTTTTTCTGCATGAGGAATTCAACGTACCAAAATAAGCGGCACGTGTATGATACTGCCACTGTTTTTTATAGTTGTTGATATTCAAAACAAAAATCGACTAATGAATACCCTTATCCGAATACAATGAATTAAACGACTTCTTTCCATATAAAGGAGCCAGAGAGTTATTAGATTTCCCCGCTGAGGCAGGGTACTAAAGTTTAATTCCCCTCATTTGGTATTGATAAGATATGGTCTGTCCAGTAATTAGCCATGACTGTTTATTTTTGCACCACTAGATTGATAGCTTATAAAAGATTTCCATTCAGACGGAGGCGTGGCCCTTATCTGCTCGCCAATATGCACGTAAAAATCGCCCAGATGTGAGTGGAATCTTTTTTATAGGGGTAGTGGTAAATTCGAATAGATTTCTTTAATCTAATCTTTGAACTGCAGCTTAATGATTCTTATATATTTTTTTATATTTCTGACTGTTGCTTCATAGTTCAAAGTGTCTAGAAATGAGGAGTCTTTCACTAGCCAGCAAAGGTTTGATGTATTTATATTGCGAAGAATTAAAAAGTTTTTTCAGGAACATAATATTTTATGATTTCCTTGTAAATATAGGTCTCATATATACAGTTCTCTGTGAAGTGATAAAGGCACCCTGATTGGGACATTATCTGTCATTTATATCTGCCGTTGCTCATACGCAACATCGTTCTTGTTGGGGACTCTTTCGGTCTGCTCTGATAAGCCTCCACAGTTTTGTTATTGCCACAGTCGCGCGTGCCGTAATATAAAAATAAAAATCTCAAAACCTCCGATACACACGTGTCTACCTGTATACATGTATATATGGTACTAAGATTTATTTCTGAGAGAGAAATCTCAATAAGTTCAGCTGATGCCGGCGAAAACAGAGCGTAGGCGAGATGATCTCTCTTCAGTCTCTTACTCGCTCAAATCACCGCCAAATCTTAACAACCATTTGGAGTCATACGATTCTACCGACTCTGCCATCGAGTCCCTGTATATGTAGACACACCGGCTGTTAATATAATAAGCTCCACGCGTCCGATCCAAATGGCCAGAGCATTCGAATTCCCTGCACAACAACACATCAACAAGCTCATAATGTTCTGAAAGTTTCCATGAGCATAATAGATCCATATCAGGGGTAGTGATGTGATTTGTTTTTTTATATCCGGAAATTGTACAAGAGAGGGAATTATATACTTACTTTTTGGAAAGAAGGACTTCAAAGGATTGGACGCCATATAGGATCCTCAGCAGTCTGAGCTACGCAGATTGGATTTTATATTATTATTATTTCATGCCGAGCCAAATAATAATTGTATTATGCAATTCTTATTGATGAGATAAACAATCTATTTTCAAACTTGAAACCTTTTATAATAGATCGTCCGGAGAAAATGTAGTAGGCTTTTTGAATTTTACTAGTCACCATTTATTTTCTTTAAAATTTGTAAAGTTAGTTAATATTACAGTTTTTGGTTATTCTTGATTTTTTACATATATTCTTAAGTTTTAAAATTGCAAGTAATTCTGGATGAAGTGGTAAATTCTGGTTTTTCGGGATCTTCGTCATCTTAGGGACCGGCAAACAGCTGTTGCTCTCCCGCTCGCCCTCCCTTCCGCTCTGACTCTCCAGGGGCGGACAATGTCAATAGAAAGTTCTCTTGCGCGACCGGCATACGGCGACAAAAACAGCTTTGCCGCTAGGACAAAGTTCGATGATGTTTCAGTCTCTTTATTGGGTATTCAAGGGGTATATAAAGGACAGGCGAATTATGTAACAGTTAGATGAAAGCCTTTGTGATCACGTAAAGTATATTTGAAAGTTATCACTTGTCATATAACTTTAGAAAAGTGTGTATTAATATTATTAGTTAAGTACAAACTAGCACCAACTTTCTTATATTGAAAAGCTCTCTCTTGTGTAAATATAAGGATCTTGATAATTATACGTTTTCGATACTAAAAATCATCAATCCAAATAGCCTGAATAAGGTTTTGTGGTTAAGAGGTAATATACAGTCGTAGGGTTCCACCCTCTTTATTTGAGAACAAATCATTGCCGGTTGGGAGCATGAGCACGCGCAGGCCTCGAAATTGCGAGAGGAGCAGCAGAGATTGGGAGAGGGAGCGGAGAGCCGGCGAGAATGTTCGTAGTCTGCCTGGCCTGAAACCATAACCACTCTCCACGGAACTAGTCGAAACTTTCGAGTTTTTTTTGCGCTCGGTCTTGCCAGTCCGACGGACAGCTTTGAAGTGAACGGTTCGCGAGTTCCTGGGCAGAAAAGACGGAGAATCAGAGTGCAGCAACCGTTTGCGAATTCGTGCTGTTCTACCTACCAAACCCAGACCAAAACCCAAATTAAAAGAGGCCGACAAGTTGACAAAACCATATATATATATACATATATATAGGAACCGTGAATTTGTATGTGCTGAGCTTGATATATAAGCTAAAGAATCCACGTTGACTCACGACTCGTTTGAAATTGTTTTATAGTGCTGGAGCAAGCGATTACCCACATTTTGTTGCCGCCAGGACCACGAGGATAGGCGCAGGGCGCTCCTTCGAAACTTTCGCTATTAAAAAGTAAGTCGCAGGTCAGTGGACCCAAGATAATTTGATTTCGCTTATCGATCAAGTGCATAGGAAATTAATTGCATAATTTTTGCTCAATTTCTCTTTCCCCTCGGTTCGGTGGTGCCCTTTCAGCGTATCTCTCGTATCCCTCCTTTATATCCAACAATTGTAATTTGCCTTCGTCACTCTCTGGCAGACATGTGTTAATTACATTTTATTCTATTCCATACCATACCAAACCATACCCCCATGCCCCATACGCACACACACCCAAACGATACGTACGCACCATCCCAGAGAAGAGGGAAATGTGGCTGTTTTATTTTCGGAATCATCCTACTGTTTTGTTCTGCCCAATATTTATGACCTTCTTATGGTTTCGCTATTGGGTGAAACGTGTTTGTCGCACAGCCAGACAAACATAGATCCATAATCTACATATACTCGTACGTATTGTGCATAATTTTTGAAATTAGCTCGCATGTGCAGCGCGAAAGCAATTAATGCGCGATCTATGAAAGTGATCTAGGGTGAACCAAAAATTTAACCAGTTTATGGGACAGTTTGATTTGTTTGATTGCGTTTTATTTGCCGTGCGCGACAGGCAGTAAAATACGTATATGGAGAGCTGGACCCGGACTAGTCAATGTCAAAGCTTCGTCTCTATCAGCTATTCATTCGGCGTGATAAGGTCTAGAGTCTAGACGGGGTGCTCAAGTAAATGTAAAAGTTTTCGAACCAACAACTTATAGTGTTAAGAGAAAAAGTTTGAAGTTTTTTCGATAAATAAAAAATATATTTTTTATAAGAAAAAAAAACTGATTAAATCATCTCGTTGAAAACTGGAGAGTCTTTCTACTAAGAAAACTTTTATAATGGCTGACTGGTTACTATCTAGCACCAGGATTATTTATCAGAATATTTTAATTTGTTTTCTAAATTTGTACAAATATTTCTTCAAATAAGAAAATACAGTTTCGTATGGTCTGCTTCAATAAGTATAATAATAATTATATAACGATTATATAACACATTTTGACTAAATTAAATACTGCGCAAAAATAATTCTAGTTTTAGAACCTTGATTTTGTTACAAGATCTGAATCATTACCGGAAGGAATATTTTACATTAATTCGCTCTCAGACCTCGCCTTTTTTTGCGGAAAAATCAATGTACGACCCACATTCAAAAGCGACTTTGACCTTAGCAGCTTGTCGTTCAAGATCATACGTCCATAGAGCAAAAATAAAATCATAGCACGCACATTTCTCTGGGCAAAAGTTGGTGAGCAAAAGCAAATCGTTCAAGTGGCTGTGGCGCTCCATTATTATTTTTCGTTGCACGATGTAGTTAGTTGGACTATCATGTTATTATTACATAATCGCTCATTTTGATGGGCAAGCACACAATCGGGGCTTAGGGTTGGTTCTGTGGTATGCCGTGTCAACAGCATTTTCGTGTAATTGCATGAGATTGGACAGGACTGCGCCCACTTTCCTTACGGAAAATATGAAAACACGCCCAGTCAAACAGCCGAAGCAACAGGATAATTGATCGTCTGTAAATATTGAAAGAAATTTACCTCAGGCCAAAGGTGTCAGAGGTATCCCAGAAATACCTGGAAAATAAGCTTCGATTTGCATATGAAAATACGTGTTATTTTCGCAACATGCTAAACAATTTCTCAAACATGCATTCATTTAGTTTATTTAGATGCTAATGCGCTTTAATTTTTCGAATACAAAAAGCTAACCAATAATCCAGTTCTTTAAAAAGCTTAAATTCTAATTGGAAAGTAAATAAATACGTATATTCTTATCACAGATCGATATTTAAATTATTAATATGGCAAGTCCTTTTAATTTCAAAGGCCAGTGATAACAGAAAAGCTTCCGATTATAATTTCCGCTTGCGCCAGAGATAAGATTTGCCATGCACCAGAGATATAATTATTAATACGTTCAATAACTCTTAAATAACTCTTGAAAGTGACCTAAGAGGTCCAACAGTATTTCTTGATAACTTTTGCTTTGACTGTACTTTTTGCTTTCCATCGATAGGTAACTCTCTCCTAAGTCTTTTAGCTTGATGTTATTATAAAACCTACCCGTTTAGATAAGGGAACTAATTTGACAAGTGACCTAAATCCGGGACTGTCTCAATCTGTTCATCACAAAACTATTCCATATGTTCAAGTTTAACGTTATCAGGAGTTTGTTACAAAACATATTTTCCAATTCACAAGTAGGGTATATCATTCGGGGATGTGGAAACCTGGAAGAGGAGCTCGCACTACGGATAGTTATCTTTGAACATTTATGGCATTCTTAAAGTCTGGCAGTCGAGTGCTCCTTCCGTCTTAAAAGGTGACCTTGGGCTTATCTTGCCAATAATATAACATGTTGTGTTTGAGCAAGTTTATTATATCTAATAATTATTAACATAATCGTGAATTAATGCGGTGCAAATTAATCAAATTAGCGGATAAAATAGATGTTAAGAGAGGGAAATTTAATTAGAGTTGATTAAAACGAAGATTTCCATCACGTTTCCGCTATATATAGAGTCCAAATATGGTGCCCCCAGGAGTTCCATATAATATAAGTGCGCACTCCCACTGGGAATAACAATGTTTACTCTATAGTCCGACCTCCAATGTGTTAATAAAGCCAGCTTATCGTCCGCTCATTATCTGCACCTGTGTCACACATCCAATACATGTGTCAACATTGGTTCTTGGTTATCTATGGACCCCAGGAAGCCCACCTTTTCCAGGGCATGCACTTCACGTGCTGATGCGAAAACACCCATTTAATTGCAACTACGAATGGTAAACATGCCAATGGATTGGCCAAAAATAGAGCTAAACGTTGAACCCCATCGGAAGAGGGTTATCAAAGTGATTAGGACAGAGCTAAGCTGCTTGAAATTGGACCGCAGATCATTCGGTCACCTGACCAGTTCTCGTTAACAAGTTCAAGTTATTATTGCACTTCAGATGTGTTTTTTTTCATGCCGGGGCATACTCATAGATAGTATATTTGGTCAACAGGTTTTAGCAGATAGAGACGAGCCCCCTCAAACTAGACTCAGATAGAGAGTACTCACTTTGTCGGCTATTTGAGACCTATTTGGGTCGGGGATCTGAAAGCCAAAGCCGGTCTCTGACGCACCGGTAACCGGGTGTCCGTTTGTCCATTTGTCAGTCCGCCGATCTGTCTCATCGTCGACGGGGGCTACAAAAACCATTTGAATCGCTGATAATGAGCAAAACAAGCTAAAAGTTGGCAGACATCAAAATAAATCAAATATTTAATGGCATGTGCGGCGAAAGCGAGTTAACAATCAACGGACTGTGAATACTCTTCACTAACAAAGCTTTAAAAGTTACTCATATGAGATATACTATATAGATACTATAGCCAGCCAGTTTTCTGCGTTTTAATGCAGCTGTAATAATTAACTGTTTGCTTATATTATGGGTGCTAATTGAGTCGCATATGTACGTGTGAAGATAAAATAAAAGCTTAAAACAATATGGAGAGCTCAGTAGAAGTATTTAATAACTGACTAAAATAAGTAACAGACAGGTATTACTAATAATTTAACACATCTGTTATTGCCCGACCCTCGTTGATCCAATCACTATTTAAACTTCAAGTGCGAAAACGTGCTAAAGTATTTGCTGTAACAGTAGTAGGAAATATTTCTTAATCTATTATTAACTTTACTATTATACGTAATAGTTGCAAAATAGGTAGTGTCAATGTTTCAATTAGAGAACCTTTTTCGGTTTCCAGACTTACGACCTATTAAAAATACAAAAACAAACAAGTTGCCATTAAATTCTACAAGTTTGCCGTGCATTTGTTAAAGCCCGCTTTGGATTTTGATCACGTGAGTCAACCTGTATTAATGAGCAGACAGATCTTAATTTATATGGAATAAAACCAAAACGGCGAACAATCAATGGACTTTGAGCCCAAGATTAAACTGCTACTTATGCAAACAGATGCGGTCATAAAAGTAGGAGCTAAACATAAGGATTTGATTTAAGATTTTTCTAATTTCTCAAAATGAAGCAATCTTTTTTATAAAATAAATACATTTTATTACTATTAAATTCGAAATGGATTAAAAGTTAAAGTAACCCGCAGCGTTCTTAGATTTCCAATTGCATCAACTTAAAAAACGAGACCTTCCAGTCGCTTGTTTGTTTTTTCGAAAGTAATGTCGATAACCTTAAGGCATTTGGCAATCGAGCTTTTGAAATTAACAGATAATTAAAGCGTTAAATGCAATCTCTCGATCGTAAAGCCGAGCATTTATTATTTTCCCCACACCATCACCTTCTAAGTAACCTATATATTGTCTTAGAAAAAATAGTGTTTGTTTCAATGATTAATTAGAATTAAGTGACGAAATCGGGTTTCGAAAAGGTATAATTTACAGAATTCTAAACAAACATATTATTGTATTATAATATTTTAATAACTTGTTAGGTTAAAACGGGTTTATAAGATATACTATTAACAGATCTCTATTATAATAAGTAAATTAACACTTTTCTATTAATTTTGTTAAATTAAGAAGAAAAATGGATTTTAATCTAAAAAATAACATTATTTACTTTATTTTAGATAAATTCGAGTCCTAGGTGGGATCACCATGTTCATTCCGGCCGCACAGTCCGCTTATAAGACGCTGCGCAAGACGCAGCCGCGTGTCCGGCTCAACTTGCTCTTCAAGAATGGCTACTCCAGCAAGGTGAGTTTCGTATCCTGCGATTTAAATAGTATCCATTCCAATCGAAAATTTAACACTCGTACATTTTCAGGTTGAATACAAGCCCATTCGGTCGGTGCTGGTGGCCAATCGCGGTGAGATTGCCATTCGTGTATTCCGTGCCTGCACAGAGCTGGGCATCAAGTCTGTTGCCGTCTACTCGGAGCAGGACAAGATGCACATGCACCGACAGAAGGCCGACGAGTCGTACATCGTAGGCAAGGGTCTGCCACCAGTGGAGGCCTACCTTAACATTCCAGAGCTGATCCGGGTGTGCAAGGAGAACGACGTGGATGCCGTGCATCCTGGCTATGGATTCCTCTCGGAGCGCAGTGATTTCGCCCAGGCGGTGATCGATGCTGGATTGCGTTTTATTGGTCCCTCCCCTGATGTCGTCCAGAAGATGGGTGACAAGGTGGCGGCCCGTAAGGCGGCTATTGACGCGGGTGTGCCCATTGTCCCTGGTACCGATGGCCCAGTGACTACTAAGGAAGAGGCCCTGGAATTCTGCAAGAAGCACGGCCTGCCCGTAATCTTCAAAGCCGCTTACGGAGGCGGCGGACGTGGTATGCGTGTGGTCCGTAAAATGGAGGATGTTGAGGAGAGCTTCCAGCGGGCGAGTTCCGAGGCAAAGGCTGCCTTCGGCAATGGAGCCATGTTCATTGAGAAGTTCATCGAGCGACCACGTCACATTGAGGTCCAATTGCTGGGAGATAAGGCTGGAAATGTGGTGCATCTGTATGAGCGTGACTGTTCTGTGCAGCGTCGTCACCAGAAGGTGGTGGAGATTGCGCCAGCTCCGCGCCTGCCCATTGAGATCCGGGACAAGATGACCGAAGCGGCCGTGCGATTGGCATGCCATGTGGGCTACGAAAACGCCGGCACTGTGGAGTTCTTGTGCGACGAATCCGGAAACTTCTACTTCATCGAAGTTAACGCCCGTCTGCAGGTGGAGCACACGGTAACTGAAGAGATTACTGGCATCGATCTTGTGCAGTCCCAGATCCGCATCGCCGAGGGCATGACCCTTCCTGAATTGGGCTACACGCAGGACAAGATCGTGCCTCGTGGCTATGCTATCCAGTGCCGTGTTACCACTGAGGATCCCGCCAACGACTTCCAACCCAACACAGGACGCCTGGAGGTCTTCCGCTCCGGTGAGGGTATGGGCATTCGTCTGGACAGTGCTTCAGCCTACGCTGGTGCCATCATTTCGCCGTACTACGATTCCTTGCTGGTCAAGGTGATCTCGCACGCCAGCGATCTACAGAGCTCCGCCTCTAAGATGAACCGTGCTTTGAGGGAGTTCCGAATCCGTGGCGTCAAGACCAACATCCCGTTCCTGCTCAACGTGCTGGAAAACCAAAAGTTCCTGCACGGCGTTCTAGACACCTACTTCATTGACGAACACCCACAGCTTTTCAAGTTCAAACCCTCTCTAAATCGTGCCCAGAAGCTGCTCAACTATATGGGCGAGGTTCTGGTAAATGGACCTCAGACCCCGTTGGCCACAACTCTAAAACCCGCCGTAGTATCTCCTCATGTTCCTGAGATTCCGCTGGGTAAGTTTCGCCTTTAATCCTTCTAAAAGATTCCCAGATCAGTGGCATGTGCTTTTCGGGTTCACGCTTGCTTGTGTGGCTACTACTCACGGCAGTTGCCGCTTTCTGAATGTTTCAGGCAGCTTTAATCTTGACTTAAGGGGTCCCTAACAGGAAGCTTTTATCGTCACAATTACTGGGGGGATTAAGAAGTATTTGATTTTTACTTATTTTTGCGGAGTCTTAACTTAATAATTATTTTCTTATGATTTTATTGTGATAATTTTTCCTATCTGTAATTTTGTAGTTTTATTCACTAGTAATCGAAATTTAAGTTTAGTGGTTGATTTTAGCTGAAAAATAAGTACACGAAAAGCTTCCTGTAAAAGACCCTTCATCTTTTCAATGCATTTAATTGATCTAATAACTAATTTAATAGATCAATTAAAACACTTTTTCCCAAAAAGTGATCAAAGAAAAGGCATGTTTGTTGATGTTTTTTATATTCTTACCGCACCTCCTGTGAAATGTTCTTTGCTTTTCTGATATGCTTTAATCGAACCTTTATGTTTTTACTCTTTCAACTATCAATTTTTGTTGCATCTGTTATTAATCAACAAATACCAAATCGTAATCGCGATCGAAATCGAATTGGCATCGCAAAAAAAAAACACCAAAACCAATATCACACACCTATGTATGTATCGACAACCAAACAACAACGACTCAAAATATGCACAACACGCCCACCAACAAAACCACGCCCACTTCGCCCCGTTCATACGCGATACGTTCCCATGATCGAACCCCATAACGAACGAATTGTAGATCTGTCTCAGGAAGCCCTAGAGCGTGAAGAACGTGGCGAGGCCAAAGGTACGTTAACTTATTTATCCCAAAAACGAAAACCCAATTCCAAGCAGGACATTTGTACATACGCACATTGATCATATCGGTATATTTCCCACAGGGATTCTAAGGTGTCCCTAACACTATGTATTCTCTATTATCAAATCTCTAATCTAAAATGTATAGAAAATGTAAACTACAGCCAAACTTACATAACTCGAAAATGTTTTTTGAATCATTAAAAATTCAAGTTATGGAGACTTCGAGTTGTTGAATATTGATTAAAATTAATACAAATATTTGTATGTGCTTTGGTGTTTTCCTATAATTATGTTTATGTTCATTTTTTGGTAAAAAGCTAATTTCATTCAACGCACTTAATTAATTTGATATTTTAATTGTTTATTATTAATGCAGCTTTTGGTTTTACTAGCTTTTAATGTTCAGCTTAACGAGTATATGTATGTTGTTGGGGGTTTTGTAAACTAGCGTAATATTGATCCTGACCTAACCCGTAAATGTCCTAATGTCAAAGATATCTTCCCGTGAACCTTAAAAAAATGTATCTTATGGATACGGGAGTAGATCCTATAAAAAATCCGTAAACTAATTATTTGTTGTGATATAGTTACGGAACCACCGAAGGGATTGCGCGATATTCTGGTTTCCGGAGGTCCCGAGGCCTTCGCCAAAGAGGTGCGCTGCCGTAAGGAACTTCTGCTCATGGACACCACCTTCCGTGATGCTCACCAGTCTCTGCTGGCAACCCGCGTTCGTTCCCACGATCTGCTGAAAATCTCACCCTTCGTGGCCCACAAGTTCAACAATCTGTACTCGTTGGAGAACTGGGGCGGAGCCACTTTCGATGTGGCGCTGCGATTCTTGCACGAGTGCCCGTGGGAGAGGCTGGAGGAGATGCGTAAGCGCATCCCGAACATTCCCTTCCAGATGTTGTTGCGCGGAGCCAACGCCGTCGGCTACACCAGCTATCCGGATAATGTGGTATACAAATTCTGCGAGCTTGCTGTACAGACTGGCATGGACATCTTCCGGGTGTTCGACTCGCTCAACTACCTGCCCAACCTGATCCTCGGCATGGACGCTGCTGGTAAGGCAGGCGGCGTGGTGGAAGCGGCTATCTCCTATACTGGAGATGTCAGCGACCCCAAGCGCACAAAGTATGACCTAAAATACTACACCAACTTGGCCGACGAGCTGGTAAAGGCGGGTACCCACGTCCTCTGCATTAAGGACATGGCGGGACTTCTTAAGCCTGAATCAGCCAGGTAAGTCTAAATGGGATTTCCCTTCGTCTTAACGTACTATATGATTTCCGTTCCTTGTCAGACTTCTCATCACCGCCATTCGGGACAAGCACCCTGATATCCCAATCCACATCCACACCCACGATACCTCTGGAGCAGGAGTCGCCTCCATGCTGGCCTGCGCCAATGCCGGAGCCGATGTGGTTGACGTAGCCGTTGACTCGATGAGTGGCATGACCTCCCAGCCCAGCATGGGTGCCATAGTGGCTTCCCTCCAGGGTACCCCATTGGACACGAACGTGGACTTGCGCACGGTGTCGGAATACTCCGCCTACTGGGAACAAGCCCGTACCCTTTACGCTCCCTTCGAATGTACGACGACGATGCGCTCAGGCAATGCCGATGTCTACCTAAACGAGATCCCCGGCGGCCAGTACACGAATCTGCAGTTCCAGGCCTTCTCTTTAGGTCTAGGAGACTTCTTCGAGGACGTGAAGAAGGCCTACCGGGAGGCCAACCTGCTCTTGGGCGACATCATCAAGGTGACGCCCTCGTCAAAGGTGGTCGGAGATCTCGCTCAATTTATGGTTCAGAATAACCTGACCGCCGACCAAGTGTTGGAGAAGGCGGAGGAGCTGTCGTTCCCCAAATCTGTGGTGGAGTACCTGCAAGGTTCTATTGGTATCCCGCACGGCGGATTCCCCGAGCCCCTGCGCTCGCGCGTCCTTAAGGATATGCCTCGCATTGAGGGACGTCCTGGCGCCGAGCTGAAGGACTTGGATTTCGATAAGCTGAAGAAGGAACTGAAGGAATCTCACTCCTGCATCACTAACCGGGATGTCATGTCAGCCGCCCTCTATCCACAGGTGACAAATGATTACCTGAACTTCCGCGATAAGTACGGACCCGTCGACAAATTGGACACCCGCATATTCCTCACCGGACCCAATGTGGGAGAGGAGTTCGAGGTGCCCTTGGAGCGCGGAAAGACGCTGAGCGTGAAGGCCCTGGCTGTGTCCGCCGATCTCAAGCCCAACGGTATCCGTGAAGTCTTCTTTGAATTGAATGGCCAGCTACGTGCGGTCCACATCTTGGACAAGGAAGCCGTTAAGGTAAATTCAGCCTAAAATCTTTAGTAAACACCGGATCTCAACCATTTTCTTCTTTTCCGTAGGAAATCCACGTCCATCCCAAGGCCAACAAGTCGAACAAGAGCGAGGTCGGAGCCCCCATGCCCGGAACCGTTATCGATATCCGCGTGCAAGTTGGCGACAAGGTCGAGAAGGGTCAGCCTCTGGTCGTGCTTTCGGCCATGAAGATGGAGATGGTGGTGCAGTCGCCATTGGCTGGTGTTGTCAAGAAGCTGGAGATCGCCAACGGAACGAAGCTCGAGGGCGAGGACCTCATTATGATTATCGAATAGAGTCAGAGCCCCGAAAGACGTGACCCGAGTCACAATGTCCAATGTCCAAGCTGCCACCGCACACCCATTCTAAAATTAAGTCAAAACAGTGATAATCTTAGGGATCCTGTCAGTTTGATAAACCATAAAGTGTCCAATCGCCTGCGTCTATTTTGATATGCATCTGATGAACCGTATGGGTTCTTTCAGATATGTTTCCGCATTTCCAGGATAATTCGACCAACCTCAATAAAATATTCTAGCTTACCCTGCCAAAATTGATCGGATTGGAAACGGATTTTATATGTACGTGCCCGAGTATATTTGTAAATTTATTGTAGAGCCTTTCCTCAACTCATTTGAATCAAATTTGTACGATTTTGGAATTTTTAAATTCGCAAACACCCCTGTCGAGATTTCCCTCCTCCAGTAAATACGTAAGTGGTTATAAATGTTATATTAACTATTGTCTAATAGACGTTATACAAAATAAAATGCATTGTGTTTTCCATAATGGTAAAATACCCAAATTAATTCTCAATGTGATAAAAGAAAAGTCAAAATTATGGAAATTGTACATTTTATTTTCCTAAAACTAATTAAACTGAGTTAGATTACAACAAGCTTGGAAAATGAAAATCCATAACTATGTATATTCTACATGCACTTGACAATGAATTCCAGGAAGGCCAGCTCCTTGTTCAGTTCGGTGACCCTCTTAAAGTGCCTCTGGACATAGGGTGTGAGAACCTCGACCATGTTGCCATTGTTGTAGAATCTTGCTTTGGGATCCTGCAGAGCATCACCGATCAAGTGCTTCAGTATCAGGTTACCCACCTGCGAGTGTCGCGAATTGGTGGTCCATGCCTTTACATGCTGCAACAGCGCCACCCGTTGGTCCACGTTTAATTGGTCCACCAGTTGGCGGAGACCAGGCTCATCCCGCTGCCGAACAAAGTGGTTGATAATGTCAAAGCTGGCTTTCGGCTTATCCAGGTTCAAAGCCAAAACGAATGCTTTGTGAAGCTGCTTCTGCGCGTGCAGGAGGGAGTGGAGTGTCTGCTCCTGCTCCAAGGTCGCCTGCCGCTGGTCCAGGACTTCGTTACGCGTTGCCTGGGTGATATCACCGAATCGAATCAGCTTGGAGTCGGCCCCACCAGTGTAGAAGAACCGATTGCTCCTGCCGGATACAGCAAGAGCCCACACCCTGTCGTTGTGCTCATCCAGGGATTGCAGGCACGTGTTGGTCTTGATGTTCCACAGTTTAAGAAGGCCGTCTGAAGCGGCGGAGAGTATAAATTTACCATGATCCAAGAACTCAGCTCGTAGTATGGTGCACTCCTGGTCGAAACGTTTTATGCACGCGAAATTGCTGATAGACCACAGCCTCAGAGTGCAATCAGAAGATGAGGTGAGCACGATTTGGTCCACCGGTGAGAAGCGCACACTCCACACCCCGCGGGTGTGACCCCGAAGCACGCCCTGCAGCGAGTTTGACTCCGCCAACCACACCTTAGCTGTTTTGTCCTGTGAAGCTGTTGCAATGAACTTGTTGTTTGGTGCATATGCCACACAGTTCACTTCCTTATCGTGGGAAAGTGCTGCATAGCGCAGGTTAAACGAGTACGAATTCCGATCAACCTTGTCCCTGGCCAGTTGCCACACCTTCATGCTGCCATCCTGGCTAACAGATGCAAAGCCAGTGGCGCCGTTGTGTGTCATGGCCACGCATCCAATAGTGGACGTGTGGCAGTTGGCCTGTTGGGTTAAAGCCTCCAACGAGCAATCTTTTTCGTGCTGAAGCCTCCACAGCCGTACACTGCAGTCCTTGCCTACGGAAATAAGCAAGTTCTGGGAGGCAGCCAAGGACATAACCGTATCCGTGTGTCCGACGATCAGCTTGCAGTTCATATCGTGCTCCGTGTCATACAGTTTAAAGTGTTTGCTGTTGGTTGCTACGGCAAGGTAGCGATCATTGTCGCCCATGAAGCACATGTCCAAGATCTCGTCGTTGCAACCCACTAAGTGTTTAACGGGTTCCAAGCTACCAGCGTCATATATCAGGATATTCTGCTCAGTGGTGACCAGGGCCAGCTGTTTAAGTTCGGTGCAGAGTAGCAGTCTACTAATTTGAAAGTCTGATTGGGAGAGAAGGTTCCTAATCTTCCAAGACTCGACGTCCACCTGTTGCAGCTTGCCCGCACCACTAGCCACGATTATCTGGCGTCCCTCATCCGCGTAGACAACTCCCTCCAATTCCTCGTACAATGGAAGGACTTTTAGCTGCTTGCCTTCTAACTGCTCCCCAAGTTGCCATACGATAAGAACCTTGTCCCTGCTTACTGTCGCGATATCATTACAGTCGGACGCATTGCTCTTAAAGCTCAGGCCCGTGACCTGCGAGAGGTGTCCACGCATTTTGTGCAACAGCGTCTTGGTCTCATAGTTCCACGCATAGACCGTGTTATCTGCACCTGCGGCGTAGATCTCTTTGCGCAGTACATTGGGATGGAAAACGAGAAGCCAAGCAGGGCCTGGGAAATCCTTAAGGGCGCCTAGACAGCTATTGTTCGAGTAATCCCATAGCCTCAGTGTCGCATCCGCACCGCCACTAGTGCAGATGAGTCTGCCGCATGGACTAAACTCTACCCGGATGACGGGTCCCTTGTGCTGTGCCTTCCACAACTTCACCAACTTACCGTCGATCAGCTGCCAAAGTCTAAGCAGGCCACTCCGGTGGGCAGTGACCAGATGCTCCTGGGACAGAGCAAAGCAGGTAATGGTGTCCTCCTCTACATCGATGTTTTCCAGCTCCGTCGCTCTTTTGTTTTCCGTCGACGAGGCATCCGCGCCAAAGCTCCGCAGAATTTGGGAGGTTGTCACATCCACCTGGTTTACGGCAGCACCATTCAGGCAAAACAGATGATGACCATCCGCGCTCCAGGCAATATCGCCGCCGGCGTAGAAATTTGTATAGCGTGCCTCCGCTGCATAGCTATTGAATTTAACTATTATATTGTTACTATTACTAAGTAAGTTAAACAGTTACAACTACCTTTTTTCGCTGATACCAGTCAGCATGATTTCTGATGTTGTTTATAAATACAAAAAACCGCGTGCGCCTCGGATCGGAACTAGTTCCAAATGGAACTTCAATGAACATGTTTGGGATATTCCTGTAGTAAGAAAAAATATGTGTTTAGTATGGGAAAGTTTCAGCAGACACACATATAACAAAAACTAAAGATGACAGAGAAAATGTGTAGAAAGGCCAAGACCGTTTTATTTTAAAATTGATCTCATTATTAAAAAAAAATTCAATTTTCAAATTTACTAATCAAATTAACTATACTCGATAGTTCTCTTTAATATGTTCAGTGTCATGGTTATTGTTATCGGTTTTTTTTTTCGCAGGGATTATTAAATATGGTATTACTAATATAGTCCGTTTCACCATCTGGCAACTCTGAGCAAAAGGCGTCAAATCATCGTCTCATTTGACCCAACTTTCTGAACTAGCTTTTGCGTTTTTTTAAATAGATAAAATTCCGAAGGAGCCCTCGCAATGAGTACTATTGGTACCGGAGTAAGTAGATGGTAACCCGAATCATTGGTTGAACGATTTCTAAAATTTCTCGGTTGTAGTACGACTTGTCGGCCTCGCAATTCTCGCCGGATGGCCGTGTTTTCCAGATCGACTACGCCTCGAAGGCAGTGGAAAAGAGCGGCACCGTGATCGGGATCAGGGGCAATGATGCCGTGATTCTGGCCGTGGAGAAGATCATTACCAGCAAACTGTACGAACCGGATGCCGGCGGACGCATTTTTACCATCGAAAAGAACATCGGTATGGCAGTAGCCGGTCTGGTGGCAGATGGAAACTATGTGGCAGACATCGCCCGCCAAGAGGCAGCTAACTACCGGCAGCAATTTGAGCAGGCTATCCCGCTGAAGCACCTATGCGACCGCGTCGCCGGATACGTGCACGCCTATACTCTTTACAGCGCCGTCCGCCCCTTTGGATTGTCCATTATCTTCGCCTCCTGGGACGAGGTTGAGGGTCCGCAGCTCTACAAGATCGAGCCATCTGGCTCCTCCTTCGGCTACTTTGCCTGTGCCAGCGGTAAGGCCAAGCAACTGGCCAAGACTGAGATGGAGAAGCTCAAGCCAGACATGAAGATCGACGATCTAGTGAAGAGCGCCGGAGAAATGTAGGTCTACTGGTCAAAAAGTTTCATAATTGTAATAGAAAGCTGATAAGTCGAAAAAGTTTAAGTCTTCTAGAACACCTCCGAATAGCTATGAAATTTATAATTGTTAAATACAATTTCCATTTAATTTTCAGCATCTACAAGGTCCATGATGAGTTAAAAGACAAGGACTTCCTCTTCGAAATGGGTCTGGTTGGCAGGGTTACAAATGGACTGCATCTCATCAATCCCCCAGAACTGACGAAGAAGGCGCGGAATGCAGGAGATGCTGCCAACAAGGAGGATGACAGCGACAATGAGACGCAATAGTTTGTGGCAGTGAATCTAATTCTGGGCCTATATATATAACATTAATTTTATATTTCCCTAAAGCGCAAAATGAATAAACAAAATCGGGTTAAACATTTCCGTTTATTTAAATTTCTTATATTAATGTCCAAAGTTTTAATACCTTAAGTCGGATTCAAAGATTTTTCAGCTTATTCAAATATTTTTAATTAACAAGTTATCGGAACTGGTTCCAACTCGATAACATCCAACACAGTGTTAGCCCTCACAGCTGATAAATTTCGCGCCATTTATTCGTTGTTTTGTGATTTAACAAGAGAGATAAACTTGGATTAAGGATTTTAAAAAGCAATGGCTACTCTAATAGAACAGCTAATAACAAAAATGGGCCTGCGGGAGGAACCAAATGTGCTGGAGTGAGTTCAAAATTATATACATTAACTTCTTAGTTAAATCAAATCCTTTATCTAGGAAAACCACTGAATTGGTGCGTTTGCTAGAACTGCGATCTTCAAACGTCCCTCTGCAGATCAATGAGTACGGAAAGATAGTCCTATGCGCGGACCTTGCGTCCAGCCTTCTGGGCATCATGTTTGACAAGGAGCAGGCCCTCAAGTTGTCCGGATTGCGCAGGAGCCACTACCTCAACAATAAGCGGATGTTTGAGAAACTCCTGGACATGAACAAAGTGGCCAGCGTTAACGATATATGCGTGCAGCTTGGTCTCAACGAGGTTCTTCGTAAGGCAGAGGAGCTTATGACCCTTTTTAAGGCTGTGGCGGCCACCGAAGACACCGACACCGACACCACCCATCCGCAGTACGCCGCCATGGCCGTTTTTCAGGCCTGTCGCCTGCTTAAGAAGAAGGTTTCCAAATCGAAGCTCATGCCTTTTAGCAACCTACGGCCCACCCAGTTCCAGCAGCTTGAGCAGCAGTGGGATCGAATGATAGCTAAGCACCACAAGGAGGGAACAGTATTAGCCAGCTCTGATCTCGATGGGAAACTTAAGGAAAGTCAGCAGGAAAATATCAAGGGGCAGGAGACAAAGAAAGCACAGAAGCCTCAGGCAGAAGACTACGAAATATGGAAAGCGCGAATGCTGGCCACGGCGCAGGCCAAGCTGAAGCAATTGGAGGCATCCCACTCTAACTCGAATAATCAGTTCATCGAGGCTTAGACATGTCCATTTTACCAATTTTAATCAATTCCATGTGACATCCAGTTATATCTGTTAGTAAAACTTATTTATTACATTCAACATTATCATTAGTTATAAAAGTAAAAAAGAGAAAAACTAAATAAAATTGTCATCCATGCAATTGAGTCTCAATCAGAGCTACTATTAGGAAGGTACATTTTTTTCAAATTGAGTCTTAATTAGAGCTACCATTAGAAACGTAAACTTTTTTATTAGCCGATCATTTCGTCAATATTTTTGGTTTTTAGTTCCATATGAGATTTGAGCATTTCGCCAACATCAACGAGATCTCCTTTGGTATCATGGGCTGAAAAAAAATATGTATATATTTTCACTTGTTTAAGGATCACTAACGCAACAAACTTACAATTATAGATGATTAGCTCTACTAAATTACGTGTCTCCGGCCACGTTTTAATGAGCTCATTTAAGTGCGTGTAGAATTTGAGCCAGATCTCCCGCTTCAATTCTTTCATTTGCCAGGTGGCCGAAAAATTGGAATGCATAGCTTCAAAAAAAGATAACATGGGTGTGGCACCCTCCATGGCAAAGTAGTAGGTCTTGCCATTAACTTTTTCGGCCAGCCTATAGACAGCGTGTTTAAAGGGACGATTCACTCCCGCTCGATTGATGAACTGCGTTTCCAGAGGCTGAAAATAAAAAATATCTGGTTTGGATGAATGAACTTATCTATGAATTTCAGTACTTTTACCGTTGCTTTTTCCAATATCCTGCTTTGGATTACGCCGTTGATGAACATTTCGTCAGGAATAAGGATAATCAGTCGTTTTATACCGAAGGTGACATTGTACTTGTCCTGAAGAAAACGCATTATTAGTATTTCTTTTCATAGAATTTCAAATCAACTTACCTCATAAACGTTCATTCGATGTAGGAGTCCATCGGCCTTACGTTCTGGCAGTGAAAGTTTAAGGTAGCCGTGGAAGTAGTTGGAGGCCATTCCAGCTGCATAATCAAGTCCATGGGAGTCTCGTACCCAACTGGAGTAGGTCAAGGTGCTATGACCCAGATTACTGAAGATCCAGTATAGCGGCATATAAGCCAGAAACTTAAATGTGGGTACTACGTCCTTGTAATTTCCGCTAACCGAAATTCTTAAAAATCCTATGAGAATGAACCCCATCACCAGGTATCTCGACTTGTTGCTATATGTGCAAGAGCGCCGCAGGATCGTCCATAATCGATCCTCGGGCAGATAATACTTGCTACAGTGGACATATTCAACGACAGAGCGATACAATCTCTGCAGGAAGTCAGCCAAAACGACGGTGGCCACAATTCGAACAGTGTTGCCTGGAATGAATCTCGACTATAAAGTCGGTGGTGCCTAATCAATCGATACTCACCTATGTAATCTCCTATCATTTTCTTCAAATAAAAACATTTCCTGCCCTTCTCCGCGCGAACTTCGTTATCCACCTCGTCCGCGTTGTTTGCGATTGCCATTTCTTTGATCATATGGAACTTGGGTTGCCAGATCGATTTGAAGATTTGCAAAAGCTTTTAAGAAATGTGAGTCTTTGTTTTTCGTTTTTTTCCTAAACTGCAACACTAAGAAAATAAAGTATTAGTTAAATTAGTCAGTTTCAACTCCATTTTTGTTGAAAAATCTATATTTTTACAATTTTAAAAGTTTGATTTGGGTGTTTCAGTTGTTTATATAAATTAAATTATTTTAGAGCAACTATATATATATATACATATAAAAAATCCGATATTTCTTATCATGATATAGAGAAAATTAATTTATTTTGACCTCTTAACATTAAGGAAGTACTTCCGGTTTAAAGAAAAAGTATATATTTTCTTGTGTAAGTACATATGTAAGAGTTCGTATATATATGTCTGAAACATTTGAATATAAACATTTTTAAGTGCAATTTTTGGCGTAATCAAAAAGCTACATTGTTCTGAGTATTTACTTTGATTTGCTGTGTTTGTTTTCTCCTGCCAGACACTAGCGTAAATAAAGTACAGTGGCTCACAAAGGAGATAAGAAAGGTTGAGAAAAAAAATTTTAATGCAAAATTTTAAGTAAGCATTTTACAAGTTCAATAACTGAAAACTTGTTGTTTTAAGTGTTTATTCGCCAGTTCCATTGACCTTTTCTTTGGTTTCATTCTTTTAGGTTATATTTCTTAGTTAGCCGGAATAACCAGTAAAATTTTTATTTTTTGACTGCAGGAAAGAAGTTGCGATCCACAGTACACATGTATGAATAATTTAATTTTTATTTGATAGCAAATATTTTTTTTAGGTTTGTTTAAAACTAAGTCTAATAATTGTATAAGTCGCTTTAATATTTGCTTTTCCTTAAATATTTTGTCATCATTTGGGTCAGAAATCCTTAACATTCAAATTTGTATTGAATTGAATTGAATTTAATTGCAAATAGTTAAATTACTTACCTTTTTATCAATGGTACGAATCCTTACTCATTGATGTAAACTTGGTATGTGTAATTTTAAAAACGTTTTTTATCATATAAAAAAATTGAAAATTATTTTGGAACGGTTCAACACATACTCTGTCCTGAGTGCCAAGTTTCAACAAGGTTGGTTATCTACTGCATACAGCCTATTTTCTTATGGGACGCCCCTATTTTTACTTTTTAGGGTCATTCAAAATACATATATTTAGTAACAAATATTAATAGGACCATGAAATATATTTTTAAGTCTTTATTCAGTTATTCTGTGTGACCATTGTCAGTATGATATCGCTGCAACTATATAACAATCGAAGTTGGCGCATCTCTAATTTCCATAACTGCATCGGAAGAAGCGTCAGCAATTGTTGTTATTAGCAATGCAAAAATCGAATTAAATACGGGTTTTTGTGATGTTCCTAACAGTTCGATAAAAATAATTGGAAATCAACATTAACCAGAGCCGGTTAACGCAAAATGTAAATCTGAAGTTACGTTACCAACGAGAATCAAACTTAATTGGATAAACAAAGCAAGGTACTTTCATATAATATTGCAAATACATATGTACTTAATATTACTCATCAATAGCGTTATTGTGTAAATTTATAAGCTCTGGACTAGATAGTAGTAGTTTCCAAATCAATACATTTTTAATTTCTCAGATTCCGAGAGCACGTCATCGGAAACGGTTCGTCGTTGATTACCCCGATAAGCTCAACAAAGCGACCTGAGACACTGAGGAACCGCACCCTCAACAAAGAAGAATCTGTGGCACCATGCCGATACTATATAGTGTCATATCGCGGGGCACCACGGTGCTGGCGAAGTTCGCGGAGTGCGTCGGTAACTTTGCCGAAGTGACGGAGCACATAATCGGCCGGATCGGAGTGCACAACCACAAGATGACCTACACTCACGGCGACTACCTGATCCACTACACCTGCGAAAACAAGCTGGTCTACATGTGTATCACCGACAACGTGGGTGAACGAACCTTTGGCCCAAATACCCACAAGCTACTCATTGTACAATCGATAAAATCTTGTTTCTTCATAGGAGTTCGAGCGGTCCCGAGCATTCCTCTTTTTAGCTGATGTCAAACAAAAATTCATCCAAACATACGGCCTGCAGGTGGCCACCGCTATAGCCTACTCCATGAACACTGAATTCTCCAAGGTCTTGGCACAGCAAATGGTTTACTTCAGCCAGTCGCGGGAGGTGGACACAATTTCGCGAGTTCATGGACAAATTGACGAGTTGAAAGACATAATGGTTAAGAATATTGGTAAGAGAATTATGCGGATCTTCTAATCTTATCAGTTCATTGACCCCCCAATTATTTCAAATGCAGACAGTCTGCGAGATCGCGGCGAGAAATTGGAACTGCTAGTCAACAAGACAGAAATCTTAAGCAATACTGTAAGATGACTCCAAATAGTCTTGGAAATGTTTTTACATCTCCCTCTTTTACAGTCTGTTGATTTTCGCAAGGCCTCTCGAAATTTGGCGCGACAAATGTTTTGGAAGAACATCCGGATTTACGTGGTTGTGGGTTTGGTAATAACCTTCATCGTGTACGTGATTGTAAGCATGGCCTGCGGTGGACTTGCCTGGCAGTCGTGTGTTTAGGACCCGCTTTAAAGTTGTTTATATTGTTATAGGCTCATAAAACATGTATATTTGCATATAAAACTTAACCGTACTCTCATTATCTATGTTCTATGTAATAAACGTGAATGTATACAGAATTAAATCTTTGAAGAGCTAGTGAAGTGTTCACTTGTCCTCAACGTATACAACATCGTTTGCCTTAACCTTTCCTGGTACCCGGAGTCCCAAATGAATGCCCAGAGCCGGTGAGCTGTAGTTGAACAAGCGGTAGCTATGGAATTCATAGATATTCATAATTATTCGGATTTTTCTGATATTACTTGTAGTAACATCTTACCTCCTCAAAGTTTTGAGCGGCTCTCCATCGGGGTCTCTCTCAGCGGTCTTCACATTTATGTTTGGAAAGATGCAACGAGTGCAGGGCGCCACCGACCGGAAAACAGCATCTTCGCCAATGCGTAGCCATTGCCAATTGTCCTCGGCATAGGGCTCATCCACATCCATTTTCAGTTCGAAGTTGCCACGGAACTGTAGGACATCCACAGGATTCTTTAGACGTTTGTTAAGATCAGCAACCGATGAAAGGTTCATCAGCATAAAACTGGTAGCATCGTTAAAGGTGCCCTGTGAAAGGAAGTTGCGGAAGTGGGTAAAACAATTTTATCCTGAACCTATCTTTCCTATTATTTAAGTGTAATCTGGACTCAGATACCTACCGAATCCTCTTGCCTTAAGAATGGCATGTCCTTTAGTCGGGGATTTTTGCTTCTTACTGATATCGGATAGGGATAGTGAACCAGCTTAAGTCCGCTCTCCTTATTTAAAATGGCTTGTGAGAACCACTTGTTGATACGATCTCCGCAGGGCATTGCGTCCACGGGAACACCCCAAACGGAGGTGTGCACATCTTTTCCTGAACTTTCGAGGTTTTCGAAGTCCAACTCCAGGTCGGGCAACTCCTGGACGCTGAAGAGCAGCTTGCTCGGCGATATTTTCTTTGACTGGATCTGGGTCATGTGCGGATACACCCGTGCCGTGATCATTTCGTTCTTGTCGTTAACTACCATTAAGGTGCGATCTCTTATTCCCTCAAAGGACATGCTCAGCACATCACAGTCGTACCCCACTCCGGGCTGCGAGATCTGCAGCGGAGCACAAGACTTGACCGGGAAAAAGTGGATCCTCTCAACGGTACCCACGCGACGCCACTTTTGGGGCATCACATCGCGGGTCAGGTGGCGGTACAGTAGGTAACTGGCCCCGCCCAAAGCCACCAGTCCCACGCCCACGCCCACCAGCGCTTTGGGACTAAGATCAAAGGTCGTGTTACTGCCACTGGCTGCATCATAGCTTAAGTTATTATACGATACCCAACTTAATTCCTGTTTATCACTCACTTGCCATCTCCTTTACGCTGTAGCACTTGTTGCTTTCTCTGCGTTAAAAGCTTAACTGATTAGGTTTGTTGGGCGAAAGCTCTCCTTTGATGAAGATCTTCCGAGGCTGGACAATATGATCAACAATTTTATACCTTTCATTACAGTATTAAAATACCCTGATAACAATAACTGATGATAAGGATGTAATCTGATTTAAAGGACTATTTTGAGATAAAAGCACGATGAAAACATATTTTCCTTTTTAATGAACTTCTTTTTTTATATTATTTTTAAATTACCCTGCCGCCGCCATATTAATCGATAACAGTTATCGAACGATTAGCCGGCTGATTTGTTTACAAAATAAACTGCACTAAAAAAGTATTTTCTTGAAAATGACTGATTCTGAATCCAAGGATCAAAAAGGATCCAATAAAGATGACCCCGAATTGGATGTTTGTAGTGATATATTTAACCCATTGAGAGCTTTATACGAACCTAATTATAGAGTAACTAATGTGGTCCCTAAAGTTCTCTATCAAAATTTAGCCGCTTTTGAGAGCGCGCTTAAAAAGTTCGGTATCTGGCAATTGAACAAACGTCAGAAGCCGGATGCTGGAAATCAGGAAGCTGTAAAAAAAGCATCTTCCAAGCTAACAGACATCTCGGAGGTTCCTCAGCGGCGCTTTGAGCCCCACCAGATGCCCACGACCAGCACCTCGAGCAAGAAACATCATCGCAACATTTTCACATATATGGAGACGACTGTTGGTCCCCTGGAACTCCTCAAGAAGTGCGTAACCTTGTCCAGCCAGAAGGAAACCACTGATAGGATACGAGTCCGGGTAGTGATCCGAAAGCAAGGATCACTAGGTGGCAGTGTGGAGGGTGAACTAGTGGCCTTCGACAAACAGTGGAACCTCCTCCTAAGAAAAGCCACAGAAACCTGGAAGCGAAGAAAGTACAATTATGGAGAGCAAAACATATGCGACACACCTGTTGATTGCACCGACCGCCTAAGGGAGTTGGGGATCTCCCTACCCAAGACACAAGTCAAAAGTCTAGACCGGAAGAACGTAGAGTTAAAGCGGGAGCTCCCACAGATCTTAATACGCGGTGAAAATGTGGTTTTAGTTAGTTTAATTCCTAAGGCTACAAGAGTATAACTTTGTTTGAGTCTCCTCCTTTTTTAAATTTTTGAAAAATTATTAATTTTATGGAGTACTAAATAAATTCTGTTGTTTTTAGAGCCTTGAGAAGACTCCTTTTGTTAAAGTAAACTAAAACTAGTAATCTTTTTTTATCGAACAGTACTTAATGATAGGACCGCTACAGATCTTCTTCCTCGGATTCCTTTTCTTCGTTCTGGGAATGAACAAACTCATGGAGCTTCAGTATCTCTGCCGTTTGAAATCTCCGCAAGCAGATGTTGCAGGAAAAGCGTCGTGCGTTGTCATCCTCGTGAAATTTCCGGATGTGACACTTTAAAACGTAATTTTCTCGGAATTGCCGACTGCAGTGGGGGCAGGATAGCTTCGGCTGGTCGTGGGTGCGTCGGTGAACGGCCAGAGCGGAGCTGGTCTTGCAGCTCTGCCCGCACACCTCACAGGTGTAATTTCTCAGTCCCAAGTGCATAGCCTGGTGTTGCTGGAAGTCCCATTTGGATGGTGCGTTGTAATCGCATTGTCCACACTGCCATTCCAGCGGCTTGAAGTGGTACCGCGCCTGGTGCTGCTGTAACTTGGAGGCTAGAGGAAAAGCCTGTTTGCACACATGGCACGTATTCGGATTGGGTCCACCATGTACGCTGAACTTGTGCAGCCGTAACTGGTGCTCGTTAAGAAAACGTCTGTCGCACTCTTCGCAAATGGTCACCGAAATGTGGTTTGTGGGCATGAATCCCAGCAGGCTGCGATAATACTTTGGATAGCGGCAGCGGAAGGCAGAGTTGCTCAACTGCATCACGTACTGACGCTCGAACCAGACTTGCAGGAAACGGGCACTGGCATTGACCACTTGTGGTTCCAAAAGGACGCTGAACCGATGCTGGAGAGACTTCGCCACTTTGTGTGAGCTTTCCAGACGATCTTTTCTATTAATCCCAAGGCTGTTGCTCCATAGGAACTTGTGCCGTCGCAGAAGCTCTATGAAGTACTGAATAATCGTGGGGCTTGTACGCTGCAGACTGAAAAAGGGCCTGTTTGGCTTATAAACTATGTAGCCCTGGAAAATAAAAGAAAAACAGGTCAATTGATGCTTTTCTTTATAACGAAGTAAGTGTTTACATCGGGGCTATTAATTCCTGGTTCATTATTATCCTGATCACTCTCCGATGAGCAGATGAGTTCTTTGTTCTCCTGCTCCTCCTCAAGGTACTCCACATTGGTATAGAATTCCTGCTCCTCTGCTTTCTCGTCAGCCATCTGGGAATCGTGAGTGATACCAGATTCTATGAGGTTAGCCAGCTCCACCTGCACCTCGCGTTGGATTTCATCCTCATCACCATTCCACTGGCGGGCTCCTCCATGCCTTTGAAGAAGGTGTCTGAAGAAATCCTTCCACTCGCTACCGGAAAAGGTGTCCGCATTGCAAAGGCAGCACTTAATCAGGATGGAGGAGTCCCTTCTCATATAAACACGGGCACTTTCCACATAGTGCTGTTCATTTAATATTTGCGGTGGCATGGCCTTACAATCTACATGATATTTTATTTTGTAAGTTTTGTAAACAAATTCAATAGTCGATATTAGGTGATTAGCGATAACTAGAATATACCAGTGTTGGATAAAGTAAGAAATATAATTGTAGCAGCATATAATTATCGATAGGAAAATATCGTGTTATCGCATTCAAATTTCAGTTTACTCTGAGCCAAAAAGTAATATTGGTTTTGGCCTTTGTTTTGTTCATCTTTTGTTTGTTAACTCAAAGGACAGGCATTGTGGCAAACATACAAAAAGTGCACATTGTCAGCCTTACAAAAGCGGGCAAAAAAAATACGCTTTCATTCATTAAAACTGACATTGTTGGTGCTTTGTGTGTTGCTGTTGCTTTTGGTGCTTCTGCTGCTGTTGTTGCCTTTGGTGTTGCTGTTTGAGTAGTCGCGATCTTGAGCTCAGTTGAAAACACGTTACGCGCCTGTGCAGAGCGTTTTTGCGCTATCCAAACGTTTCCAATCCAATCCGATCAGATCCCAAGCCACTAGATTCGAAAGTTTTACACCGCGTGCATCAACAGCAACAACAACAAGAGCAGCAACAATAACAATTCGTATGTTTCGTTTTGTGTGTTCAAGTTTTAATTTTTTATGCAAAGCAAACGACAAACTTTTCGGCTGGTCAACAATTTCTATTTTAATTGGCAGCAGCGCCCAGCAATTTACCATAAACGAATGGAAAGCAGACAGAAGTGAACAAGTCACCGACTCTTATTTATTGTGCATAATCAAGTCAATCAATGTGTTTTCTTTCATCCATTTTTTTGCCATTTTACCATTTGCGATTGGCCCCTCTCGATCACGCAAAATGCTCAGAATTTGGGTTCTTTCTTGGCCGATCAACAGTGTCCCAATTTTCTTAACTACCCGCCATTATGAGATAATTATTAAAAAAAGATATAAATAAGCGTTTAACGAGCTGTGTGTGCCAGTTTTTCTGTGCGTGTTTCTTTTTCGCTCAGTGTACGCAAATTGGCAAGTGCCGTTAATTGGGAATTTTCTTTGTCAAGGTTGCGAATCCCAATACGATTCCAAAACGTTGCGACTCCGGCTCAAGTGCACGTCCATATCAGTGTGGTGTGGCAATTAGCGTGTTATTCAACCGCGCTCGCAAATAGATCATTAAAATAAAGCAATCGGCGGCGTAATTGTAATGATGTGCAAACATCGTCTGGCGGTGGAGACATCTATGGAGAGATGGAGTTCTGGAATTGTGGTATTTCGAATTTTGAATTCTGGTGTACCAGTAATTAGCACATCGATTGGCCAAAACCGCCACTGGCCAAAACTGGCTTCTTCCGTTAGGCGAAAAAACAGGTCGACACATAGGAAAAATGCACACATATATAGGTTTCATTAAATAAAATAACATGGGAAGTATCAATCATATTTTTGTTCAATGTGCTTTAAAATTCTTTATGTTTTTTTAAGGTTAGATTATAATTATTAAATTAAATAATCAAAAAGCTTATTAAGGAAAATATTAATTTATTTTACAATAAGAAGTTATTATGATTTATTTATCTTATTCTTCACATAACTACATAGTTATTAGAAAAAAAGATAGTTATATCTACACCAAGAAGATCAACAGTCATATTAACGTTAAAAACTCCCAAATCGATGACCTATATCTGTTGTATTTTTTCCTCTGTGCCAAGCTACCAGTTTTCCAGGCTTTATGATGACCGGGAAGCATGTATATGGGGCATTCATTCCGTTTTGGGGCCACACCAGGGCACTCCTCGCGGCCACAAGTTAAACAGCTTTTCCCACTCCACTCCACACCAGTCGAATCCACTCTGCCACATCCCGCTGCCGCCACTCCCCCGAGATTTTCACGGCCATCAGCGGGGAGGGGGTAAAATGACTTTGTGCGGAAGACCTGGCATTATAGCGCCCATAGTCTGAACCACAGAATCGTAATCGTGTAAATGGCAAATACACTTTGCTCTCGCTATCAGCGAAATAATCAAATTGCGGCGAAAAACACACAGCACCAGCTCATAAAATTTCGGTGTTGGGAATAGTTATCAAACCGATATGGCTTCGTGTGTTGATATTTGTTCAGAAACTCTAGTGTTTATGCGAACTTTAGTACAAGAAGCTCAGGAAATGTGCGAAATAGTTAAAGAATAGTTTTTGAACTGAGGAAGCAAACATAAAACATTCACTTTAAGGAAACTTTTTTAAATGCAATACCAAAAGTAGTATTTATCAGATTTATCATTATCAATTTATAGTTCGCAAACTAAAATAATTATTTTTTTATTGTCACACTTTATTAATGAGATATTATTAATGAACATAAATAAAATATCTCATTGAAAATTCCCATTATAAACAGTTTAAACACAGATATTTCCTTATTTGCTAACCATAAAGATAGCAATCTAAATTGGTCTGATTTACGTTGACAAACTACAATTATTATCTGTATAAATTTGTGGAGACAATTGCCAATAATAACCAAAAAATCTACGTAAAATTCTAGCCCAAATATTCGAGCTTATTGACTTTCCCAAAAAAAAAAAAAAAATAAAAGATTCCAAAACAAATTAACATTATCTATATTGACATAATTTATAACTGGGTTGCACGCCTTTTCAAGTTAACCGATAAACAATAAGCCCAAGTATTGATCAAATATTGATGATCTGCAATTTGAACTTTGGTTACACTTCCATTAATAGACTTAACCCCTGTGCCACTGGAAAGTATCTAGTTCTGTTGGCAAGCCCAATAAGCAATCTATAAATACGCCATAATTGCAGTAGTCATAAAGCAAGGCCGCTGGTAATCTTTTGGCCCATTGAATAACCACTCTCGTAAGGCAAATACGTGTCTCTCTAAAGTAACTTGTCCCGCAACAAGCTGACCCATTGGGCTGAGCAAATAAACAATATTGTGACTCAACAACGACAAGTTGTTCCCATTTGCCAAGCAAATAAACAGATAATCGGGATCGCACTGCACTTTCATGAGCATCAGCAGATCATGCGACTGTGGCACGTGTAAACTTTTTGTTAAATATTTACTGAAATAATTAATGCCAGTTTCGTGGATTTTCCTCAACATTTCGACCGTCGGAAGTGTCCACTTTTGGGCCACCTAAATGCTCCACAGCCAACGGATGGTGCATAATTTGCAAGCAATTAAGTAATGTACACACACAACACACAGTATTTTTCTGGTTTTTCTTGCGGGGTATGTTATGGAGCGCACCTTTCACGTAGGGCGCCTCTAGGGCATTTTTCTGTGGGCTACGGCTATTAAGCGCCAGTGGCCAACAGCTTTTCAGGTATCTGGTATTTGGAATTCGTATTTATTTTGCCAGCTATAAGGTTACATATATATTAATATATATATAGATATATGTGGCAGCTATATGCGCACGAGCAGAGCGATAACCGCCGACGAGCGACGACGATGTGACTCCAGGCGTTCGAAGTTGCTCGTTCAGTTTTCAGTTTTCAGTTACGTTTTGGCGTTTTACGGTAACGCAGCGGACAGTTAGCCTCCAATTATAGGTGCGTCCATATCTTCCGACTTTCCAGTTAGTGTTAGTGTGTGCCAAAAAAAAAAAAAAAAAAACACAAAACGTAATACCAATATTTTTGGGAAAAACCTGCAAACGTGTAAATATCGTCTGAGCTCCTTACGATCGCTCATACGCCGCGTTGGCCGCTGGAAAATAGAACTAAAAAAAGCCGCTTAACGCTTAACGTTCGTGACTTTGACATTTGTGCCCGTTAAATTGCCCATCTATAACGAATTTGTCGCGAATCTTAAACACGTTCTATAACATATATAAAGAGAGTACATATAGAGGGCCCTAACCGAGGGGACACATTCCCCAACGTAGCCTGGCTTTCTCGGCACCTCATAACCATAAATCCCATAAAACGTATAAAAATATTTACAACTAATTATGCGGCCAGGCGGCAAAACACTCTCGCTGGAGATCCATCGAGGTGCCTTGAACTCGGGCTCGGTCTTATGTTTTTATTTTTCTGTCTTCATGCCAGCCGATTTCACTTTCTTTTCGCTCAGTTTAGGGCCGTTAATCACATGATTTGGTAATACATACTCCCAGTACTGCCCAGTTTCCATATTCCCAAGTTCCAGTGCAGTGTTATCTTCTTGGATTATGCTGGCCCCCTTATCAGTCCGATTTTTTGGCAATGTCTTTGATAAGATTACCGCTTTGACTTGGCCCCTTTTCGGCTAAAATTTATGAGCCCCACAGCCTAGCTCTTGGCCAAGTCAATCCGCACCGAGTTCCCAAGAGATGTAAACAGTTTGCAATTGTTGTACTCGTTTTCAGTTCACACAGTGCTGACCGAGTTAGTCTGCAACCACAATACACACTCCATGAGGCCTTAGGTAAAACCTTAGAAAAAAAAAAAAGAAAAAGGTTCGGGAAACTAATTTGATCTGCCGGTTGATAGACGCACCCAACTCACGCAACTCAAGATGCCAGCCAGAGCTCACAAATCGAATTTCTAAAGCAAACGCTCTTTTATGACCGCGGGTTTTATCTTAGCGTCTCAATTCACACCCTGAATACGAAGATCTGAAGAATTTGGGTGAAATGGGCATAGGAAAGTGGCCATTCCCTTGTATTGTCAGGAGTTTTGCTTAGCATCTTGCACAGCGAATGCTTTCGCTCTTAGATCAACAAAAGACATTTTGTTGTATGTAAATATTATACTTTCATAAAAATAAACAACATTTTTATATAGCTTAGTTTTATAGTATTTAATCTTCATTTTTCATTCAACAGTAATTCGAATTAATGGCTTGCCACCTCAGTAAAAAACATACTTTTTTATTAATATTGCGTATTTTTTTTGCAAAATGAATCAGGAATTTTGTTCACTATTTCAATATCACAGAAACAATATAAATTATTACTTGCTGTTACTCATAATTTATCATGTTGATTAAGTAAACAAATCAAATTTCTAAATAAATTTAGTTCATAAGTCTGAAATAAGCAAGTAATTATGATTCTTAAGCATTTCCCAGATATTAATAATCGTAATAATACAAGTTTATCTCTCATTCTTTTATTGACGAATCTAACGTAGTTAGCATGATTATTTTATTATGCATGGAGTACCATACCAGTTCCCATTGGCGTTTCACTCTCGTTCGCCTTATGCAAATTGGTAACGAAAATAGCCAGCAGTGCACTTCATGCGGCTGTACACAACAGCTATTTCAAGGCCAATTTGGTCGAACGGAAAGCCGATTGCCGGATAACCAAGTGGGAAAATAATATATATACAAATAACAAACAGAGAGGCGAAAACAAAATATTGCCATTGGGAATTATGTGGCGGCGATCTCTGGCCAGAGAAGTTTCATCCCAGTTGTGTGGGCAATTAACACTCCCCCACTTCGCCAGCTCATAAAATAAAATAAAAAAAAATAATACTCATTTGCCAGCTAAGCCAGGCGGCAGAGTTGAAACACACGAAATATCCGAGACTTTGGCTACAAATTCGTTTTCGTTTCGCTTTTTATCAGTAACCAGATATATTGTTTAATTGCCTGTCAGGGGTTCCAGCAACGGGTTTAGGGAACAATTGTAATAAACTCCGCTTGACGCACTTTCGTGAGGCACTTGGCTAACCTGAACGTTGAATAATTAAGTTAGTAAGTCAATGATGGGTCTTGTGACTCAGTGTCTGTGGGTAATCTTTGAAGATTAGGCAAACTTTAAGGTTAAAATCATGGTTACATTTTATAGGTTAGTTAGTTATTTAAGGGTATTATCCTCACTCTACATTTGCCTTAACTAATACCTCGTATTCATCGCAAATCGAACCCCCAGTGAGTAATCAGAAAGTGAAAATCAAACCTGAGAGCTGACCTTTCTGGGGCAATCGAACGCGTCTGGAATTTATGATTGCCTGCAATGCAAACACAAGTCTATAAATTGCAGCTCTTAATTCAATTACCCCTCAGAGTGCGGCGGAAAATGCTAATGAAAATGGGCTGGCAATGAAAGTATTCGTATAGATACTTTGTATTCCTATCAGTTTCGATCGCAAATACACGTACATGCTGTGGTCAACTGATGGGTTTTCGGGGCAGTCGGTAGTGTCACATGGGCTTGATCGATCTGGATAGGAAAACGGATTGTCGTCCGGCGGCGGCGGGCAATTAGGTTTCCATTCTAGCGCCAGACCATTTCACTTGGACAAACTCAGAAGTATTTGAGTGTGCCATCGATCTAATTGATATTTAAGCAAGTTTAGCTCTATCAGCAATCAACCGGTATTTGTTTTGGGGCCTTACAATAGGCCAGTAGACAGTAGCTGACCCTGGAATTCTCACTGCCACTGTCATTGGCTGAAAAGTTACGCAATTACGCATACGCCATGTGAAACGATTGCAAACTGTTTGCTAACGAAAGTGAATGGGCAGAATAAAGTGTTATAATCATATAGATTGGCAAATGATTTATAAGGGATAAGAGTTTCTTTCTAAATTTTATTGATAAGCCTCTTTAGAATTATTCATCGGCTTTTAAGACATTTCCGGCGCTATGACTCATTGATGCCCTATCAAAACTTACTAATCAAACATTTTGAAACTCACTAAGAAAACCCAAGGGGCTGAAAATTCACATTTCACTAGTTTAAGTATTTAGCAGTAAATTTTTAAGGGCCCTGCGATAAGATATTGTTCCGCTACTCATCTACAGGCAGTTTCAGCTAATCAAACAAAATTGTTGCAATTAACTGATGGTTTTTTCGTCTTAGTAATTTCCCCAACCGCTCTTTCACCTGAAATGATTATGGCTTGAAATTTGCATGATTGAAAATGAATGATTTAATTTTTGCCATCCCAAATGTTTTATTAATTTGCTTTGTCTTCTTTTTTCTTTTCTTTAACCCCAAAAATATACAGCGACCGTTAGATTGAACTACGGAAACGGAAAGTAAAAGCCCCGATCGCGACCAGATTCAAAGGCAGACAGAAATGGCCGAGACAATCAACAACAAGCCGACCATACAGATCCGGAGCGGACTGCCCTCACCGTTGCCGGACAAGAGTCCCTCACCGGCCACCAAGCTGCTGATCAGCCACGGCAAGCCCAACTTCACTATTGCTCGTTCCCCCAAGATCGATGAGAACGGAAATGGCAACCCCCTGTCCGCCCAGCCCAATGCCAACAACAACTACAATGCCTACAAGAGCGCCACCAGCAGTACGGTCAACAGCCAGAAATTTATAGTTGGTACTAAGTTCAATGGAGTCTTCAAGCCATCGAATGCGGCAGCCACTTGGGCCACCAATGGCAATGGTAATGGCACCTCGGAGGCCGAGAATGAGGCTGCCAAGGTTGTCCTGCGTAGACCCAAGCTGGCTGATTCACCACCACCAGCTGAGGGGGAGGACGAAAATGTGCCCGAGTTCATCAGGCGGCAGCGACGCATCCAGGAGCGACTGGCCAAGGAGAATGTGCTGGACTTTGAGAGCCGGCGCAGTGGTTACTTCACGCACGTCATGATCTCGCCTGACTCGCCCAATCGCACATCATTTGTGGAGACCATGGCCAGTCCGGCCATTGTGCCCTCCCTCGAGATTCCCGCTCCGGTGGCCGAGAAGGTGGAGGAGGAGAAGGTGGAGCCAGAAGTGATTCAGCCTCAGGTTGCAGCTGTGGTCACATCGGCCCTGATTACTGAACCGGAGCCGGTTGCAGCTGTGGCTACCTCTGCCCTGATTACTGAACCCGAGCCTGAACCCATTGTCAGCAACGGTCACAGTGAAGAGCCAGTCACCAATGGTCAATCACAAAACTCTGAAGTAGCACCCGAGGAGGTGGCCAAAGCCATTGAGCAGGTAAACCAGGCGGTAGCTGGTGAAGATGAGGCAGAGGTGGAAGCCACACCAGAGGCTGAACCAGTTACTGCTGTGGAGCCTGCTCCAGTGGCAGCTGAAAGGAAGGCAGAGCCCGTGGTGGAGGAGTCGACACCTGCACCCGCTCCCGTAGAGGCTAAGGTGGAGGTGGTGGAGCCAGCTGCTCCCGTACAAAATGGCCAGAAGGAGGAGGCAGTTCCTGCCACCAATGGCGTGAAGGAGGAGGAGTCGGTCCCCGCCACAAATGGTCACAAGGAAGAAGAGGCCATTACCATTTCGCACACCAACGGACAGAGTAGTGAAGTGCCGAGCTTACCCACTCCAGATCCCAGTGGAGCTTTGGGGGTCAACTATGAACCCAAAACCGTTGTCAGTTTCTCGCAGGAATTGGGCGGCGGTGAGAACAAGTACCCCGATACCGTGAAAGTGGTTACCGAGGTGCCAGCTGAATCCAATGGAGAGCTTAACGAGTTGACTAAACTGAAGTTCGACATTAAGAGTGACGACCAGAATGAAGTCCAGGTGACGCCCGTTTTGAGAGTGGACTAGGTGGAAGGATAAGGATCAAGATCAGGATCAGGAGTAGTGCAATTTGTTTGTTAAACAAGAAACCATCAACTATATTGTATTGTATTTTGTGTTAGCTGCTAAGTTGATTACGAGAAATGTTGCCAAATTTAATTTTATGCTTCGCGCATCAGTCAGTATCGAAAGTGGAGTGAAGGTGGAGTCGATGTGGAGTGGAGTGCCTAATCCCCATTAAGCCACCCATTGAGGCCTGGTCCCCAAAAGAGTGTGTGTTTGTTTTTTAGGGACTTGCTAAACCAAACTACGTTTATTGCAATAGACACCATTTGCTTTATTTAAATAAATTATTATTATTGAGAATGCGTCTTTGAACTGGAATATTCCCGTGGAATACTTTGAATGGTACTTGATATATATGCCTATATTATCGAATGTTTTTATTTACTTTCCCGTAGAGTACTTTAACTTGTTCCACAAAGATAACACTATTTTTGTTTAGACAGAGGCAGGGCAATTGTCCATAGAATAGGAATGTTGTCTTAGAACTCGAAGGGTCTTATATTGCGCATTGTTGTTTTGCTATCATAGATAAATCTACGTTTTCAGGGCAACACTTGGTAAGATTCACCTTTGATTTATGGGGAATTATTGGTTAGTCTTCTTTCCTAAAGAAATATTTAAAATATGTTTACAATTAGTCAGAGTATTACTAACTAAGTCCAAGTAAATATCGCTGGCTATCAAATACCTTTGAGAATTTTAAGACCACGAGCTCAGGGAGTGAATGGTGTTGGTGGTGAATGAAAACGGAAAGTGTTTGCCGTTGTCTAGCATTGAACCCCGTGCTATGACCTTCGCTTCGATATGCTCCAGTCGCAATCAGTTGCCCTCCGTGATTAATTGTTTTGATTCCGCTGGTTTGTCCATGTGCGATATCTGGTGATTGATTGCAGTACACGAATAATAATAAAATAATAATTGAATGAGGAGTGAGAAATGGAGTGGAGTGAATCATGGAGAAGACGCGACGCGACGCGACACCTGTTCCGGCGATCGAGGGTGGGTCAGGTGGCTTGCCGGCAAGGTAACCATGTCAACTCCGAACTGCCTGTTTGTCGGGGGTTGTAGTGCTGACCAACATCTGGCCTGCTCCTGACCCTCATGGCTAGCTGGCACATGCGTTTAATCGATATAGAAGGTGGTGGCGGTTTTCAGCGTTGGCCAAAACAAACTGAAGTTAGTCCGTTTTGAAAACCAGTAGGCTATGGCAGGACATTCAGATCGAAAACTAACTAGATGACTGCATAATTTTAAGCTATTATGGATTTATGTCTTAAGGGCTCTCAGGTAGGTTTGAAATTGTTTGGCGCCTTGAGGATTATCTTTAAAATGCGTTCTCTGGCTCGCAGATAAACCTCGCCATACGACAAAAAACGAAGCCCAAGTACACCAGTCGTTCTTTGACGACTCTCCACAATCCGTGTCCCCACTTCCGGCCTCGTTCGGCCAATTTCCTTCAGCAGCGCAGTCGCTCCTCGCCATTCCTCGGACGACCTCAGTCGGCGGACCCTAAGTTCGGTCGTAGGCTGAGCACCTATTTTAGCGACAAGGAGCTGAGAAATAGTGGAAAGGTAAGTCGACCTATACCCCTAGGTAATTGGTGTCATAACATCCATTTTCAGAGACAGGTCTCCTCGAACGACCTGCTGAAATCCCTTTTAGAAGAGCCCATTAAGCGCAGTTGGCTTTGTCGCAGCACCTGCAACTCCTCGGAGTCGGACTACTCGCTCCATAAACGCACCCCCGACAGCAGTGAGGAGGGGGAGCAGTACCTAATCACTATGCCAGGTGGTGAAAAAGGTAAACCATACTCCTCCTACTCTGGATCACAGGGGCTCAGTAATGGTGCTCTTCTTCAGCGAACCGCTAAACCAGATCTTCCGGGAAGAGTGTCCTTCAGCAAGCCCAACATGCACACGGACTTGGACTCCAGTGACTGCGATAATGACAAACAGGAAGTTCGACCTAGTATCTCTGCCCCTGGACCTTTAACTCTTCCCAGTTTCCTAAGCAAAGTTGAACAAGCGGATCCTGCTGGTCAGAAGAAATCCGTGCACTTTGGATCAACTGCAGCCGAGGGTGAGGTTCTGGCGGAGACCTATGAGTATCCCAAATGTCCCTCGGAGAACTGTACTTGCAGCACGCGATCATCTTCCACCACTAGTACTAATGAGGCCTCTGCATCAGAGGTTAAGTGTGCCTGCGATGCTCCCAGTTGCCGGTTGGTTGAGTCCTCCCAAGTAATGGAACCTTCTGCTCCGATTCCCAGTCTCCCAAAGGCTCCCACTCCGGAGCTGAATGTCATAAGAGAATACAAGCAGGCTGTGGGTGGTGTTCAGGTGGTAAAGAACCACTTGAGTACGGAAACCCTCAACAACATTGAGCCACTGCCCAATTATTTAGAGAAGTACGCATCTCCCACCAAGGAGAAGCAGAACAATCTGTCCGAGACCAAGAACATGGCCAGCACTTCATCTGTCAACAATGAAGCCACACCCTACAGAACAACTTCCAACCCAAGGAACTTTGGTGCCGAGAATAATTTCTTGCCGGTGGTGCAAGATGATAGAAGGTCCTTTGGAAATGCCAGCTCCGATTCCGTGATTAACAACTATCTCAAGGTAGCCTCGACTCCACCATTTGTGGGTAAGAAAAAGGAGAACGTAAAGCCAGCCAGTGCTGATACTATTGCCAGGAGCAGCAAATCCAAAGTCATCAAGTCTGCAGCCAATCCTGCTCCTTTGGGAAAACTGAAGAAGGCCATCAGTGTGGGCAGCCTGCGGGAAGAGCGAAAGCTCTCTGAGTATAATCTGGACAAAGTGGACAGCTGGATGAGTATGCAGGATCAGAAGCAATTTGATAACAAGCACAAGTCGGGATTGGAGGATCTGGACGAGGGTCAGGACAATGATACAGCATCCCAGTTATCCTTGAAGTCAAATGAGGATTCTAGGGACTCCACATACGATGAGATAGTGTCTGTCATCAAGGAAATTGAAGAAGACAAGAAGAGGGGTGGGTTATGGGTTGGATCTTTAATGAATCACTCTTAATCTTTATTTCCTTGGCAGATAACTTTTCCGAGCGTATTCCCAGTGAACTAAACTTAAAACTGGATTCCAGATGCGAGACTGCCGAGACGGTGACCCTAAGTGAAGGAGCAGTTCCTGAAAGTGGAGATAAATACAAGTAAGGAATCCGATTTGTTAACTAACCCGTGTAGTTTTCTATAAATCATTCATGAACAGGGACATCTTGGCCTACCTGAACAATGTGGAGAGCAGTTGTGACAAGACACTGATGGAAACACGTCGCTCCATTCCAGATAGCAATCGATCCGAGGTGGAATTCGTGGTGGAACCCGATATCACCGATGAGGTGCCTAAGTGAGTGATAAATCATAAAATCTCTTAAAATTCCTATCTAATTATTGTATGGTTTAATCCAGGTTATCTGAGTTACTGATGTTGCCCAATCACCAGCTAGCTAGAAGAGTCATTGCCTTGAGCTTGCGGGCGAATGAGCTGGCCAATGCCATCCACATGTCTAAAGAGCATGTCTTCCAGCTGCGCGGCGAGAAGCAGAAGAGCTTGCGAGCGGAAAAGTCCACTGCAGCTGCTAAATTACGTGATCAAAAGAAGCACTACGAGGAGGTGGTGACCCGTCACCAAGGATTCATCGAGCAGTTGCTTAAGGACAAAGGTTCTTTATGTGAGAAGGTAGCGGCTCTCACACGCCGCCTGGAGAGCCAAAACCAAGCTTGGGAACACCGCCTGGAAACGGAGCTGGCCAGGACCAAGGAGACTACAATGGCGGGGGAAAAGATTCGACGAGAGCGTTGGGTTCGCGAGAACACCAAGAAGATTAAGGTAAAAGGGTAACATTTTATTATCCTTTAATATTTTATGAAAAATCCTTGGAAGGTCAGTAATAAAGGCTTAATGTTTTTTAAAGGAACTCACGGTTAAAGGACTGGAGGCAGAGATCAACAAGATGACCTGTAATCACCAGCGGGAGGTGACCGAGTTAAAGCGCACACACCAGATGCAGTTGCTTGATGCTCTGGAGGAGGCACGCACAAAGCATGAGCAAATCGAGACGGGTATCCGCGAGAGTTGTGCTCAGGATCGCGAGGCCATCATCGAGAAGGAGCGTACTGCCATTCGGGAGCGATTCGAGCGCCAGTTGGAAGAGGAACAAAGGACACATGCTGAGCAGCGCCAGAAACTGACCGAAGAGTTTGCTGCGGAGCGAGAGCGTCTGCAGACGGAGGTCCGACAGCGAGAGAATGATCACCAGGCCAAGAGGCAGGAGGCTCTTCGGGAACAGGAGCAGGAACTCGAGCAGGCAAAGTTTGAGATGCAGGAACGTATGGCAAAGCAGGAGGAGAAGTACCAGAACCGCATCAACACCATTGAGCAACAGTACCAGGCGGACTTTGAGCTATGGAAAACGGAGCACGAGAACAAGGCCAAGTTGGCCCAAGCTGAAAAGGAGAATGCCATTAGACAGCACTACCGGGCAGAGAGGGATCGCCAGCTGGACGAACTGGTAGTACGGATGGAGGCCGATGCACTGCAGCATACCGAAGAGCACGATCTAAAGATTAAGTGAGTATATCCTAGTTAAATATGTGGATTTCGTATTCCTAACCACTACTCTTTCAGTCGCCTTAAGGAGAAATACGAGAAGGATCTAGTTTTAGCCGAGAGTGTGGAAAAGTCGCTTCGGGAAAAGTACGCGGAGACTCGTGGAAAACTGGCGGAGTCAGACGCCCAGGTGCGGAACAGCCAAGCGGAAGTGAAGCAGCTGCAACTGGAGCTCAGTCACAGCAAGAAGATGTGTGGCGACATCATCATGGAGCGGGACAGACTGCGAGATAATCTCAACGCGGACATTCAGAACGAACTGGGAGTGCTCAATGAACGTCACAAGCAAGAGATGGAGCAGCTTCAAAAGCGGGTCCACCAGACCATTCAGCGTCAGGAGGAAACGATTGAGATTCTTAAAGGGGACAACGACGCACTCAGACAGCAGTGCTTAAAACTCAACGCAGTTATACGACAGCAACGTAAGGATTACTGCGTCAAATAGATAAAACTGATAAACTAAGTCATTCATAAGGTTATGGGACCTCAAAAAAGTAACCATCCAATTACAATAACTAAATATGTAAGGCTACTATATAATTGCAGAAGTGAAAGCAATTATGTAAGCATGAGATTCGAATAAAACAACACAATTTATAGCTTAATCATATTTTTAACGTGTTATTTTTAAAAACGATAGCTGCTGAATAAATAATCGATTATTCTCAAAGCAATAAGGCTTTTTTGTGAAAGAAAGCAGCGGCCACACTGCACGCGGGTTAATAATAAATAAATATTTTGAATGTTATTAATAAAATAAACAACGAAATGGATGATTTGCAGCATAACGAAAGTTATTCCAACATCGGCAATAGTTTTGGCTTTGTATGCAGGGTAAATATTTCATGTCAATAAATATATAATGAGTTAATCAAGGGTTCTCCATATAGGCATTACAAAGGCAATGTGAAATGCCGCAAGTCGGGGCCTTTGAAAAATACGAATTTACTGAGCTCCTTAAAATACTGAATGGCACGGAAAAAGTAAGTAAATGAACTGGAATAGGTGTATTTCTAATGACACGTTTTATTTCCGGTTTTTCAGTTCTTGTTAGCCAAACTCTTCTGTCAGTTGCCAGCGAATGTCGGAAGCTATCGGGTGCTGCTCCAGCTTCAGAAACTCCATATCATATCGGCCACGCAGTACATCCTTTGGTAAGTTTGAAATTACTATTTGTCGATCAGTTTTACCTTAATCTATTCTCAGCAAGGAGTACTCGGATCAGCTGATGGTGGATTTGATAATATTCTTTGAATCGGAATTCGAACTTCTCGAAGAAGTCTTCGTTTCGGCTGCTTATGGTTTGTTAATCTAGAAACCAAATGATTTCCTCCTAAACGGGTTATTTACTTACAGATGAGGAGTCTGGGATGAAGTTAACTTCAATGCTCTCAGCAGCATTAGGGAATCTCTTTGGCGGGCTTGTTAACGATCCTAAAATAAGCAACTTAGGTTACGTACAGTCCTTGTGTAAAGTTCTACCAGGTGAGTTTATAAGTAAAAATTGGTTTTTAAATAACAATATTACCAACTCTTTAGATGAGGCACTAAGCATTTGCATTGACATGCATTTGAGTACCTTGTTGAATCTTCACCAAACGGAGAGCATCGACGAGGCTTTTGCCAACTTTAGCTCCTGGATCAATGAGGGTGTTGATGAACTTACCTTCGTGAAGCACCTCAGCGACAAGGTTATATTTCCGGAAATCTATCTTAATGTATTAACTAAGTCCCCTTTTACAGCTGTTTGTTGATCATCAAGAGGAAGCCCTTCAATATCTATTCAAACAGTCAAACACAGAGAATTTTAAGCAATGGAAGTTCTACATTATTCTAGTACAGACCATTGCCAGTGCCGCTAGTCCTGAAACCCAAACATACATTAAAAGTATGAAATAATCTGCTCCCTAAGCTCCAAGTTCAATATTCCCTTTTCTACCTTGTAGAGTATCTGAAAAATAGACTTTTGCTAACTGCGTCTAATGGCTGCCTAACATCTTTGCTTCATTTGCTGCTGACTGCTAGGGCCGCTTCTGCTTCAACCATGGATATTCAAATAAATCTGGACAACTACGCCAAATGGTATAAACAGAACATTGGTGAAATGACTTACATACTGGGCGCAGACAAGTTTCAGATAATTCTAGCTCTCTTGGAGGAAGCTTTGCAGTACGAAAAGGAGTTGCAATATCTGGAGGTGATATTTCAATGCAAAAATGTAGACTTGTTATAAATGTTACTTATTTTCGCTTTTAGATTCATGTGTTGATTGCCATTTCACCGGGCGGTCGACTGGTCCAGGCCTACAAATCGAAGTGTCGAGCACAGGTATCCCAACTTAAATCGGCCAAGCGAAAAGCTCCCAAGGACTAGTCGTAAGGTAGGATAAAATATCCATTGAAATCTCAGGAAGATAAACTGCACAGATTATTATACGGTTATAACACTTTATTTGTTTATAGTAAACTGTAATTTAATAGGCCACAATTTTTTTCTCCTCTTCGGTTATAACACATTGCGACTTTACCGGTTTCATGCTAACCCCGTCACATTCATCAGTTCTGGTGCAGATGAATCTCTTGCGATGGCGACAGTTAGCCCCTTCAAATATGTAAAAACCTTTAACATGCTTTATATAGGCACAACGTCCATCGTTCACGAGTTTAGAATTGATAGGAGAGAATTCTATGGACTTGTTATTAGATACGTATCTGTAGTTTGATTTATCGTATGCGTTTAGGCCGAACCAATACTCGTGTTCCTTGTGGTCTGTCTTGGTTGCCATTTGAACCAGGGTAACCTCGGTGTTCAGATCAGCTAAACACATGTGGTTCTTCTGGCATACAATTAGGGCATCAAACCAAGAAGCCTATTGTATAGGGATTATTTTGCTTATTGCTTAGTTTTTAAGTTTATAATTCAAAGAACTTACCATTTTCTCGCTGAAATAGAGACATATTCCTTTGGGATTTACTTCCCTGATCTGCAAGTGTAGTAATAATATGGGAAGACAATAGAGAATCTTCAGAAATAGCTTCATGATTCTGTTTAGCTTGCTTTCTAGATGTGTACTAAGATATTTTCGAAAGTAGTTTACCCTACCGTAGATTTTATAACTCCATTAAACCATGGTTAAATCAATTTTATTTAAGCGGCTTTCACTATTTTAATTAGTATTTTAAATGTTTTATTGTTAAATATTCTAGTTTACAAATATATTTTTTAAAATAATATCATTACTTTTTGATTTCAAAACGTTCTCTAAATTTCGACTTTAGTTTAAGTGACTATCCCAAAGTCCTATCTAGGTTCCAAACCTCTTTCCTGTGGTACGGCAACCTTAAATAAACACGTTCCACATCGAAAAGCAGAACAACAACGTTTCCAAACTCAAAACACAAAATAGAAAAAGATACAACAAAAGTAGCGCCGCTTCGGGTTCTGTGTGTTGAGGTCTCAGCGGCTACTTTCGCTTTAAGTTCATACGTTTCTGTGCTCTCGACGCAGTCGGACGTTTAAAAATAAACGCGCTCCAACCAAAAATATCAAAACTCGCTGGCCACAAATAAAACTGAACAAAATTCGAATTCCCCATCCGATCAAATAAAGAATTTGAAACTCAAATCTTCTACTCTATTAACAACCGGAAAAAAAAACCGAAAGTTTCAAAATGTTCAGCTCGATTTCAGGTAAAGAAAACCAACTGAAGTTAATTGTGAAAGTTTTGAAATTAGAAATCATAGGTCTAACCATACATATATATCCGATATATGCAGCTAAATATCATTTAGATATATGTATAATGTACCTGCGTGCAGTGTTAGTGAGTTAATCGTGGTTAGCATATGACCGCATTGCAAGGAAGGATGGCAGTAAACACTAGTTACATCATCATCGGAAGAGCCGGGAGTCGGGGAGTTGGAGCAGCTGGCCATCAGGGATTTGGGTGGGGTTGGGCCAACCGGGCGTGTTCGATCCGATACGGGTAAAAAACTAATTGTCTGCTACCGTGGCTTGGCTCTGATGATGATGATGATGATGACGACGATGTGGATGATACGTAAGCCAATTATGGCGCAGTTATATGTAGCTTCAAATGGACTACAAGTTGCTGTTCTCGCTGGCACATCCCACACCCAAAACGACGATGATACGTATATATAATTATAGCTGCCTAGATACACACTACACATATCTAGGAAGATATATGTATATATGCTTTCCGTCTTCGTTGGGCTGTGCTTTATAGTGTTTCCTTGAGACGAAATGGAACACTTATGCTCTTTGAAGTGGGTGCAAAAAATCAAAAAGTTCAATCTTCCATCGTCTGCTTCCGATTTCTGAAATTCTTCAGCAATAGATTCCACTTGAAACAAACGTTTGGTGGTCAAGAATTGGCACTTGAGATAGGCATCTATTTTTCTATTATACAGATTATATGTAAATCCTATATATACTCATTATTATTATCTGTTCCCACTCAATGCCAAAACAGATGCATCGAAATGTAAGTAACCCCGAATGGTGAACTTTCCACAAAATTAGCTTAGTTTAGCTTAGTTGATAATCTTATTCAGTTATAGACATTCCTCACCGACTGCGTAGTTCAATCTTTAGTAGCTGCATCATTTTCTTTTTCAACACACTGATCTTTTCTACAGCATGCCTTGGGATTATCTCGGATGTACGATAGACAGAAAATTTCTTTTATACATTACGCGGAAGTCAATGTGTATAGATTTATATGATCGATTCGATGAAATTCAAATCTTTTGATTTTCCTCAAAAGTTTAAAATTGAAAATTATGTAGAAAACTGTTCATTTCCATTTGCATTTTGTCTGGATGTTTTCTATAAGTTAACTCAGAGTAAAAGCCATTTGATCATCATATTAAAATTCAAATTTATTTTGTGAAAACTGAAACATACTTCGATTTCCTAGATGTCTATTGGTTCGCCTGGTTAGTGGATTAGTGCGCTTAGGCCGCCGGAGCTTCAGTTGGGGCCGCTTCCGCTGCAGGCGTTCCTGCCTCAGCTGCTGCAGCTCCTTCTGCGGGAGCCCCTTCCGCTGGAGTGGCTCCCTCCGCCGGAGTTGCAGCGGCTGCATCTGGTGCCGCTGTAGATGAACCCTCGGCTGCTTCGCCTGCCGAGACCGTCGCTCCCTCCGCTGGCGTCGTTTGGCCTTCATCGGCTTTGGTTGTATCTCCGTCATGCATCCCATGTTCGTACACTGGCTCTGCCGGCGACTCACCTTCACCTCCAGCCGCCGTGCCCTCCGCCTCCGCCTCGTCCGAGGTCCCGATTTCCGTTGAATTCGAATTGTCAGCTGGCCGTGAATCGCTCTCCACGTCCTGCTCTTTGATCCCCGCCTCCTGCTTCTCCTTTTTGGCCGCATCGTGATGGAAGTGATGCAAGTGCTCATGGCTGTGGCGTACGCCGTCACCACCCTCATCCTCTACTGGAACCGCGCACTTGGGCTGGTTCTGCTCGCAGACGAAGTACTTCTTTTCCTGGCAGTTCACGTCCAGGACAATAGTGCGATTAGGTCGAATCCTAATTTCCAGGCAGTCATCCATATTGGAGCGATGTGTAGGCTCCACCAAGCCAGTTTCGCCAAAGTAGCGCACCAGTTTTCCATTGCTTATGTACTGAAAGCGACCCTCCGTCTGCAGATCGTTGCCACCGAACCAGTAGTCGTCCATGCCCACCTGCACCGTCACGTAGTGGACCACTGCCTTGAAGTCCTCCGGAGTGGACACATCGGCCAGGTTGAGGCCCTTGCGCAGGCAGTTATTCTGGGCCCCAAACCAGTTTATCTGCCAAAATATTGTAAACCATAAGGTTCATCCTTGACACCAATTCAAGAAATAGTTTCCTCTCTCACCTTTTTGTTGGATACGTAGAAGCACTTTCCGTTTAGCTCCTTGAGAAATGGTTTACCACAAGGACCCTTATCCTTGGTTTTCTTGGTCGCCTTTTTTCCCCAGCCGGAATGGACCGCTATCATGGTCAGTATCACAATTGGTAGGATCCTCATGGCTGGCAGCAAAACTGAGCCACCTGTCCAGCCAAACTGTAAGCCTGCGTGCCGCCTCCTGTTCTATATATACCCTTTTGTGGGCGTGACATCTGCATTATAGAAGAGTGACCAATTTGCGCTATGAAAACCTATTGGTTTCGTATTGCATTTTCACTGACTGATAAAGTCTGTCTAATTGATTAATTTTAATTGGTGACGTTGTTGATGAAGGGTTGGTTATTCTGTTGGTGATTGTTAACTCATCATCAGTATCAAACTTATGCTGGCACTGAACGGAGTTACACTTTTCATGAAGAAATTGATTTCTGAATTAACTGACATTTCACTAAGGTTGAATTATTGAATAATTGTTTTTGAACCCCTATTAATCTGTGATTGACTGACAATATGAATAATGATTGTTTTGGTGGGGAGTACCGCCTTTCTTAGCTTTTTTATTGGAAGAAATATTTATTAAATTATAATTATAAAAGTGTTTTAACATTATATCTGTATAGAGTCAGCTTTAATTTGTCGTTTGAATTATTTATGAACTCTCTCAGCAAAGTGTAAGATGTGTCCTACTAAAGTCATTCTAGAAAAAACCTATCTTGAAGAAGCTATCAACATATTCCAAATTGTTTCCATAAATACAGATGCGGGAACATCTTGAGCATCTTTAAGTAACACCATATAAGTAACTTCAACTGTGGACATTTATAGATTGATAACTTTCATTTCATTGATGTGTTCTTAGTTTTCCATACATATCCTAGAACATTCTCAACAAAGAAGATATTTTTATCAGCTTTTGTTTATTTGTAATCAAAAAGAATTGCGGAATTGGGTGAGGCAATAGTTTGCAGCTCAAGCTGCTGGAGCTTCTGCGGCTGCTTCTGCTGCTGCGGTTGTTGGTTCTTCAGCGGCAGCAGCTCCTCCTTCTGCTGCCACAGTAGTGGTTTCTCCTTCAGCTGCTGGTGCTGCTCCGGCAGGGGCAGCGGTGGTGGAACCTTCTACTGCAGCAGCGGCTCCGGTGGTAGCTTCTGATCCTCCAATGGCTCCCGGTTCCCCTGTTTGTCCAGTTTCTCCTCCCGGGGCCTCCGACACAGTTGAATTTGTATTATCCGCGTCGGGGACATCCTCTGCTCCGGCCGCATCTTCCGATTCTGGTTCTGGGTTCTCCGCCGATCCACTAGCGATGGGTTCCTGGCGATGATTGCTTTCATCCTCGTTCTCGCCGTCGGCACTATCACCAATGTCGTGATGGAAGTGATGCAAATGCTCGTGGCTGTGGTGCTTCGGCTTCTTGCCCCCGTCCGTCTCCTGGCAGTAGCGTTCCGAGCAGATAAAGTACTGGCGCTCGGCACAGTTGTCTGCCGCCACCATGTTGATTTGGGAGCGGATCCGCACCTCCAGGCAGTCGTCGCATTCGGAGTGCTCCATGGGCAGCACGTTGCTAAAGTTGCTATAGTAGCGTACTAGACGCCCATTGCTAATGTACTGGAAGCGACCTTCGTGGTACAAATCGTTTCCCCCAAACCAAAAGTCCTCCGTATTACCCAGGCCACTAAGGAACCCAATGGCTCCATCAAAGTCCCTTTGGTTACTCAAATCCGCCAGGGTGAGTCCTTTCCGTAGGCAGTTATTCAGAGCACCAAACCAGTTCATCTGCAAAGGAAAAAAGTTTGATCCTTTAGCCCTATCCTGACTAACGATCTCAAGGCCCTTCTCACCTTTTTCACCGAAAAGTAATAGCACTTGCCGTTGATCCTGCGCAGATAGCGACGCGCGCATGGAGTTCCTGATCCCAGGACCTCGCCCCGCTGCAGGATGCTCAGCAGCGCCACGAGTGCAGTCAGTAGATGCTTCATTTCGATCACCGCCGGTGCACAGTGACCGGATCCAAATCGCCTCCTGTACTTATATCCTCCGCTGGCAAGCAGTGAGCCCAATCGATTTAGAATCCATTGGAGGTAAAGAGGCATCCCTAACGTCTGGCTAATTCAATTACAACTTCATGCCTCTGGAATGCCTACACCAATGTCGTGGGCTAATTTGTTCACCCGCCAGTGGGTCAGGTTTAGGGTCATTCAATTTAATTGTCTATTAGCTACACTTGAAGAAAACAAGCCGGAAAAAGTCACTAGGGGGAGGTTGATATTACAACTTAACCCTCTAAATGACTTGGTTTTTTATAAGTTCTTGTCATTCTTCTACTATATATCATCCTCCTCTTAAATGTAATTATTAGAATACTCATGGTTATTGATTTTAAATTGCTTTACGTAGATCCTATCTCACCCAAAAAGCTGGCAATTAGCTCTGCGATTTGATCTTATCGAGTGACTTCATAGTCATTAGCATAACCCGCCCAAAGGTCTTGATGTCTGACCTGCCCTCGCTTCCTCCGATTATTGATTTACCTGGCGGGGCCATGACATCAGCTATTGGATTGTCCTCGGCCAGGACACGAATCCTTTTGGCTGCTTGCCCTGTTGCCAGCTGACTCAGACGACCTTCGCACGGATGACGATTGTGCCGGGGGGCAAAAACAATTGATGGGGCGTTTGAGTTCCATGCCACCACTTTCTGCCACGCGCTGTATACTGTACATATATATTTGTTCTCTTATATATATATATATATATATTGTATCTCGATTGTGCATTTGTATCTCACATGACATCATCAACAGCAACAGTAACAGTAGCTCCATCGATTCATCATGGATTGTAGCTCTTTTTAGGCATCCAGAACTGGTGTGGAACGTGAGTCGGCAGACCTTAAATCGCAGTTACTCATAGATATTCATTCCAGCGATTCTCTGGCGGCATATGTAAGAGTGTATTGGTGTTAGTGTGTGTTCCGAACTGGGTTCTCATGTACCCAAGCTACAGGTTTTCCTCTATTCCGAAGCTTCTGCGCATTATCTGTGGTACAACTACGACATCGACAAAAACTGAAATAAAACCAAAACGACTAAACAAATCAGAAGCTGTGTGAGAGTCTGGGCTTTGGGCTTATTGTGTTACCTTCCATGCCATGCTTCTAGCCGGTTTTTTAGTATTGACCACAAGCTGCCACAGTCTCGGATAAAAACTGTTAAGAACAAAATGCGTCGTATTACGCAAATGCCTTAAAAGAGGTTGATTGCCTTAGGCATTCCACGAGTGTAAGCCATAAAAATGTTTCTTTTATAAATATGACTAGAGGATAAGGTCGGGAATACTAAACACAGAATTTTTTTATATATCTCAATTCAGCGAACAAGGTGTTTGCCTTATGGATATTACCACCTTTTTAGTAACATTTCATATGAATTTTATTTTGTGTTTTAAACTGGCCTACTATGCGTGTTTTAACAACCTTTTAATGCGATTTTAATTTGGAGAAGAGCACAAAGCAAATATATTTAGTAATGCATGATCCCTCTATCCCTCAATACAAACATTAAGTTAAAATTGTACAATGTAGAATGCACGATTCTTTCCACTTAAATCCAAAGATTATTGAGCAAGTTCAATGCCACAAACATTCTGTAGTTATTAGCATCTGAAAAATATAAATTCCATTGGTAGAAGTTATTTTAACACCTCGACCGTGCCCACACATTCCTTAATCCTAAAATACAGTAATGGCAAACTAGAAACTATTATTTTCGCACAATTTTCAGCCTCTTTGGAGGCGTTTGGGTCATTCAATGTGGAATGAAATTGGCCGCATCTAAATTATTTAGAAACGAGCCGAATTGTGTGGAGAAGCCATTAAAGTATCTCTGCCGAAAGAGAGGAAAAGAGAGCGGATTTAGAATAAACACATTCCCGATCATAATCAGAAAGCGTGAATAAGAGGCTAAGGCGATTTCATTTAGCGGTTCCCCATTATGACATCACATATACCGAATAATTTGAATATTTGCGCTTTGTTTTGCCTTACAACCATACATAATATATATATACAACCCATATATCTGAACTAAGTGTAGACAAAAGAAATTCCGCCCGTTTCCGTTTCGCCCAACCGATTCCCACCCGATTCCGAGTTTAATGGCACAATGTTTCTATTTGAGTGAGCGCACACGTCACTCCAAGTGAATGCATTACTCGACTGGGACAGCAGAAACCTGCTGCTCGTTAATTTCTATTAAATTGCGAATATTATTCTGAGCGTCTAATGTGCCTAAAAATTTTAGAGCTGACGACATGGGGCGTACGATCACGATTTTAGCAGCCCCTAGTTGCGCAGTTTATAAAAAGCAAAAATAGAAACTGTCCCTTGTCTAATCGATTCGATTTTAGTCATGTAAATAGTTCATGCTCCAGCTGCTTTGTTTATGTTTCGGTAATTACCTGTCTGGAATTTGGAATCTCAAATCTCTCATCTGATCAGTAGCTAATCCCTCTGATTAAGATCAGGCTATAAATTATAATTGGCGCCAGCTCAGAGCTTAGTTAGCATTCAGAGGGCCAGTCAGCATGTTTCCCAGTCGCCAAAACCAAAGTAATCCTTCTCAAGTTAACCCAGATTTACAATGTAATCTTTTCGATTTCTTGACAGCTTCGTTGAAGAACTTCGGCGACAAGACCGCCAACTTGTTCAGCAAGAAGAAGGATGAGGCCGAGAAGCTGGCCAGCGACAAGGCCGCCGAGGCCCAGAAATTAGCCGAGGAGCAGGCCAAGAAGGTCGGCCAGTCGGTGCAGCAGACCAAGGGAGAGGCCGAGCAGTTGGCCGCCAGCACGGGTGAGTACAAAAAATGAGAAACAGAAGTTGATTAAAGGGATAAGTATTGGACAAGGGAATAACCAAGGACTTGTAGTATTGAAAATAAAAACTCAGAAACAAATGTAAAAATTTCTTCAAAAAGAAAGCTTTTTGCAATTTATCAAAAACGAAAAAACTTTTAAGAACATAAAACAAAAAAGAACATAATAAATGGATTCCTTAGATGATGCAGTGACGCAATTCCTATTTCCAAAGAAACGTTCTGTATTTTTAAAAACGTTTTCTAATAAATATTGAACATATTGAACAAGCGAATTTGAAATAAAGATTCACTATTTTAGCGTTGGTTATTTATGATATTAACCCTCTCCTACGAGCTCTTGCCAATAATATAGTCAACTAATAATTCTACTATTTTCACAGCCAAGGAAGCCGCTGCTCTGGCCACGGCAGAGGCCCAGAAAGCGGGTCAGGCCATCGACCAGGGTGTGAACCGTGCCGCCGGAGCCGTTAACCAGGGCAAACAGGCAGTGGACAACACAGTGGCGCAAGCGCAGGCCGTGGCCCAGAACTCCAAGCAGGTGGCAGCTAATGTGGCCCAAGCCTCCCAGCAGGCAGCCGCCAATGCAGTGGATCAGACCAAGAAGGCGGCCAACGATGCCATCAACAAGAGCGTAAAGGCTGCCGAAACCGTGGCGGACCAGAAGCTCAAACAGGCCGAGGGTGCCATCGATGGAGCCCTGAAGCAGACCAGCCAGGCGGTTGACCAGAAACTGCAGGAGGCCAACCAGTACGTCGACCAGAAGCGTCAGTCTGTCGAGAAGACGGTCCAGGATGCGGCCGGTCAGGCTCAGGAGTCAGCTGGACAGCAGGCCAATGCCCTGCTGGGCAAGCTGCATCTTGGCCAGAAGTAGAGGAGTCACCTTAAATATCTCGATGTGAAAATGCTTTAGAAACAAAGAAAACAAGAAAATAGAGAAGGGAATTTGCTTCAATGTAACGAGTGCCAGTAATGTGATTGCTAAATCCTCAATTGAATATATATACATACGAATATTTTTGGAATATTAGGAGGATTATTTTGTAAATGCAGCCGCAGCTTTTTCGATGTGAAAATTTCAGCACATCTCAGTCCGTACAAAGTGTAATTAACCCTTTAGTTGTTCTTCGGTCGACTTTTGTTACTTTGAGGCATTTGATATTTTATATACAGCGACGTTGAGTATGCTTTTAATATACGTATATTCTGTTTATGTAGAAATGTATGATTAAGTACTTTTAACTCTTGCACAATACACAGCAAATGTGTTTTTTAATATATTGGACTCGAATGAGATGTGTTGGATTTTAATTGGGAGGCAATGTTTGGGGGATTTTTGTGCTTACTTAGGAATCAATTTTGTTTATTTTTTATTGGTTTTACTGGTTTTATGATATTTGCTAATATCTAAGCATGTTTAAATTTATCTATTGCTTTTGATTTGAATTTCAGCGCCATATATAAAGAAATACGTTTATCTGGTCACACTACTACTAAAATACCTTACATGCACTCTACACTTTTTACTAGCGCCATCTATGTGTGAGAGATGGTTGGAAACAAGGCTAAGACAATAAAAAATGAATGGAAAAATTTAAATAACTAAATTAATTAAAATAAAAAAATCGGCATAGTATCTTTTTATTGGAAAGGTTAGTTCACTTATCTACGTTTACTACTAAAAAAATTACTGACTAAATTGTTAATTCAAAAATAATACAAAAAATTAAATTTTTTTAAACATTTTTCTGACCGCTTTTTAAAATTCTCTAAAATTAGAAAAAAATCTCTATTTTGCTTTGAGCCAAATAATGCAAGTATTTTTTTGTTTCTTCTCTTGTCTCTTTTTCCTATATCCTTTATTTTGTCTCATCAAAAGGTCCTTTTCGCATATGCAACGTGGCCAGGTGGAACTTTTGCACAAAGGCTGACCAGTTACATGGAGACGGATGGCTGGGATCCATACAAATTGACCGAAACATGTTGAAATTTGCTAATAGAAGAGCTCGCATATTTGTCCTCCGATATGTCGGTGAAGTTTTCGCCGAGCAGAAGTCAAGCAAAAAGTTGTGTTAGCTTTTAATTATGAGAAAAGTTTGTTGTGGCTAACAAGTGGCACCAATGCATTGCAACGTCAATTGGACGCACAACTTCAAAGGACCAAAGAAGCAAAGGACGAAAGGAATGTGTGCAAAGTATTGGCAGCAAAGTGCTGACATAAATTCAGGTAGAAACGATTTTTAATTTCAGATAAACCCAGCCAGCAAAAGCAAAATGATAAATGCATTTCCATTGCCAAGTGCGAGTGGGTGCAAGGCGCCAAATTCAAATTTATGCCAGCCACGGGAAAAATGGCGCCAATTAGGTTAGCCCAAGCGAGTTGATTTAAATTTAAGCGGCGATACCAACAGCACGATTAATTACAATCACTGTTTATCAACACGTATTAATCATGGTTTAACATGCTCCCTGCTCGTGTTGACCCAAGCAAAATGGCGTGCAGCGTTGTTCCGGTCATGTTGATGGCCATCGTCCTGTAAAAATGCCTCTTTTTTCTGCTCTTCTTAACTTTTCCAAAGGGGCGTGCTATAACTTTCTAAATTAAAGTGTGTCATAAAATTAAGATATTTGACTAAAATAGTTTTAGTATTAAATTTTCATATACTCGTATGTGTAAGTATTAACCTTTCTTCCATATTTCAGCTTTAAGTTTTTGAAATACGAATTCTTCTCCCCGCAGCTTAATGTCTTTTTAATTGGCCTTTAAGTTCTTCATGACCAATCTTACTGATATATATCTCCTTTTAAAATCCGTAACCGATCCCACCCATAAACATATTTCACATGCAGCCAACATTCCATCCGAAAAACACTGCCCGACGGCGTTAATTTTATCTGAAAAGTTAAATGTGAGCGCGTGTGTGGGCAATTAGGCGAAGGGATATTATCGGCACAGCAACTAAAATTACGCGACAGAGGAGATGTTTCCAGCGACAGCCACTGATTGTTGCTGCCGGGGAAGTCCCTTTTCCTTCCTCGCACATGCATACACACTCTCACACACTCTGACAGACGTGAGCACACCAACACTCTAACATTTTATCGCTACGGAGCCATTAGATCCATGGGGAACTCAATGGACGTTGACGCGCGTCTTGCCAGCTGCATGCTAAATAAACCTTTTCGCCGAACAACAACTAAAACCAGTTCAAAAGTTATTGTCAATGGCTCCGACTAAGGAATACTCAGCGGTTTACACGGAAACTATATTCACGGAGTTTTGGAAAATATTTTGCATACTTTAGGGCGTTTGCCTTTAAGTTCTTTGTTATGTCTGTTGTAATGGTCAAATTGAAAAGTCTATTTTCTAATAGTAAATTTTATTTATATTTTATATATTTATCTAAAAATTACCCAGTATACCCGTTACAAAGCAACAAAAGCGCAACAACGGCGAGCGACAGTTACAGCACCGAATGCGTTGTAATTGTCAGCTGAACGGACATGCAAAGAGGGCTAAAAGGGGCGGAGGAACCATCCAGTCCCGGAACAATTGCCTCGGTGCTCAATTGGAGGCACTGGCGCGTGTCGCAGAAGACGCAAATAAAGTCGTACGTCAGTCCGAAGGAGGGAACACAACCAACACAAAAACCCAGAATCCAGAATCCAGAAAAAATGTTGCAACAGACGTGCCATGAAAGCCAAGGTGCAACGACAAGTGGCCCCTGAAAACCTCATCCGAATAATTGGCTTACGGAATCGGAAGGCATATGTGAAGTGTTTTAGCAAATTTGGGCATTCGATTTGTTTGAGAGGATTATTAATTGCAGCCCAGGCTGAGGGATGCCCCCAAAATCTCTTCAATTGTGTAATGGTCAGGTGAAGATGGGGCCTGGCAACTGCATGATGCGATATATTACTGCCCAATCTCAAATGTATGGGCATTGAGACAACTTTGATTAGCCTGACGGTGATTTATGCCGAAGCTCATTAATTATGCTTGTTAGCCCGATGTTGATGTAGTCAATGGTTTTTGGATTTGGCCAACGGCTTTCGGGGGCAAAAATACAAAAAGAGAGATACCAGCAGGGTCACCTGTCGGCCTAACGAGGTTCATAATTAGCAGGCGCCTGAAATGTGATCTGGTCATTGGTTCAGCTAACCTGCGGACCGTGACAATTGGACTAACCGAGGATTTATGGTGGAAAATGCCGGCCAAGGAGTCCCCGAAGCCATGTAAATTCTCAGTTAAGTTAGCTTGTTCACAATGTTACAAAATAAATCGAGCGTTGCAATTGCTGGCAATCGTCTCCTAACTCGTCTCGGCCAAATTCAATTATTTCCTTCGCCCATTTTCACTGGCGGACTAGTAATGATATACATATAAAGTGGTTCGAGGAGGAGGTCGATGTAAAGGACCGACTTGAAATTGCATTTAGGCAGACTGAGTCGCCAACTGTGCACGCATTTTATGCATTCCATTGGACCAGCAGTGAATGGCAAAAGCTAAAACCTTGGGACTCCAGCAGTCAAGGTGTGCACTGCTTTTGCATCTACAAATATAGGTATTAGATTAATGTTAGGATTGTGCCAGAGATTGCCAGCGAAATGAAATGGAATAATGATGAGATTGGAGTGTGGTTTTGCAACGCCATCGGAACTTGTGAAGGGTTCTTCAATAGCAAATAATTGAAAAACCAAATTGGTTGGAAAAAACTGAGTCTCAGTGGTGTATGTTTGGCTGTGTTAGACAGGTGATGGCCTATGCTATTGATTCCAAATACTTTTCATATTTTAACAAGGCTTTTCCCTGGCTTTTTTCAAATTTTTATAAGCGATTTGCTTTTTTAAATTGATTAAAGTGGTACACAGATTTTATCTGTTTGGAAATTTATTGACCTTTGCTTATAAATCTAAGAAAATAATTTATATAAAAAATTCCCTTAATGAGCGTAGGACAAAAGCTTGAAACTTAAATTCCTGACCCTTTAAGTTGATAAAATGTGTCCATAGCTTAGCTGAACACACGTACTTTTGGACAATCCCACTCTGTACTTTTGCAATCCTCCTCCTATATGCAACGTGTTTAGTTTCTCGGCCCCAGGTGAAATGATTGCCGTGGACACCTTATGCCAGACGAGGAGCGGCTTAAGACGCCTGCGATTTGCCAGGAATAGCAGACCAGACGGAAGGATTCGTCCTCCCACCCACCTGGATCACTTGAAAGGGATGTAATGCATAATTGAAATCTCCGATTGCAAGGACTGTTCCACGCAAAGCTGCCTGCTGCTTTTTCGGGCCATTGAAAAACGGCTACAATGTTTTCTAAATGACATCCACTGGAGGCCAGTGCGCATGCGCCGATTCGAGTGGAACCCATTGGGTAACTATTATATTCCTCCAAAAGCAAGGTGCTGGCCCAAGTTAAGCCTCAGTGCGACGTCGGCTGGCTAACCAGACGCTTGGCTCCGATATTGGCAACAGATATATGGGTATGGCAATATATAAGCCGATATCCCGAATTCAATACTGAACTGGCGTAACGGTCTTTTGAATAATTGAAGCAGTGCGTGCCGAACTCGACGAACTCGATGCAAATTGATTGCTCATACGCCGCGTGGACCCGGCACAAAGGAAAGGAAAAATAGAAATTGTTGCATGCTTTCGGGCGGCGCAATTGTTGATTGATATTTGTTGGTGCAGTGAGTGTGTGTCAGTGCGATTTGTGTGCGATTCAAATTCAAATTCAAATGCTTTTTGATTAAAGCTCGCGCGTGAATAGTTTTCCATGCAATCGGAAAAATCTCTTTTGCCGCCTAAAAGTTCTCTAATTGCTCAATGGCGTTAGCATTGTTCGGCCTTTTAAATTTAGAAGGGTAAGTTTGTGGGGTGATGTATATCAGAGACTACCATTGCATCTACAAAGATTCAACATATTTATGGTGTTAACAGAAACAGGCGTTGATCCCTAAGAGCCCACAAGAATAACAGAAAGTCAAGGACGATTTCGAACCGTTCTCACACGGTTTAATGCTCCTTGCTGTTGACTTTTTAAGGACCATCTTTATTGCCAGGCAACTGGCAGGCCGCTATTTCTCTTTTCAGCTTTTCGTTCGAAATCACTTAGCAATTTGTGGCCCCATTCGGGAATCCTTTTCAGCCATGCTTTTCCTTTCTGCGGCTGTCATTGTGCAGTCTGTTTAATTTCACAATTCATTTCATGTCAATCGAATTGTCTCAGGCCATGGAGCAGATTCTCTCCAACCTCCTCTCATCCAACGCCAGTAGATTTCTCCGACAAGTGTCGCTATCTTGGTACCGCAAAAGAAGGAAGAAAAAAAAAAACGATTGGAGAAGATAAGAATGCGGCAAGTTGGCTGTCACGATGCTTGAGTTTGATGTATTAACGGTTCCGGACTTCAGGCTTGGCTTGCAGCTGGAAATGGACCATAAAAATGCGAACGGCTCGCATTAAATTCGCCCATTCTGCGTCTGGTTTAGCTGGCGATAAACCTAATAGTAAACATTCCCCTTTGTTGACTCTATCTATTGGATTATGTTGTCTCCTACACAAAGCTTAAGAGCCGGGGGTTTGGGCAATGACATACTTAAAGCTCTATCCTCCAGCCTCAGGACCCACACCTCTGTCGGTAGTTCCTAAAATAAAACATTTTAACCAAGACTCCTTTTAAGTTTATTTGGAAAAGTTTATGAAGAGTTTTGTTTCATAGTTTTAAGCCACTTGGATGTACAAAGGTATTGGCTGTCACACCTTTGCTTATGTCTTGGTAAAATAAAACAGCTTTTTACCTTCAAATATTTGACATTCAACGTGATTTGTGGCTTACGAATTCATCAAATTTTAATAGTTTCTTCTTTGCATATTAAATGAAATCGCTTTTGTGTTAAGTTTCAGCTTTTAAATTGATTAAATTGGGGATTTATTGAGAGTTTCTTAGCAAATTGGCTTTGCAGCTAAGGACTTTAAGTCAATAATCTTTAAAAAGGTTTATTTCGCAATTCGGAAAATTAGATTGGAAGGAGTTTTAGTTTTGTGCTTTTCCTTTTTGACTTTAGCTGTTTTAGATGTTAAGTTGATTTATTTATTCAGAGAATTTCTTTATTAATATAATTTTCGTATTGCACTTGCTAAATATCTTAAAAATAAATTATGCAGAAACCATTAAATATATCCCAAAAATATAAATATGTTTATTTATTATTTAAATAGCACTCTAGCAGTGTCACTTAAGACGCCGAAACAATTTGGTCGACATGGTTTACAGGGAGACAGGAAACAAGATGTGGCAAATCGTGGCAAATGGAGCGGACACCAGGGCGTATGCTTAATCGTTTTTCACACGGCCCAAACGACGGCAGCTGCTGCTGTCTGATGGCCTGGCCAAATGGAATATTCATATCTTGTGATAAACATACATCTAAACATAATCCATTGTGAAGTACTGAAAGTACTTCAAACAAGTTGCTTACCTAACAAAAAGCGCCAAGGATGGAGGATAACTGCTCGCGTCCTGATTTCTCCCTTCCGAAGTTCGCGGCGCAACGCCTACTTCTTTTGCTTTTTGGTTGCTTTTTTTTTTTTGTGGCGGCTTTTGGCCGGCTTTACTTTTGCTGACTGCTATTTTATGGTGGCCATTAAAGGAAATTGAATATAATTTTGTTTGCTAAGCTCTTCCATAAACTCCCAAAGGCCAAGTGGCTTGAGCTCTTGGTGTTGGCGTATGATTTCCCCACTCTCGCCCACCGACACCCACAGTTTTTCATATTTTATCAGAGAGGTTCAGGGGGGGCAGAAAAAGGTCGGTGGCCTAATGGTACATTGGTCATGGATTTTGGGTGCAACTGGGATTTTTGGCCGCTGGCCAGTGGTTAAATGTGATTGAGAAATTGCACAAGAAGTGGCAGATTTCTCAGCTTAAATTCGAGCCTACCCTTTGACCTCCGAGATGACGAATGAGGCACCCATTTGGTTGGGTGTGTGTGTGTGTGGTGTGCCTTGTGCTTTTCCTGGTCAAATATCTTGGCATTCTGACAGCCAGTCTATACAGATTTGTTTGCTGGCCCGGATCCAGTCAATATTTGTGGCCATTTGGACGGACTGAGGCCACCAGAGCCACAGCTCTTAACTTTTAGCATCTTGGACGGAAGCCTTCTTACCGATATCATTATTTATTCCAGTTCGTAGAGGCAAACCTGCATATTGGCACTCTGCTTTGCTGTTGTACGGGAGGGGAAATCACAAATAATAAATTGTTTCTGCGGTTGTTTCGCCCATTTGAACCCCCTTTTGTTTGGCCTTCACTTTGCCTGTTTGCTTTGTCTTAGTCCCTCAGCTTGGTGTTTGTTCTTGCTGTTTGCTTATCTTTTGGGGCTTTTCCCATGGATTTGCAATCGGACGGAAAAACATTGTTTTCATTTAATTTAAATGTTTTCCTATCATCGCTGCAAAACCCTTGGAAAATCATTTGTAACGTTATTTTGTCGGGCATTTGCCGTTGACTTTTTTCGTTTTATATTGATGATTTGAAATGATAAATGATAATGGCTGAGGGGGAAATGCAAAATAGTCCTTAACGAGAAACAGAATGAATTTAAGTTCTTTAAAAACTACACATATTAGTGAACATTTTTTGATCGATCTACTTTTGTTTTTAAAGTCAAAAGTAAAAGAGAGAAAGTTTAAGTTGAGGAATTCTTTAAACATATCAAACTTTAAGAACTAGATTTTATTCATTGTGGATTTGCACCAAAACCCCTTAAGTGGTTTGCCACTCACTTTTCGGTGCTGTCAAGAAGTCTTTTGTGGCTTGGCTTAAGTAAATGATTTTCCTGATTCACCAGGTGATAGAGTGTATACATATCTATGGAGGTACATTTGTCTGTGAAACCATCATCAATCAATTTCGCAGATAATTCAGCAAAACATCATTGTAATTCGATGCAAAAAGCCATTTCCTTGCTGTTGTCATTGCTTAAATAAATAAATTCCCTGATACTCCAAAAAAACAGCTCACATAATTAAGACAAACCCGGGCTTAAATTGACATTTCCACGAGAACGAGCTGGGGGACAAAAAAAAACGCAGAAAAAATAAAATGGAAAAACATTTCATTTCTGTCCTCCGTCGCAGGATGATAAATTGAGTGATGACGGAGGAAATTTAACTGCTGAAAGCGAGGGACACTCACCTGGACCCGGAATGTCATGCTGCTCCCCAATGCCGTGGCCATTGTAATTTTGATGAGTGTAGGAAGCGGCGACATAAACTACACAAGGTCAGCGGGACATTACGCATACGGCATGGTGGCTCTGGTGGTGAAGGAGCGGGCTGCGGTTAAATCTAATAAACATTTCCGGGCTCGTGCACGCATGAATGTTAATGTAGATGGGCTTCGCAACTTTTCGACTCGAGACGGCAGTTTTCAGCCAGGGCTTAATGTACTAGAAATTATACCCCTGTTCCCCGGGAGCAGCTTAAAACCAAGACATAGTTACGGGTAACTGACTGACAGTCTGCTCGTTTCCCCCGGAATTAACAACCTCGGGCAGTGCCAAGACTTGCCGGCAACTTTATTTGCTGAAAGATAAATCCACTTGACTCGGAAGTTGGCCCATTTAGATGTGAAGATTTGATGCATGTGCTTTTAATAGTGGAGCAGTTGAGAAAAGGGGTTTTACAAGTGCCTACGGTCATTTGCCGAAGTTCTCCTCGAATTAAATTAGCCAAAGTAGTGAAATCTCTGGCAGTAATTTGATTTCCGACTACCAATTAACGCAGCTTCAGTTTAAAGTTCACTTTGTTTGGTCGTTCGGTGTGTGTGTATTTGTGCCAACTACACGTGTTAAACAAGTCCATGAAGTTCGTCACAAACTTTGGTGCTTTTTCCCTTCATTCCTTTTTTTTGCTCCTCCTGCCAACTGCCATCTGTGGCTTTCGCATTTTCCTATGGACCAGGCGCTGTCGTTGGTCCTGTCGTTGCGATGACGACATCCGGCGACATTTCTTTTCACTGCTCCAGACCGCTCTTCATTTCACAGGCATTTCAGGCTTCGCAGCCCGTCTCTGTCGCATCAGATTCCTGAATTGCGGGCACTGTGGGCGCAGGGTCATTAAAAGCAAATATAACCCGGCGAAATATGCTCGCTTTCTTAAGATAATATTTATAATTGCAATGGCAATCGGTTTAAATCAATGGGTGGGTAAAAATCAGCTTAAAATCAGCAAGGTGGGTCAAGTAAATATGATAAAGGTAAGCTTAAATATTAATAAATTAATCTGCTTTCGATCTGAAATGGGAGATTTAAATTATAATAAGAATTATCAGCCATGTTCTAGCTTCTTCTTAAAGATAAAAATAAAAAAACAAATAGATTGTTTAATGACAAGATGGCTGCATTTAATTTATTATACCTGCTTTTGCCATCAGCTAAGACTTAAGCTCTTCTGCCAAGAAATTCGCTTAAGAAAAGGTATTTCATTTTAATTGGACCAAAGGTGGGTTGGCATATCCACTGAAGGGTTTCCGAAACTCCGCAAATGAGTTGGCAACTTAATGGGGTGTCCATGTGTATCTGGAATCGGGATGCCTGTGCAGCCATAGTTTGTGTCCCGTGGCGTGCCAGTTGGTGGTACATTTTGACCCATGGTGCAGGCCTGGATGACAGTCAGCCATTGTGATGTCGGTTTTTGCACTGGTATGACCCATCTTTCCCTATTCCCCCCCATCCCCTTGCCAACAGTGATGGTGGCCTAATGTCTGTTTGGTTTCTTGGCACGACATGCCTGGCGTCTTGTGATGAAAAACTTATCATAAAACTTTGGCAAAACTGCAAAGTTGTCAAGGTTTTTGTCATTTGCCTGTCTCTCTATTCTTGGCTCTGCTTTTTAAGCTTGTGGCTGGCTGAAATAATTATAAATAACTTAAAAGCAGAAAATCAGAAAAGCGGCAAACAGCTGGCAAAAACAAACAGCCTAACCCAAAAAACCAATAAACAAATCCCATTCAGTGAGTTTCTTCGTTGGCCCCACAAAGTATGCTATGGTCTTTTGGATCACGCGATATTCGTATTTAATTTTTATGCTTTAATTGGCACTATAAACAGCTAATAAAATCGAAGGCACTCGAGGTTGGATGGCCAATCGATAGCTGAAGAGCAGCCACTTGAAAAGAACAATAAAAATGCTCGAGCCAGGACATGAAAGTATCCTTACATATACATTGTCTGCCGAATGATTTGTTTGCCTTTGCCAGAGCTCCTGCCATTGACAGACTGTCATAAATATGAAACACACACACACTGAAACACACACAATATGGCAAGCCAAAAACTACAGATATATATGTATATGTGCTTACCCAGATATGTTTGTGCATGTAGTTGACATCCATCCCGGCTTCGAATGGTCGACCATCGACATAACAAACTGTTCAGGTACACGAATCCCCGAGTCGTGTCCTTCGCCAAGGCAACGTTTGATGAAATGCCTGTCTGAGCACTGTTTTTCCACCCATAACTTTACCGCTCCGTTCGAGCGTGAAAAATGGCTGCAACTTGTTGTCGCCCAAAAATTTAATTAATTAGATTTCTTTCATCAATATAGATTCTACTCATCAACGACTTTTAATTAACAGCAATTCCATTTTCGAGTCATTTCATCGCTCATTAAATACTTATTACTATTGATGCAGCTTAGAAAAATATGTATTGTTTGCCAATTGCCATTGCTGTTTGCTATGAATTCACATTTAATTAGCTTTCGGTTAATTTCATTTATGGTTTAAGAAGTCATTAAGTTCTTTTTTAATAGTTAAATATTAAATATGTAAGAATCAATTTAACTTTTTTGTAATAAGGTTACGATTAACTAAAAATCAATTATGAAAATTGTAAACATAAAACCTAAATACACAAACATTATTGCTTAAAAATTTAAGCAAAAAAAAAGTAGAAACACATCCAAGTACTTGGCCTATTTAAATGTAAATTCTCAGCCATTGTTTTGCGATTAAGGTAAAAGGAATCTCTCTTAGCGGTAGATTTGGGCCAACATTTTTATGTTGAATACAAATTCAGGTCATTCGGTAGCCATTTGTGGCCTATAAAGTTTGGCTGTAAATTTTTACAACAATGAGACATGCATCCCTTGACAGACACTTTTGGCCAAAAAGGAAGCCAAAGGTGCAAAACAAATCCAGCTAAATGCCATTCAAGCTAAATCACTGGCAATCTGTTCGGACGGCCAAAGAATGTGCTCTAATTTATTTAAATAATTTAAATTTTTCGGCCCGGGACAAAATAAACAAAAGGAAATAATAGCAGCTGTGTCTAGTCGAGGAATTGCCTCAAGATAAGAACAGGTCGCGGGGTTCGGCAGACAAAGCGGCCCATTAAATCGCAGCCATTTTGGCCCTTCCTGCTGGAAACGTTCCACATCCGACAAGTGGCAACTGCCTCCTCCTCCGGATCCTAGGCTGTCGCCTCCCATTTTTTGGCCAGAAGGCCAACAATCCGAGCCTCTTTGTCTGCGGCCAGTGCGTTGATTACTTTGGGGAAATGTGCGTGAAAGGTAAACGCCGTACACAGGTAACTCTGCTGTCATTTTCTGTTTGCCGTCTGCCGCTCAACTTCAGTTGGTTGATTTATTTGCCCACCTTTTGGGGCTTCAGCCGGCCGGCCGCCCTTGTTGTGATTTCGCCCATATTCAATGTACAATGAACTGCTTGGCTATGATTTTGCGATGTTATTACGTGGCCATAAATCATCGCATCCGAGTAATAATAAACGTAAATTATAATAAAGCTAAATATTTGCTTTCCATCAGGCTTTGATAGGGGTTAGCCTAAGCCTTAAGGCATTGCGTAAGGTTTTAAAGACTTTAAGTGGGTCATTCATAATGTAGCCATTTTAAAACCAATCGGATGAAAAGGAAGCTCAGAATTTAACAGCTAATGGAAACTGACCAGCCTTTCATTCAATATTAAACCCAATTGGTAGCGTTGGCAACATTTCTTAAGTGGATTTTTGTTGCAGATTTTACTAAAGCCTTAATAACAATTTTAATCATCTTTAAAAGTATTTAACTAAGATATTGGTGGATTTAATTTAATTTATTTTCGTTTACTCGTTTATCAAAACTCAACACTTTTACTGGTTGGCCTGTGGCTCAGCATTAATATTTTTAAAAAGCAATTCACTGTCCTTTTTGTGTAAAATCAGTGGCTCGTTTATACACAAATTAATTTCATTTACATTCAATATTGGTTGCTGTGGCAAACGATCGATGGAACGCCATGCAACAACCATTCTGGCTATATAAATTTCCATTACGCATACGAACCGTTGACGCGGCCATAATGTCTCATTATGTTTGACTTGTGCTGGGAAACAATGAAATTAAGTTGGATGGACATATAGACAGACAGCCACTCACTCGGCCAACCACTTGAGCGAAAAGCACAAAGCTCCACGTTTGTCCGTTTGTCGGTGTGCGAATGTTCAAGTTTTGGCCATTAAAAACGCATTAACATGGGACAATGGCTTGACAAATAACTCGAAATGCATTGGCTTTCCGTTTGGGCGTTGCGCATACGCCGTGTGTTCATGACAGGGTAAGTGAGCGGCTCTTTATGCCGCTTAAATGGGTTTTATCAGTGCAATTACGCACACCCAGCTGCCAACAGGAACAAAACACTCCCCACTGTCCAGACCAACAGCAGGCATCTTCATTAAGGTGACAGTCGTAGGTGTTCTATATAGGGTTATATATCCTATATATATATACGATCCCTTGCTTGATTTATTGTCCCTATACATTTGGTTTCTCTACTGTTTGTCATTTGACAACATTCTGCTTATCCTCACAGCAGGCAGCCAGCCAGCCAGTGGGAATCCCCTTGCTTGCTTTCTACAAATTACTTTAATACTTTGCGCCTGATGTTACGCGGAAGTGTTTTACAGCACACACACACACACATATACACACATAAGACCACACGCTTCGAGGATACACATTTCGTGGAACTTTTTCTTTCAATCATAAAATCAGAACTTTCTACCCTTTATGGCATAATCAGTGCGAGTATGCGAGCACACATGAGGTTTTCTGTAGAAGGAGGGGTGAAAATGGAGCAACTGCCTCGGGCTGCAATTGTCTTGTCTTTTATAGTTCAGCCAGTTGCCAGCACTCACTAGAGATGCCAAAAAAGAATGACACAAAAAAGTACTTTGAGGATACAGGAAGCTCGGTGAAAAAGTTTACAATTTGGCATAAAATCGATAAGGGGACAATTTTCGTTTTTCTTTTTATAATTCGAATGGATTTCTGTGGCCTAAAAGCTTTTCCAAGAACTTTTTTCAGTAATCAGTAAGATAGGCATTGGCAAATTTTTAAGTATTTTCTACTAATGATTAAATTAACTTTTACTTTCCTACTAATTCTGATCCCCTTAGTTTACGACTGCAACTTTTCTTGCCATGTCATATCTAAGAATATTACGCATGTAGGTCTTACGATCGCCCTAAGGGCAACTCCAACTGCCATTTAATTTGGCACTTAAGCCCGGGGCAGGGACTGATTTTTATTATAAAAGGGTTGTGCTGTATCCCATGACCTCGTAAAGCGACTGAGTCGGCGGCATTAAATGGTATATAGTTTTATTGCTAATTCAATGCTAACCAAAGATATTGTCATAGATTTTGTGCCAGATACTGCTGCGTCGGAATAAGGCATTGGCATTGCCCTCCTGTACATATAGTTGATAACGCTTGAAGGTCTGCGGGTCGGTGGGTCCCCAGTTGGGCAGTGGCTCAAAGGCTTTGCTGATGCGGTCCCACAAGCCCAAATGCGAGGGCTGTTTCCGTATGGCGGGAATAGCCCAAAAGAACACCTGACCCACGCCGAAGGCACTGAGTAACCAGCCAAAAACTGGAGAGAAAAAATGATTTCATTAACCCGGATATCCAAATGGAAGGGTTAATCCTTTTCTGCTTACCGTAAACACCCGTTTGGTAGGTGTAGTTCTTGTACTTTAAGGGCTCGTAAAGCACCAGAGTGTAGATGAGGATGGTGAGCATCAGTAGGGGGGTGATGACCGCCCAGCAGATGCGGTAATACAGCGAGGTCTTGATGCCAATCATAAACTCTACATCCCGGCAGAGTCGTTTCACCCCGTAGATCCAGGCAACGGCCACTAGCTCGAAGATGGCCAGAACCAGGGCCACAAAAGTGGCTCCAAAGAAGTCCAGAAGATTGAGCACGAACTGACCACCGGGTGTGATGTAAAGGAGTCCCAGACAATACCCTATAATAGCTATAGCCACCACTATTGTCCAGTTCTTGAGATGTCCAAACTGATCCTTAATCACGGTGGACAAGCAGGAGGCCATGCCCACATTGCTGCCAATGCCCAGGACGAAGAGCATGAGGAAGAACAGCACGGAGAAGAGCTGTGGCAGCACCTTGAACTTGGCAATGGCATCCGGATAGGATATAAAAGCCAGGCCTGGACCACCATTAACCACACTGGAGATGTCGCTGGTGTTGTTCTCGTAGGCGAGGTTGCCCAGAATCCCAAAGATAATCACACCGGACAGGAGGGAAGTGAAGGTGTCCAATGTGGTTACGATATTGGCATCCCTAAGGAACAGGAACTCAGGGTAAATAACTCAAGACAGGGGGCCTCCACTCACCTGTAAATGTTGTGGCCGAAGCGGTTGTAGGAGGCGTACATGATGATGTTCCCGAAGCAAATGGCTAGCGAAAAGAACACCTGGGTGACGGCGGCGTACCACACCTGCGGCTCCAGAAGTTTGTGCCACTGCGGCCGCAAGAAGTACAGTACGCCATCGAAGGCTCCAGGTAAACTGAGTGCCCTCACCAGTAGCACAAACATCACCACGTACGGGAAGAGGGCCAGGAAGTATGAGGCCTTGCCGGAACTCTTCACACCCTTGAACATAATCCCGGCGATGATGATCCAGGCCACGGCCAGTGCCAGAGCCAAACTCCAGCTGGGATACCCGATGCCATCATCGATGCTGGTTTTCTCGCGCAGAATGATGTTCCTGCGGGGTTAGACATGAATGCCACATCCTGAACACCTGCTGGCTGCCCACTCACGTGAAGTAGAACTCCGCCGAAGTGGTGCGCACTGTTGAGTTGGCTAGTATAGTGATACCCCTGTCTTCCTGCAGACCTGAGTCCAGACAATCTGCACCCCATTCCGCACGGCAATAGCTCCACGGCAAAGTCGGGTAAAAGGAGTCCACGAAATAGCGCAGTGTTAGGGCCATTAATGTGGCATAGTAGGTGGTAACGATGCCCGTGGCCAAAACCTGGCCATATCCAATGCCTGGGTGGAGAAGAGATAAGAGTTATCCTTTGATTTATCACGCAATTTCAGAACTCACACCTTGAAGTGGTCATTCCTCACAAGCCTTGAATTTATTGATTGATTTTTGATTGCAAAGCAAGTAAGATTAAATTAAGTAAGTAAATTAAGATTTAGAACTAATTATTCTCATTTATAAAAAATATTTTAACTATATCCAAACTTGTTTTATGTTATGATTATCAATCAGAATTAAGTTCAATTTAATGTCTAAAAAATTATGCCAACTCACCTCTCATGATGGGTGAAAAGTCGTAGACCTTCACACTGCCGCGACTGGAGAACTGGCCTAGCAGCATTTCCATGTAGTACACGGGCTTTCCAACCAGAACAAGGACAATCAGATAGGGTATCACGAAGGCGCCGCCTCCGTTTTCCAATGCGGTAAAGGGAAATCTCCAGACGTTGCCGAGACCCACGCTCAGTGCAATGCAGGACATGAGGAACTCGATGTCATTGTTCCAACTGGCTCGTTGTTTCTCCTGCTGACCTGCCTCAACTCCATCCTGATTATCTCCAGGTCCTGGCGCAGCTCCTGATCCTGCAGAAGACTGTGGACTCGCCTTCTTTCCATTGGATGATTCATTGGGCTTGTATGCACCAGGTATTGATATCGTTGAGGAATTCAATGAACCCACAAACGCCTGGTTCATGTATCCATTGTTATTGTTGTTGTTATTGAGTGTGGTTTCCATGTTGCAGCTGCAAATCAATCAAAAATGTGGCTACACTAACCTTCAACTTAAATCGTTGCAACTTAAGGTTACATCTACTGTTGGTCAAGTTTTGATGCTGCTATTATGGCCATTGATGGATAGCAATCACGATCGCTTACCGGTTCAGTGGGACAAAAAGACAAAAATAAACAGAGAGACTGAGACAGAGACAAGCTGGCAAGTCACTGACCCACTGACTTAGACAATTACAAATTACATAACAATGGAGAGGTGATGCAGCTAAAACTGCATCGAACTGGTAAATGCAGCAGGCCAAAATGCTGGCAATTTGGCTGCCAGACCTCAGGGCGAAACCAGTTTTCTGGCCTTTTACAGGGAAAGGTCTCCAAGCGTCTGGCTTTTAGCTGCCTGGGGCTTTTTTGCCATTTCGAGCTCCATTCATAACAACACTTTGGTTTTCTCGTTGCCGCATTTGTTTCCGATACCGGGACAGCAACTTTCATGATATCTCGAATTTCAGATTGATTTATTACACCTTTTCGGAGACATTCCCCAGCCTTAAATTGTCTTGCAGATTTGCAAAACTTTCTCATAAATAACTCAGAAATTATCTTACATTTTCCTATAGCTAAAATGTAAATAGAATTTCTTTATACGGCTAAGTATATACTTTATCATATACGATTTTTGGGCCTGCCATTTACAAAGTGGAAGTAATTAGTGAAACAGCTGAACTATCCTCTTCCTGATCAAAAACCAGTTGACAAACCAAGACATTGGCCTTGTTATCGTAGAAAATAAAACGAAAAAACAGGTTAACAAGCTGTTGCAGACTGCTTTATAGGCGATTGATATGGGATGTTCTATGACTCACAGGAATGTTTATAGGAGAAGCCAGAAAGCAGGTATATTTGCGGAGAGATTAATGACTCAGATAAGATCTTGGAATATTCAGACACCAGGAATATGATGTCAATAATATTTTAATTATCTCCAAAACAGCTAGGGTATTGCCACATCGATTCTTTCAGGGGTCTCCCTTGCTTGTTTACTATTCGGATGACTCTAGAAGGCAACTGACTGCCTTAAGTGTTGCGCATGCGCAGCTGCTTCGCCGATTGTTCTCGTTGCAATAATGGAAAGTAAATGTGCACAATGTGTGGTTGCAACTTCCAACCTGGTGTGACTCAAAAATGTCAGAGCAGCAATTATCCACCGCCAACTTGGCCCAAACAAAACAAAGCGTGAAGTACGCGCCACAAAACTCGATAGCACGTTCCCCACGGTTTTTAATGCTTTTTTCTGGCGGGGGAGGAGGAGGAGGACAAGACGGTGCTGTTGGTCGTTGGTGGTTTGGTGCGATAAAGCCTGGCAGCGCCACACGTTCTAAATGAGTTTTTATTATTTTATATTGGCAAGAGTCAATTATTTAATTGTACCCCAGGCGTTCTCTGGCCGCTGACAGCTCTTTGTCTAAGCACTATGAATATTTCGATTCGGTTTTAAATTTATTGCATACAACTGAGTCTGGCTGAGTGATACGATTTCAAATTGTAATTAAGTTATGGCTCTCAGATTCCCTCTCGCGAAAGTATCTTTCTCTCTCGCTGCTTCACTTATCTGGCCATCATATAGTTTGCAGACATGCAATAAGAATCTTTAGGATGTCAATAAAGATATCGTGAATGAAAGGGTTTCGCAACGAAATGCACTAGCACAAAAATTTGTTATCACTCTTTTTTTCACCCGGTACTTTTAGAGGTTTTTATTAGAAGAGATGTTGGCTGTCAAAGTCATCAAACTTATGGATAAAAGTCTGGATCATATCTATATGTTTGTAGGTTAAACACGCGACTTTTATGATGGCCAATCTTTATTATCTTTAAGAATTTTTTAAGTAGGTTTTGCAAACCTATTTTATTACTTTCGCTCCACTTTCTGTCGGGTTTATCTTTTGCTCAAAATTGTGTTCTCAGGTGTTCTGGAAGATGTAGCATTTTTGTCTTTATTTCCCTTTGAAGATTTAGTATTGGTGCCGGCAATTGTATTTCTATGATTTAATGTATTTCATTTATATTTTCTATCTATTTTGCAGTCACTTTGCGTTGGTAAACAATTGAATTCCGCTGAAGTATCCAAGCGAACCGCTCACCGCGAACGCCAAAAGCTCACTGAGCAGCTCTTACTGCCCAGAGGCGTCTTATTCGTTCGTTTTCGGAATAAAAACAAAGAAACAAATAACTCGAAAACGAAAACAAAATACGAAAAAACAAAACATCACGGCAAAAGGTGTTTTGGGTAGCTGGCCATTAGACTTGACATAAGCCAAGGTAAGTGAAAATATGAAAATTAAGTTATTATCAAAGGTTCGCCGGCGCTTCGGCATTATGTATGAGGCGTTTCTTCCATGTAACATGAAAACGTGCTCGGGAGTGTTTTTTTTTTTAGAGGAGTCAGTGACATAAGCCTTATTATTTTAGTTATTAAAATTAAATTAGGTTTTATGGTGACTACCTTTTGTTTGTTTTATCCCATAGTGCCTTAGTTGCTGTTATTAGATAGGAAAAATTGTAAGAAAAATATTGTTAAAATTATTGTTCTTTGTTTCATATGACTTTCAATTGGAGTCAAAGAACTTTTTTATTTACTTCTTACTTACTAATATTTTTAATAACCCAAAGACTCTGTGGGACCTATTATTTTTACTGTTAAATCTACTTAAAAGTCAATGCCACGATTTTTTTTATAACTCTATTTTAGTCTTTCGATTTTGCTATGTAATAACTGATTAAGACTTAATCGTTTTTTTGATAGAAATGTTTAACCGAAAAAAGGTTTTATAACACTTTATTTATAGCAACTAAAAAAAAAAAAAAAAATAGATGGCCAAGTTCCTAGGAATTATATTTTAAAGAACTTGTAAAAATTTCAAAGAAATGTTTACCCCGAAAAGCCAAAATAACTGTCTGGCTAGAACCGAATTTGATAAGGAACCAATATAAATTTATTATTATGACTGGGACTTACTACCTAATTGCAGTTTTTGGTTGGTGGCATCCAAACGAACGCCACACTGCACTTTGGTCATGAAAGTAAAAGCTTATGTTGGTTCATGTGTTAGAGCAAACATTTTAATTGGATGCAAATTTTCGACACTTGGCTGCTGCGGTTCGTTTACCGACTGCGGCTCAATTTTAGAGAAAGAGACAGAAAGAGAGAAGAAGAGTGTGAAAGAGAGGGGCGCAGAAAGAGTTGGAGGGAGAGATCCATGTTGTAGTGGCAAACAATTTTCGGTTTTTACTGGCATTAACACGCAAAATTGACCGCAACAAATTTACAGAATTTCCATGTGAGCAACTATGGTGCGTGGGCGTATTGATCCCAACAATTCAATTAAAATCTCAACGATTCTGGCCAAGTGCTGGAAAATGGCAATAGCGTCCTAAATCGCATTCCAACCGAAATGAATTACAGTAATGACAATTATTTTTACTTTTCAATTAAGTGCTGTAGGAGAGGTGTAGAAGCCACTGCCCCAAACTGCTGGATAGTTGGCAAAAATTAAATCTTTTTGCCATTTAAAATGTAATTAATTTTTAATGCACGCACATGCGGTGACGTTGACGGGCTTAATCTGCCTGTTTATGGATGAATTTCCCTGCTGATTATCTGCTTTGCATGTGTTTCTGTGGCTTATTTATTGGCCAGTCGCTAATTGTTTGGATAAAAGACTTAGCAACAATGTTTTTCACTGCTGAATATGCAGTTAATTCGATGAATAAAAGCTTATGAGTTCTACAAGTTTGATTGCTTAATTGTTGTTCTTATTTTTAAAAAATCTATTTGGTATAAAAGGAAACTCTATGTCTATGGTTCCCTTTTAATTAGCTTTTCCAGTTGGTCTGTAGATTTAATTTTGGTCTGTTTGCCAGACAAAATTCACCGACAATTACAATTACAGGAATTAACTAGAATTTCACTAATTTGCCGGACTAATTTGGCATTTTAATGAGCCACAGAGCCGCAGAGAAAATGACAGAGCAGCAGCGAACTGTGAATTTATGGCCAACGAGCATTTCGGATTCGAGTTGACAAAAAGTAAAACCCACTTGTAAATTTCCCCCAGTCATTTATCAAGTGTTAGCAGAACATAAATCTCGTCTAGGCAAATAGCCAAGTAGCTGTGACACAAGCCCAACAAACTAACGTAGTCTTGGCCAAAAGTCAAATCCAGACCGTGGCCATAATGCCCGACGTCACGCAATTGTCTTTGGTAGCCAGAGAATCTTGGCATTAAATTTTACTGCCTTCGACTGTTGGACATTAAAAACAAAGGACAACAAATGTCGCGCAGACAATGAGCCAGGTTAACGTGGCCGTTACAATGGCAGTTGTTTTTCGGCGGCATATGGCACGTGGCAGGTTGGCAGTCGGGTTGATTTATTTAGTCGAGTGCGATGAAAAATTGATGATTTAAATCCAGGAGTTAGAATGCCTCCTTGGGGCGTCGTTTGGCTGGTTTAAAGTGCGGCAAGTGCGATTCACGCCTAACTTGATTTGATTCTTATCCTGTGCGTGTTTACTTAATTAAAATTCCAGCAACTAACGGACCAAACTGGCTTTCTAATTGAATTTAAGTTACAACTTTTACATCGAGATGTGTGGCCACTTGCCGAATTAGTTGTACGACTTGTATGGGTTGGGCAATTAGCCGGATTACCTGGGTCCTGAGCAAATGTAATTGGAATGAAATGCAATTTAGTTTGGTATCTATGATCGGGGGAAATGCCGCAATTTGTTGGCAGGACCACTCGCACACAGTCCTTGAGTATCTGTTGCATAAAGGGTTTTTGCAAGTTGGCTGCATTCCAGCAACCAAGCACGAAAATTGCTAGTAATCTTGATGCTGCCACATGAAATGCCACAAGTGTCAGGCACTCCATTGTAGCATACTTTCGGGCGGTGCCATTTGAATAGAAAACACATTAATCATACGCCCTGCGTGCCCACTTGCCTTCACTCTTACGGAAAACGAAAAACTAATTGAGCTGTGGTCGCTGCATTTCTGCATGGCTGCTCTTTTTTTTGTTAGCACACATTTCTTACTTATTTGCCAGCCGTTCCTTGGCATATCACGCATACGCCACATTGTCCACATATCAGCGTTGCAGTATATTAAGTCATTCCTGCTCACTGGTGTTTGACAGCCAGTGTGTACTTACATACTTTCATATGTGTGTATGTTTTTATATATTTACATGTCTAAGAGCTTGTTAAAGTCACGTTTCTGGCAAATTCTATTATATTGTAAAGCATTTTCCCTATTTTGCGGCAAGTGCCAAGCGGCAGCTGCCATCTGGCAGTTCGCTGCATGCCATAAAAATGTCTACGGCACACGCAACTTGACTCTGGGTGAAAGTCTAGGCGGGGGGTCTCCCAGTACCATTGCCCCAATAAACGGACGGAGCGCATTTCGTGCGTATGGAAAAAAGAAGAGAACGGGCCAACAAAAATCTGCAATTCATGCAATTTTCATGGAAAATTTGCCACGCCAAGAGAACTGAGAACAGAGAACATCAACTAAGGACACAACCGTACACAACAACATACAACAACATCTGTGTACATATTCATGTGTGTATTAGGATCTGTGCTTTGAATGTCAAAATATTTGTGTGTTTGGCATTTCAAGCGTTAAATTTCTGCTGTCAACGCTCGTCCCAGAAAAAGTCTCCCATCTCCAGTGTGTTTTCTGAGCAGCAGAGATATTTTGAGGTTTTCTCCACTCACTGTTTTTCCGATTTTGGGGCAAAATTCACCGACGGAATCCAAATTAATTTGCCTAGCACGTGGGCTCCAGTGATTATGTCTAGTTGGGTATGTGTTCGTGTGTTTTTGTTTGAATTTGTCTTAAGTGCCAAAGTCCTTGGCTTGATGCCTGCGAGATTACGGCTTACGTGAGGCATCACCCCGATTGGGAGCCGCCTCTATGTGTATGTATGCCATAACCCATTGGGACACTTGATATGGCATTTAAGAAAGACTCTTAATAAATTGTGGCAATTATTCTTCAGCCTCTTAAGGGATTGCACTGAGACTTCATAAATGTGCAGTATTACAGTATGATGAATAGACTTATCTTTGTAGGTTTAAGACCCACTTAAATGCATTCTGATTATGGTCTTTTACTAACTAAAATAAATATGTATCGAAGGTTTTTGTAATTTAATTATTATTCATCTTTTGTTAAGCTATATTTTGAACAAATTGTTTTTGTTGCTCAAAATATAACTTCACACAAGATACATATAATTTTTATAGTGATTTAAGGATTCTGACGACATAATATCCTCTTCAGGTTTTTCTCCTGGAAGGAATACTTTTCAATGTTACATCTCTCAAAAAATTTGATATTCCAAACATAATCCCGAATGCAATTTAAAATGGCTATTTGTCTGAACATTTTTGGGGCCGAGTTTCTTTGGGAAGCGGTTTGATCTTTATATCCTTTGGAGTCGGTTCGTCTGGTGGACTACAACTTCCACTGGGGTTTGGATCTTTGCAGTTCTCATCCGGCTCATCTGGAATATACCTATTTACAGTCTTTCCAGTTTTGGTTATAACTAGGATTTTCATGACGAAATTTCAGGTAAATACAATTTGTAAAATTTTGTGAATTTTGTGAAACGTGTTTTCCGAATAAAATGCTTACTCAGTTGGAGGAGTTTTTGTGCGTGAAATCCCCTAGACTTTCGTTAATCTTAATGCTTTAAGCTGCTCCTCCGACTGGATTCGAGTTTCTCCCTGAAAGTAGGCAACGAAAACAGAGAAGATAAATGAAGACCAAGGCAGCCAGCAAACAAGCCGCCCCCGCCCTGTTTATACCACATCCTTCCGTCTCTGCGGCAGATTTGTGGCCGGAGTCGAGTCTAAAAATATGCCGCCATAGCCCGCCCGCCGGCCACGCCCATCAGCCTCCGCCCATCCCACACGTGATGTTTGCGGGAAGCGTTGTCGGCATGTTTGCCTTGGCTGCATGTGGAAAGTGGCACATAATTAATTCAAATTAATTACGAATTGTGTGGAATTAGTGCTTGTGGCAAGTCCTGAAACGAACCCTTAGATTCTGGGGATCCTTTTGCTTGTCGGGTCGATGCTCGGTCTACAATTTGCCGGCAGATTTTTCGGTCCGTCCCCTTCAATTTCCAAGTATATTTGTACTAAAATGCTAATTCTCCGCCAGCCAAAAGTCAAACTCTCTATTATATGTTTGTGTCTGACCCAATTAGCGCGCAAATTTTGCAACAATGTCATAAACTGGGGCAGCTAA